GTTTGATTATATCTGGATGAATTTGATCATGACCTCACTGTGACCTCACTGGAATGATGGGAAGTTGATTGGGGATGACGTGGGGAATTATCCCAATCTTATTTTGCCATGGGAATAGCTCAAACTCATCATTCTGTGGGACCATGGGACCATAGGCCTTGCATGTCAAGTGCTGTTTCTCGCTGGAGAGCGTCATGCGTCTGCCTGGCACACTTTTTTCGTTGTGTTGAGCTGGGTCAAACTGGAAGTAGCAATTCAAACTTGGCGATTTTTCATGAAACAATCCATGTGGGTTCATCATTTTGACCCATAGATTACCATAGATACTCTGCTTTGATCTGCATTCACTGCTTTAAAAACCACTTCTGCGGGACGCATCTTGAGTTGTCACCAGAGCACTTTAGAGCACTTTGGGCCAGGTCTCTTGAGAGTAAATGGCCGTCTTTTGCTTTGTTTCTCTCGGTGATATTGAATGTTGGGATCTTTGTCGCAAGCCAATACGTCATGAGCCCAGTTGCCATGCGCTGCTGTGCCGACATAGCACTTGCACGAACACGAAAGATGTGTGGGTAGGGATCGACATTTCGGGTCTAGAGGGGCCAACGATTGGGTATTTTTCAAAGCTTCGTAAACCATGTCATACAATTTTGGTTGCTGGTTCAAAATTCTTAAATCAGGTTTTTGCTGACAACTTCAGTAGCATACCATTTTTGACCGAGTCCCTCAAGAAGCCTGGCCCAAGACGAATCTAAGGTGCCCATCAATCTTCTTGGACAATCCATTACAGTCCATAGGCTCAGTGATAACACAAGCAGACAGTCTTCTCGTTGGTGATAGGCAGAAAAAGGCCGCTAAACGCACCAGAAATTTTGGCAGGAAGCATAGAAGAATATACTGTGTAGGTACTGTATTTTTATGTGTATTTTTTCCCATTTTCTCGCTCGTTTGTTTGTTTGTCTATTCATCTATTTGTTTATCATATTTTGGAGGAGCGCAGTCCACTTCTAAGCTCCGGTGGATCTTGGTGCCCAGGTCTTCAACATCTTTCTGTACTCATCGCCATTGATGAACCTCGGCACTGCCCTGCGTACGCGCAACAGTAGCCAGTTCCCGACCTTCATGTGCCCCTGCCATGGTGAGAGTTGGCCATCATGGTGTTGAAGCAGCAGAATGGGAGTTCACCGTCCAAGAAATGGCGACAAACATGGAGTCTAAGCACGAAACAGTAGATTCAACCACTCAAACTAGGAATTCATCGGTGAAACCAATGAATCATTTCGGAACAATGGAGATGTAACATGATGTAACCATCAATTGGAAAGGTGCAGTTGAACCAAATTCTGTGAATCTTGGCGGACCTCTGGGATGGTAAGTTGGTGACTGTTGGTGACAACGCCAGGGTGGGCGTCAATGTGCTGAACAACGCACTTTGGAGCGTGTATGCCCTTCTGATTGAGGTCGGAAAAGAAGGAAGTACACCGAAGTACCAACAGCAATGCCATAGCATCCATGTAAGACTGTATGGCAACATGTATGTTATATTATACTATATATACACGTACTGTATATATATATATTATATGTTTTAAACATCATGGTTCTCAGTTGTCATTGCTAGATCCATGCCAGGACATGGTGGTGTTGATCCCTAGTCTCATGGGATATGCTTGCTCCTTCTTTCAGGCGCGGTCCATGATCATTGGGAGCAGGTCAGTACTTGGTGTTTGCTGAGATTGCAGACCTCTAGGATCCCCTAGGTCTTGTTGGACCCATCAAATCTGATTTGGGTTTGTCTGAAAATAGGGACCCCATCAAATCCACTGTGGCTTCTCATTGTTTTCCCCATTCAAATGGCCATATTTTGGGGGTATACTAACCATTTTCAGGTCCCAACCCATCTGGGCGTTGTCGACGAAGTCTGCTGTTACCAGGCTCTGCTCATTCTGTGGCTCCGATCTCAACGTTGAGTTCTCCATTTTCATCGGATGGGTTCTCTTGGGGAAATTCAGAAATTCACCGGAAAACCCAATTTGTTGGTGAAAACCCAATGGTTTTCATGCTGCATCGAGGTGTCGGAGTTATCTGCCGTTGGGGGTCTCGGCGCGGTCTTTTTCATGTGCCAATCATAAACCTCCAGTGGGGATGGTTTATGATGGTTTACCACATTTTTTTCCCTCAAAAATCATCAGGCCCGTGACAGGACACTTTGTTTTTTTTTCAGGGTTTTTGATGAGCCGCACTTGGCTAAGATTTGATCTTGCATTCCTGGTGACTTTCTTCCAGCAGAGGAAGAAGTGCCGGTCTCAGAAGCTGTCAATAGAAGTACTGTAAGGCATTTGGCATTTGGCACTTGTGATGATGTAAATTGAGAAGTGATTCATCACAAGATGCTCAGGCTCAGAGTGTAACAAATTCATTCCATTTAGTCATTTAGCATATGGCATAGTCATTTCACTGCCGCGTCCGACTAGGATAGCTCATGCATCCTAGGTCCTAGGCGAAGAAAATAGATGGAACAGACTCAATTGCAAAAACCTGTGGATTAACATGCGTGTATGTAATGACATGGTACGGCATAGTATGGCATGGTATGGCATGGTATGGTATGGCATGGTATGTTATGGTATGTTATGTTATGTTACACATACGCAGATACACCAGTTTTCGCATTCTTCCAATCGTGCTATTCTTCGGTTGTGATGTAAGACCTGATGACATCAGCCCGGTCGCACCGAAGCTTGAAGAGGCGCAGCGTGAGAAAAATGGGTGATCTCACCACCAGAGCATGGGCATATGGTGGATTTAACCATGAAACATGAGGATTTATGTAGGAACATCCTTCAATCCAAGCAATTTTGGTGACACCCGGGATTTCATAGTTTTTGACCCGACCAAATGGACATATCATCCACAAATGATGGTGATGAAAACCATGAATATCATGAATATCATGAAGGTATAGCCTCTTCAGCTATAAAAAACATGGGGATATTTGTCTCCAGAGGGTGTTGAAAACCGTGAAACACGATGGGGATATAAACACCACCAAACACGGAAGGCATTTTTGCAACAAAAATGGGGGTTTCAACCAGAAACGCTGCTGATGTTTTTAAGGTTTACTTTAACTGTGAGTGGTTTAAGGGGGACTAGGGACCCAGCCAAGAACTGGGAATCCCGACAGTGGGTCAGTAAGTTTGTGGAATGACAGAGGGTTTGGGCACTGTTAAAAATGGGCAACAAACATATTTTGCAGGATATTCAACCACCAAGGAAATCGGGAATACGAGTGTACAAGTACAAACGGTTCAAAAACTGGAGATTTCTCGCAGTGGATGTACCACCCTACTAGCCCCCCTGGCTATATTTCGTCATTGCAGGACGGCGAAGATGCTTGGCTTTGACGTCACTTTTGCGGAAAATCGCAGCTATCCACGGTGATTTTGTGATGCGATGAAACATCTGTGGGCAGCTAGTAGCTGATCAATTTGTGCCGCAGCCGGATCAAGTCATTCGGCGAATGAGCAAAGCATCTCGAAGCAAACTGGTTGAGAATGAGAAGTACGCAGGGGGTCAAGAACAATTGGTCTGAGCACGGAGGAATGTTTTTTTTTTTAGGTCGAGCCAAATCACTGGAAAACAGGCAGTGATGGAAGGGACGGCTTTTCAACCCTTCTAGGGGTCCAAGAAAACGATAGAACAACATTTTTTGGCCATGACATTTCCGTAAGATATTTTTCAACAACATTTCCAGCTTTCCAAGCCAACATATTCATTTTGGGCTGCCTGACGCGGCATCATGGCTTTCTCCAGGGTCCAGGCCCGAGTGATTGGGACTAAAAAACCAGAAGTTCTGCAGTTGTTTGGGTTCTCATCCGACCCCCCCATATCAAATACCCCCATTGGAAAATGATTTCAATACCCCCCATGGGAAACATTGGTTTATTGGATCGACGAACGTGGAGGCCCACAGTGGTATTTTAGGGGGCGGGGATTGCTAGGCACCGAGGGGTGCCCACTCCTTGATTGGGCAACGCCAGACTGGCAGCGCCTGGAACCAAGGTGGCATCCTGTCGGGCCCATTTCTTTCGCAGCTCGGATGCAGCAAACTAAAGGGCTGGAGAACAGTTGAGTTCTGCTGGGTTATTGTTTCCTGGTACAGAAACCTGATTTGGTATGGAATCTGATTGAATCTAATTATGCAATTAGATAGAGCAGCTAAGGTCGGAAACTGATACATTTGAGTCCACTGGCGCGGCATATTCGCCACTTGGATGCATGGCCATGTCTGGGCAGTTGTGTGTTGCGTTGTGAGAGTTACAGAGTGGTGAGAGAGGCACTGGATTTTTTCCGGATGATCATGACTTCATCAATCCAGAGGCGAGTTCTGATGATTGGGCCGGGCTGGTAGTGTTTTTCACCGCCCTAAGGGCCCTAAGCCATTGATAAAGGAGGGTTTGTTTGAAGAGCTCACGCTCTTTGCAGGACCCACTTCTTTCCGAAGCACTGAATGCGTTGGGACCTCAAGGTATTGAAGGTCAGCCTGACAATGTGATAGTTTAGACAAGACAGTGAATCCTCAGGAGATGGAGAAATATGGATGATCCGACTCTGCAAAACAGAGTCCTGGAGCTGGGGTGGCTCAGAAGGGGCCTAAAGAACCATAGTCACCGCAGGCCCTGCCGCAGGCCTGTTGACTTTCTCTTTTGGGCAGGTTGGACGTAGGCTTGTTCCTAATCTGCTGATGGCTTCAACCCTGCAAGTCTTTACCACTCATCTCACTGTCATAACCATGCTTCAAAAGAAACTGTGGTTGTTACCCTTGAGATCCCTTGAGTATATCATCAATCCAACAAAAGTGGGAAATCCCCCAAACTATCAATAGGACTACTAATCCTAGCAGTAAATCCAAACACATCAATAGGACAACCATCTACTGGGGGGTTTCCAGCTGCCGGAACACCCATCCCTTTGTCCCAAGGCGCAGCAATGTTGGGATGGGCATGTTGGTGATCAACCGCGCCCCGCTCTCGGGCTCTCGGGCTCTTGGCCGGAGATGGTGAAGCAGGATTCTACCAACAGATGTGGAGATTTCACGAATTTCGGGGTTAAACTGGGTTAGTTACCATGTTAGTTTTATATAATCCATGTTAAACTGTTACACCAACTATCAACGGGTCAAAATCACCAAGGCGAGCCTCGACCTTCCCTGCGTCAATGAGCTGTACAAGCCTGGAAGTCTCAGGATGATCCATCATCCCGCATTGAAAGTTATGCTCTGTCGCTATTAGTTGGTCAAAATCAAACATCCTCTTGGGCAAACAACCACCCTGATACAGTCTGTCCTGTCCATTTTTTTGGTATTCAGTGGTGTATCATGTCTTTCATGCCCACAAAGCCCCCCTAGTTGTGACTTGGTTTCTTGGCCCATCAAATTATAGTTACAATAATCAAATATAATCACCATTTAGCCTAGTTAACCTATCACCATACACCCTGGTTCACCTAGTTACGAAGCACCTTGGCGAACGAACTGGGACACCCTGCAGCTGTCCGAGGCGCTTGCGCAACTTGGAGGTGAACAGCCTCAAGAGATTCGTTGGACTGGCAGCAATGGAGCCGGGGTACTCAGTGCTGATCCTGAAGATCTGTCTTAACCCTCTCTCTGTATGACTGGACCAATGGAGGTTTCCTAAAAGGGGGGTACCAAAAAAATCTAAATTATTCATTTTGATAGGATTTTCCACTATAAAGCATCCATTTTGGGCATCCCCCATTCTAGGAAACCCTCATACATATATATATATATATAAAATACATAAGTGTACATATAGTTATAAATAGACAATTTTTCCAGCAGGTATGATGTTCTCCAAAAATACGAATGTAGCAACGGGACACCGAAGTTCAATTGGTGTCTTTGGGGAGCAGCCACATGGTGCATCTCCGCAGTTATCCGTGGAATCTTCTCAGCTTCTTTGATATTGTCTTGCTGTAAGTGAACAAAGTCCATTTTGAACAATACCCCAACATCAAGGATATTTATCCTGTGCTGTCTTAGGATTGTTCTTTTGGAGTCTTTTTAAAGCTAACTCCTGGTGCCAGTTCATGTTGGCTCCAATCCATCGAGGCCAGGGCCTTTTTCAATCGGTCCGGAAGCCCTGGCACGGTCTCTGTATCCTGGTGAAAACGGTGAAACCATGGAGTTCGAGTTAGAAAATTGGACATATAACCCAAGTTATTCGGGTACAAAGGGGTCATATACTGTAGCTACTATATATACCAACCTTTGGGAGTTGTTACATGTTATTACCATGGTTATCTTGTCTCCATCAATGACCTTTGACCTGCGCTCCAATGTCGCCCCATCTTGATCCGTTCCAGGCCTGGATCCCAAAGAACTGCTGCTGGCCGCTGTCTACGCCCAGAAGCGTGGGAAGTTGTCGCGTTTTTCCAAGGCCTTGCTGTGGAATAGCCAGGCCGGGCCCGTGAATGTGGCTCACTTCAAAATGCTGAGGAGTGGAGGTTGAATATCTCATGTCTACCAGGTCTACCAGGTCCACCAGGTCCACCAGGTCCACCAGGTCCACCAGGTCTACCATGAACATCATGAACCTGGCAATGGAACTTTTACATCTTGAGGGGACATGTACAGAAAAACATCCAGTGAGGTTTGTGAGTCTTGGACCGACAGGAGCTGGCATACCTGGTGGCGGACTACCGAAAGTTGCTGACTAAGCAAACATGTTCGATCATGTTTGCATCTTTGTGTCACGTTCTGATTACGCCGTGAAATTCCTGGGTGCGGATGGGTCAAGTTTTTCAGACCAAAGCCATTGATTCGATCAATTTTGTCGAGCAAAAAGACCGAAGTCCTCATGCTTTCTGGTTGAGTCCCCAATTTTCCCAGTGACATCCCCATGTTTTTCCCGGTTTTCACCACCCACATTTTTCCAAGGCCACTGGTATGTCATCTCGGAGGTGTTGCCCAAGATGCTGGCGCAGTGGGCTTCCCCGGAGATTTTGCGTGGTAATTTTCAACATTTTTTAAGCATAGAAATGGGATGAGGGTTGAAACCACCAACCAGATGAACTCTTGAGGATTGCTATATCTATATCTATATCTATATCTCTATCTCTATCTCTATCTCTATCTCTATCTATCTATCTATCTATATATATATAATTATATATATATTACGAAAGCCAGCCGGGAAGCTGGCTAGTTGTTATTTGCGAACGAAGTGAGAATAGGGGGGGGCTAGCTGTCTCAAGGGGCCGAAAACGGCGTAAATAGGTTGTGTTTTAGGGTCGCGCAAAGTATGGTTTTGCAGGGTAATGTACCAGGCGGCAAAACAATGACGGTGGGTATCGATCCTCCCTAGGTCCGGTTTTCTGGGCTCAGTTAGTGGACAGATAGATGGGCCAGCTAGTGAGAGGAGATTGGAGAGAGAAGGACATTGGGATGAAAGTTGACATCCGGTTTTCTGGGAATGGACAGATAGATGGGCCAGCTAGTTAGAGGAGATTGGAGAGAGAAGGACATTCGTCTAGGAAAGAGAGAGAGGACATTGGCCTGAAAGTTGACAGAAAGAGAGAAAAGAGAGAGAGAGAGAGGAATACAAGAAGAGTTTCTGGATGAAGAGTCTCTGGATGAAAAGTATATGGGTGAAAAGTATATGGGTGAAAAGTATGTGCAAGAAGAGTTTCTGGGTGAAAAGTCTATGCAAGAAGAGTTTCTGGGTGAAGAGTCTCTGGGTGAAAAGTATATGGGTGAAAAGTATGTGCAAGAAGAGTTTCTGGGTGAAAAGTCTCTGAGCGAAAAGTCTGTGCGAGAAGAGTTTCTGGGTGAAGAGTCTCTGGGTGAAAAGTATATGGGTGAAAAGTATGTGCAAGAAGAGTTTCTGGGTGAAGAGTCTCTGGGTGAAAAGTATATGGGTGAAAAGTATGTGCAAGAAAGTTTCTGGGTGAAGAGTCTCTGGGTGAAAAGCGTATTGGCGAAAAGTATGTGCAAGAAGAGATTCTGGGTGAAGAGTCTCTGAGTGAAAAGTCTATGCGAGAAGAGTTTCTGGGTGAAGAGTCTCTGGGTGAAAAGTATATGGGTGAAAAGTATGTGCAAGAAGAGTTTCTGGGTGAAGAGTCTCTGGGTGAAAAGATGTGCATTTCTGGGTGAAGAGTCTCTGGGTGAAAAGTATATGGGTGAAAAGTATGTGCGAGAGAAGAGTTTCTGGGTGAAGAGTCTCTGGGTGAAAAGTATATGGGTGAAAAGTATGTGCAAGAAGAGTTTCTGGGTGAAGAGTCTCTGGGTGAAAAGTGCATTGGTGAAAAGTATGTGCAAGAAGAGTTTCTGGGTGAAGAGTCTCTGGGTGAAAAGTATATGGGTGAAAAGAAGTCTGGCAAGAAGAGTCTCTGGGTGAAAAATCTATGCAAGAAGAGTTTCTGGGTGAAGAGTCTCTGGGTGAAGAGTCTCTGGGTGAAAAGTATATGGGTGAAAAGTATGTGCAAGAAGAGTTTCCTGGGTGAAAAGTATCCAGAACAGGCCACTGTGGGAGTGCGCAAATTGCAGCATTTCCTGTGCAAAGATCCAACAGCATATGGCGCAACCGGACAAAATTGAATTCCATTCCTCTCTGCTGTTCATTGGCTGAATGCACTATGTCATAGCAAACATTGCTGTACTGTAGTGTATCGACCTTGCTTCTAGTGCAACCACTGACAGTGCCTGGCAATCTCTGCTTGGCACATCTGCAATGGCTATCCACACACAAACCAAAAAACCAAAAAAACAAAAAACCAAAAAAAACAAAAAAAACAAAAAGACAAGACCCAACACTCTGCATCTGACCCCCTCCCCTTGGGGTGTGCAATCTTGGTTTTTTTGTTTTTTTTGGTTTTTTGGTTTTTTGGTTTTTTGGTTTCTTGGTTTTTTGGTTTTTTGTTTTTTGTTTTTTTGGTTTTTGCCTGCCCGACCTCTAGTGCAACCACTGACAGTGCCTGGCAATCTCTGCTTGGCACATCTGCAATGGCTATCCACACACAAACCAAAAAACCAAAAAAACAAAAAAACAAAAAACCCAAAAACCAAAAAAACAAAAAACCAAAAAACCAAAAAAAACAAAAAAAACAAAAAGACAAGACCCAACACTCTGCATCTGACCCCCTCCCCTTGGGGTGTGCAATCTTGTTTTTTTTTTTGGTTTTTTGGTTTTTTGGTTTTTTGGTTTCTTGGTTTTTTGGTTTTTTGGTTTTTTGGTTTTTTGGTTTTTTGATTTGTGTGTGGATAGCCCAGACCTTGCCCATGGGTCTGAACTTTTCTTTTTTGTGTTCTCGAGGTTTTTGGCCAAACTGCAAAAAACAATGGAAAAACCAAAAAAACAAAAAGTTCAGACCCATGTCCCCTGCCAGGCCTCTCCCAGACCTTGCCCATGGGTCTGAACTTTTTTTTTGTTTTTTCCATTGTTGTTTTGAATGTTTTTCATGTGAAGATGCTTTCATCACAGTACCTCTCAAAAAAATGCGCGTCTCTACAATTTGCACACCTGCGCCCCCCAGGCCAAACTGCAAAAAAAACAATGGAAAAACCAAAATTCATTAATGACTTATATAATGACTAATATAATGATTAATGTAATGACTTATTTTTTCAAGAATATAATGACTAATATAATGATTAATATAATGATTAATATAATGATGATAAAATGATCAATATCATGATGAATATAATGATTATAAATGATTAATTTAATGATTATTAAAATGAAGAGTTTAATGATTAATATCATGATTATTATCATGATTCATATAATGATTAATGTAATGGTTCATATAATGCCTAATGCAATGACTAATATAATTCATATAATGATTAATATAATGATTCATATAATGATAAATATAGTGATTCATTTCATGATTTATTTAATATCTTTTATAATGACTAAGATAATGATTAATATAATGATTTTTGTAATGGCTGATATACTTGTTAATTTATTGACTAATTTAATGATTAATATCATGATTCATATAATGATTAATAAAATGATTAATATAATGATTCATTTAATGATAAATATAATTATTCTTTTCATGATTCATTTAATGACTTTTATAATGACTAGTATCATGATTATATTTTAAGAATGATTAATATAATGATTACTATTATGATGAATACAATGATTATAATACCATGAGTAAAATACTGACTAGTTTAATGAGTTTATATATACTGAGTAATGTAATGATTAATAAAATGATTAATATAATGATTAATATAATGATTAATTTAATGACTAATATAATGATAAATACAATGGCTAATATAATGAATGTTAAAATGATTAGTATAATGATTGATATAATGATTAATATACTGATTAATATAATGATTAAAATAGTAATTCATATAATGACTAAAATAATGATTAATAAAATGATAAATAAAATGATCAATATCATGATGAATATAATGATTTATATAATGATTAATTTAATGATTATTAAAATGAAGAATTTAATGATTAATATCATGATTATTATCATGATTCATATAATGATTAATGTAATGGTTCATATAATGCCTAATGCAATGACTAATATAATTCATATAATGATTAATATAATGATTCATAGAATGATAAATATAGTGATTCCTTTCATGATTTATTTAATGACTTTTATAATGACTAAGATAATGATTAATATAATGATGTTTGTAATGGCTGATATACTTGTTAATTTATTGACTAATATAATGATTAATTTAATGATATATATATATATAATGACTAATATAATGATTAATAAAATGATTAAATTAATGAATTATTTAATGACTGATATAATGATGATTCATTTTATGATTCATTTGATGATTAATATAATGATTCATAGAATGATTCATATAATGATTCATATAATGATTCATATAATGATTCATATAATGATTTATTTAATGACTTATATAATGACTAATATAATGACTAATATAATGATTAATGTAATGACTGCATGGAAAAAAGTGCACTCCCACAGCGGCCAGCTCTCAAAGTATATGGGTGAAAAGTATGTGCAAGAAGGGTTTCTGGGTGAAGAGTCTGTGGGTGAAAAGTATATGGGTGAAAAGGATGTGCAAGAAGAGTTTCTGGGTGAAGAGTCTCTGGGTGAAAAGTATATAGGTGAAAAGTATGTGCAAGAAAGTTTCTGGGTGAAGAGTCTCTGGGTGAAAAGTATATTGGTGAAAAGTATGTGCAAGAAGAGTTTCTGGGTGAAGAGTCTCTGGGTGAAAAGTATATGGGTGAAAAGTATGTGCAAGAAGAGTTTCTGGGTGAAGAGTCTCTGGGTGAAAAGTATATGGGTGAGAAGTGATTTGAAAGTATTTGTAGAAGGGTAAGAAGGGTTTCTGGGTGAAGAGTCTCTGGGTAAAAGGATATGGGTGAAGAAAAAGTATGTGCCAAGAAGAGTTCTGCTGAAACAGTCTGTCGTGCAAGGAGAGTTTCTGGGTGAAAAGTATATGGGTGAAAAAAGTGAAAATGAAAAGTAGGTGCCAAGACGAGTTTCTGGGTGTGAAAAGTATGTGTAATACGAGTTTCTGGGTGAAGAGTCTCTGGGTGAAAAGTATATGGGTGAAAAGTATGTGCAAGAAGAGTTTCTGGGTGAAAAGTCTATGCAAGAAGAGTTTCTGGGTGAAGAGTCTCTGGGTGAAGAGTCTCTGGGTGAGAAGTATATGGGTGAAAAGTATGTGCGAGAAGAGTTTCTGGGGTGAAGAGTCTCTGGGTGAAAAGTATATGGGTGAAAAGTATGTGCAACAAGAGTTTCTGGGTGAAGAGTCTCTGGGTGAAAAGTATATGGGTGAAAAGTATGTGCAAGAAGGGTTTCTGGGTGAAGAGTCTGTGGGTGAAAAGTCTATGGGTGAAAAGTATGTGCAAGAAGAGTTTCTGGGTGAAGAGTCTCTGGGTGAAAAGTATATTGGTGAAAAGTATGTGCAAGAAGAGTTTCTGGGTGAAGAGTCTCTGGGTTAAAAGTATATGGGTGAAAAGTATGTGCAAGAAGATTTTCTGGCTGAAAAGTCTGTGCAAGAAGAGTCTCTGGGTGAAAAGTATATTGGGTAAAAGTATGTGCAAGAAGGGTTTCTGGGTGAAGAGTCTCTGGGTGAAAAGTATATGGGTGAAAAGTATGTGCAAGAAGAGTTTCTGGGTGAAGAGTCTCTGGGTGAAAAGTATATCGGGTAAAAGTATGTGCAAGAAGGGTTTCTGGGTGAAGAGTCTCTGGGTGAAAAATATGGCGGAAAATAGGGTAGATGGGATGCTGGCTTTCGTTCCCCCCTTCTCAGGTATATATATATATGACATATTGTGTGCCATGGCTATGTCTATAAAACCAAATTGCGATGCTATGGCTATGGCTTTGTGTCGGTCCAAGGCGCTGGTGTGCCTCGCCTCCTTCTCGGGCGCCTACGAGGACTCGGAGATTTGCGCTCGGGCCCTCGATGGGCGAAGTCCACGGGGGACCTTTAATTTAACGGTTACGGTTGCTGTAACGTTTAGGACGGAGTCAGATTTTTTTTTTCCGGAACTTTTCCTTTTTTTAAAATCGTTTAGCACTTTTTGACCCTGGGTTCAAGGGAAGGCATGAGAGGGTTTGATGTTTAGATTGCTGCGCAAAGACCACACGTTTCGAGTCCAATTTTGCTTTGACCAGTCCTGGATGTGTCAAGTTGGCTTTGATATGGCTCGTTGAGGGGGGAAACCACTCCTATGACATTTTCTATCCAAAGTATGAAAATATTGAGGGTGTCGGCAGGCCAGCAGGTCGAGATTTTGATTCGAAAGGGACGACTACAGTATTCAATTTCAATCACTGTGGCACCCTCCTAGTTCGGTTGAAAATGAGCGAGAGGAATCAAGACAAGTTAAAAGTGATTGATTATGGCTGGGTAATCCCATCTCAAAGAAAAACCACACCCTAAATCACCGGTTTAGTATTGCATCTATTCACTTTGGGAGACATTTGGGGTGTCAACACGGAGCATACGATTTATGAATAGAGTCACTGAGGTCAGAGCTTGTCGCCATGGACTTGTACCAATGGGAGGCATGACATATCTGTCTGGGGCTCAGGCTTGGATCCAGGGCATTACTGTGGATTTTCAGTTGCCCAAGTTGCACGCCCATCTTATGGGCGGGTTCGCACTATGTTCGCTGATGTCCGACTCAAGAAAATGTATTGTCTTGTTGCTTATATCTCTTCCAGTTTTGCTGGAATTTGTCTTACTACCAGGGCTCTCTACACCCATTCCAAAGACTTCACAGTGTCTACTCAGTGATTGGGTGAACACCCCTACACAAAAGTAAGGCGTTGAAAATGGCACATCTATGCACATCTTGATTACATGATTCATTTTTAGCTGTATATATATATATATTTATAGACATTCTAATGTTTGTATTTACAGAATATACATATGTATAGAATGCTGTATGTGTACATGTTGTCCATTGTTTCTCACAGCATTTTTGTGTCTTTTTTCAATACTTCCCTCAGGTTGGCCTCGTTACCGTGGCACCTCGGTGAGTTCCTGGCCTTGACCGGCTGGACCTTGCGGGGCTACGAGTTGGTGGCCCTGGATCTGGTGGAGCACTGGCTGTCACCGGAGGCGCTGCCCTTTTTGGAGCTGACCTCGGAGAAGCAGCTGGAGGATGGGGCCGGGTCATGGCGGTCATGGGTCATTAGAACTATGACACTCTAAGCTCCAGAAGTTGGGTTATACATCTACCCCCTACATCTAGAGTTATATATATATACATACATACATACATACATACATATGTATATATGAGAGATATATATATAATATAATATAATATAATATATTATATTATATTATAATATTATATTATATTAGATTAGATTAGATTAGATTATATTAGATTAGATTATATTATATTATATTAGATTAGATTATATTATATTAGGTTAGATTAAATTATATTAGATTATATTATATTACATCATATTATATTATACTATATCATATTATATTATATTGTATTATATTATATTATATTAGATTAGATTATATTATATTATATCATATTATATTATATTATATTGTATTATATTATATTGTATTATGTTATATTATATTATATTGTATTGTATTGTATTATATTATATTATATTAGATTAGATTATATCATATTATATTATATTATATTGTATTGTATTGTATTATATTATATTGTATTATATTATATTATATTAGATTAGATTATATTATATCATATTATATTATATTATATTATATTGTATTGTATTATATTATATCATATTATATATTATATATATATCATATATAAGTCACTTATTCGTGGAACTACATCATCCCGGCTGGGGACGGGAAGGTTCATGGGGATTTTGCCGGAGTTTTTTGGCGAAAGCCTCAACCACTGGGGATGAAACTGATTTTTGGGGATGGATCGGATGGATCAATGTGAAATACCATATTTGGAGGGGATGAACATCATGAACATCCAGAAAAATCCCAGCGATTCCTTGGTGTTCACCAAGGACCCATGGCCATATATTCATTAGAATTAGAAAAAATATGGGGAGAGAATATAGTTGTGATTTTGAAACACTGCGAAGATGAAGTGGATGTTAAGCAGAAGAAATGGCGACAAATGGGGAATTTAACACCATCAAGCATGGAAGGGAAATTGACCGGAAAAAAAGCAGATGAAACGTATGCCATGGGATGAGGGGCCATCTTTGTGTCAACAACAGGTTGGATTGGTTCCACGGTTCCAAACATGAATTTAACCCAGGATTCAACTCAATGTCGGACCTTTGATTTCGACCCCCCACCATAAGGACAATAGTCCCTACACTGAACCTCTCCACTGAATAACAAACTATCATGTACATAATCTGAGATAAATGGGTCACAATGTTTCAGTTTTTCATAAAATTGACTAGACTACCTAGTTTGCTGCGAAGGTGCTTGAGCAATATCAATCCTGATAACCTACAAAAGGCTAAAAGCGAAAAACCGACTTTCTGTTGATGTTTTGGAGTTTCGTAGTTTCTCTCCCAAAAAAACACAGTCCTGAGGTCTGCCGCTCAATCGCACATGAGTACGGGCCACGGGTTAACATTGACTGCCTCGAAAAATGGTATACCATAGAACTCCAAGAGAGTCAAAGTGTTATGATTTTATTCTACTCCACTGGCAGATACTGCAAGCCGAGTAGTCAGGGCTATCTTTCCAACCCCATCTTTGAAGCTTACCCACATCACTGGTCCATTGCCATTCTGGTTGAAGCCCCATATTTTCTAGTGTAGATGAAATGCCCATTGTTCTTGGTAACCAATCCCCATGGGTGTTTTGGCAGTTGTAGCCCGCCACAGGTTTCTGAAGCAGATGCCAAGCTCCTGTTGCATGAGCATTCACTGCCTTTGCCACAGGAGCGATGCTTGCATCATAAGTGGTGGGATTTCCTGAGGAAGTTCATGATGGGATGGTTGACCAAAAAACCATGGTGTTTTGACCATGCTACATGTGCCTTCTGGGAGTTGGAGCAGTTTCTCTGCGTGGATTCCAGTTTCATCTTGGATTGCGGATCGAAGGAGGTTCTGAAACACACACGAATATCCTGAAGCATCCCGAAAACAATCCCAACTTCATCTTGATATATTTCCAAGTACAGTCATCCCGAACTAGTGTCAAAGTCATCTCAGCATATTCCCAACCACGGCCCGAATGTCGGCGCAGGAGGGCGATCTCTTCCAAATTTCAAATGCGGAGGTGATGGGCATAAACTTGGGAGTGGTGAGAACCCTGCAGCCAGGGTGTTGTTGTTTTCTTTCCCCCATGCTTTCATCACTGTAGTCTTTTTTTTTTGTTTATTGTGATTATTCCTTTATGTTGTCTTGTTTTTCGTTTTACCCCAACAGCCATAGCTTAGGGGTCTCAGCCCAGATAAAGCTTGCAGCTTCCTTAGCAGCAGCTTCCCGGCTGCTTCCGGGACGTTTAGGGGATTCTCACTGTCAAGATCCGGTACCATAGCCATTCTTTAATCATGATCATATTGTATTGGCAGGACATACACACACACATACGTATACATACATGTACATACATGTACATACATGTACATACATGTACATACATGTACATACATGTACATACATGTACATACATGTACATACATGTACATACATGTACAGACAGACAGACAGCCAGCCAGCCAGACAGACATACAGACAGCCAGCCAGGCAGGCAGGCAGGCAGACAGACAGACAGAGAGCCAGCCAGCCAGCCAGCCAGCCAGGCAGGCAGGCAGGCAGGCAGGGCAGGCAGACAGACACACAGACATGTAGAGTTAAACGGGGGTGGGATTTTTATATTCCCTAAATCCCCAATACCTTTGTTGATCTTCCCAATGGAATGCAGAGTTGCAACAACATTTGATTGGGAATGGGGACCCACTACGCTGCATCGCCTGGGCAACGCCCAGACGTTGCGCATATATATATACAAACATACATACAAACATACATACATACACATACACATACACATATACATGTACATATACATATACATATACATTTACATATACATATATATATATATATATACTAATATATATATATAAATATGCATGCATACATATACGTGTATATATATACATGCACATATATATATACTAATTTATATACATATATATATGTATAAATACATATTTGTATATATGTATACATATGTGTGTATATACAACATATACGCATTATATGTTTATTATACACAAAATATGCAATTGCTTGCCTGAATTCTTCCCACTCCAAGGGAGAAGGCTTCAAGAGGAGGTTCAGACTCCGGGAGTTCTGGGGTCTCGAACTCCAGTGTCAAATTGGTTGGTTTAAGGGAAAATCTACAGGAAACCATGGTTTTTCTCACTAAATATGTCCAAAACAAGTGGGTTTTCCTGTGGATTTTCCCTTAATCCGAATGACAATGCTATTTTTGTGCCATTTTTTCTGGGGATGTAATGGAACTTATACCCATCAGAATTATAAATAATTATAGTATTTTTTTGTGTGAAATGATTGAGAATAGCACATCAAATGATTTACACACGTTGAGTTTTTTTTTGTTCCCTCATGGAAACAACAAAAGTCAAAATACAGCGCTAGCAAAAATGGCTGGATGGACAGTCTCCAGGATCTTCTGAAGCTTGATGATTTTCTCAGTGATTGGTAAATAAATGTCCCTGTTTGGAGATTTTGAACATTATTTGTTGGAGAAAGTATTTGAGAAAGTATTTGTTGGAGATTAATCCCCAGTACTTGATGTGACAAATTAGGACATCTACCAACCCCTGTTAGAAAGCGGCAGCTTTCTTATTGGTCAGATACATTCCGCTCATCAACAAGATCTTCCGGCACAAGAGTCCGCTCTTAATTCGGGAGGCGTCCTGCACGGGCGTGCCTCGATCTGGGTCTGAAGATGTGCCCAAGAAAATGTGATGATAAACCACTGGCTATTTCAGGAACCTAACTTGGAGGTACCTAGCATGTACATACGTATATATATATATAGATATACATATATATATATAACTATGTATATAGGTATATATATATATATGTACAAATGTATATATGTATATATGTATATATGTATATATGTATATATGTATATATATGTATATATGTATTTATATATGGATATATGGATATATGGATATATGGATATATGGATATATGGATTGTGATTTCTCTATATTTCCCGACACTACCTTGCCAGGGGTTTTTAGACTTGACATGCAGCCGCATGTGTTCCAACCTTGCCTACATGCATCAGCATGTCCAATTACCGTGGCCACCACTTTCCAGGCCCAAGAGGGGGTTTTGATTCACGGCGAAGCCCGTAAAAAGGGCATTTGCGCGCTTCGCGCACTTGGTTGGGCCATAGGTGAATACCCTGCGTTGTGGGTACAACCATTTGTTGCTGAGGCTAGCAACTCATTCATTTGTTCAGGGGACAAACAACAATCCTTTTGGAATCTACGAATCTTCAAAGGGCCTGGGGCCTTACATCATTGTTCCATTGCTGGCTGTATCTTGGTTTCCCTACCAATTGTGGACATTTCACGGCTCCTTAGGGCTCTGGATACTTCGTGATTTTCTTTGATCACGATCCCTGGAAAGGAGGACGATCCAGACGTTTTTTTGAGTGTCCACAGGTGAAGCCATGTCAGAGACTGAAGCTACGGCCACAGGGGCCCCAGCTTCCAATCCAGCTGGGTCAGGATTGAACCTGGTGAAACTGATTTACTGGAATACTCCAAGCGTTTGGAGTTCCTTGGAGGATTGTGGCCTCCCGAATTTCTTTCACAACTGGCACCGAGAGCAGCGTTGCAGTGCCGCGGATCGGCATTCCAGAAGGTGGTGCGGCTACCACCTGAAAAGTTAAAGGTGAACAGTTTGGAAGGAATCAAATTGATTGTCAAGACCCTTGAGGGGGTCTGGGGCAAGACTGTCCTGGAAGATCGCTATGAGAAGTTTGAGAGAGCCATCTACGGAATTTCGCAGAAAAATGACGAGAGCAATGAGTCCTACATGGCCAGACATGAGATTCTGTTCGAGGACATGCTTGCTCAGGGTTCGTCGATCAATGATGTCCGTGCATACTGCCTGCTCAGGAATTCAGCTTTGAGTGCCGAAGACAAAAAGCGTGTCCTGGTAGAAGCCAAGGGAAACCTACAGTATGACCGAGTGACTACTGCAATCCGTATGTTGGGTGCCAAATTCTTTCATGAAGTTCAAGGACAACAGAAACAATGCCGTGGAAAGACATATGAAGTGAACCATGTACAAGAAAATGATGATGAAGTGTTCCACACGGAAGACCAATCGGTTTTGTATGCTGCGGATTCTCAGGAGTTAACAGTAACCATGGTAGATCAATGTGCACTTGATGGTGATGAGGATGCACTTGTGGTGCAGCAGTTTGAAGAAGCTGTCATTGAAGCCGTTCAGAGTGACGGCGAGATGGCCATTTTCATGTCGACCTACCTGGATGCACGAAAGCGACTCCTTGAGAAATCCCGCAGCCGCGGATTCTGGCCAGTGAGGGGAAAGGGATTTGGAACGAAAGGGAAATCCAAAGAGATGTCAAAGGGGCGCAAGCCTTTGGCTTTGCGCATCGCAGAGTCCAATTGTCGACTTTGCGGAGCCAAGGGGCATTGGAAGGCAGAATGCCCTCGAAAGCTTGCCAGTGGAAACCTCTCTTCGTCCATGTCTTCCAGCACCAGGAATCCAGCGTCGGCCAACGTGATGATTTCTGAGGTTGACCTCACTGAGGATGCCGATGTCTTTGTCATGGAACAGGGAGTTGTCACGCCAGTTCAGCCGAGTTCGCACCAGGCGGGGTACCTCCATAAGCTGAAATCACACTCCCAAGACATTTTCTTGTGTAACCATTTGAACTATAACCCCAAAAGCAATTGCCATGCCCCAAAGACCCAACAATCCACTTTCATTCAACAGTTCCGTCAGAAGCTTTCCAGTGTGCTCGCCAAATACCAACCGCCGACCGTTCACAGGAAACCTTCCCGTGAATCGCCATGTGAAACCCCCTCTCCACCTGAGGGAGGACTGAGTGATAGGTTCAGCCAGAACTTTTGTGTGCCTGGTGGAGTCCCATTGCCTATGCATCCAACTGTAACCTGAGAAGTTAAGCTGTCATCCGAGACTGCACTGTTTGCCACTTCCATGACCACTGGAATTGTTGACTTCTCAGACTGTCATGGGACAACATCAGCTGGATGAATTTCTTTGCAATGTGCCAGCGGCGATCCGTCCGCTGATCCAAGAACGTAAAATCAACATGTCATTCCGATTTGGGAATAACAGCATCGTGCCTTGCCATCGTGCGATCCTAGTACCAGTAGATCGATTCCTGATCAAAATCGCCATTGTGGAGTCCAAAACACCTTTTCTCATTTCCAACAGTGTTTGTCGCAACTTGGGAGCAGTTATTGATACCACCAAACAGACCATTTTTTTTCGTGAACTGCAGTGCACGTTGCCTTTGACACTGTCCGGAAAGAACCTTTTCCTAATGGACTTTTGTGAACTTTTGGAGAAGAAGCCACCAAGACAGACCGAGACGGATTGCCAAAAGAAGCAACCTGCCGAGACCGTGTTGAATTGTCATGCAGCTGAATCTGACTCAACAGATCCAAAATCGTTTCAAGAACCGCAAGCATCCGATTTGCCAGCCCAGATGTTTTTTCCAGATCATGTGACCGATCAGAGTGTTTTGATCTCGAGTGACACCAGCGTCCATTTGCAACTGCCGTCTCAACCGAGTGATCACCATGTCAAGTGCCCAGTCCAGCCTGAGTTTGACCGAACGTTTCGATGCCATCCAGAACTCCGAGAAAAGGACCAACTCAAGCAGATGCAACTGCCTCAGCTCTCCGAGATGACGATCGCCTTCGGACAGACCAAGCTGGGCCATGGAGAAGTGATCAACACAGATCCTCGCTACTGCCGGTGGTTCCTGGGAAAGTACGGCGACAGCAAGAAGATGGAACACCGCACATTTGTGCGCTTTCTGAATCTCTGGATCGATCAAAAGGAGCTGGAACAAGAGCAGCCGACCCAGCCCAGTGCCAAAGCCGTGGCAAAGGGCCGTCCCTCACCGGATCATGGGAGACGATCACCACCGTCACCCTCTCTGGATCCCATCGATCTGGACGACGAGGAGACGTGGGACGAGATTCAGATGTCCCGATCCGAGAAGCACGCCGAGGAGGTGAATGCCCATCGTTTGGATCAAGTAGAAGAAGTACTGAATCATGTTCTGACGCAACTCCAGCTCTTGACCAATCGCAGCAGCGTAGCATAAATGCTCACAGCAGTTTCTCATCAACCAATGTATCTCAGAGTTCAATGCATACGTCCAATCACTTGATGGTAAACACGTTGGCATGCAAACCACCAAGAATACCAATTGGGTTTATGATGAGATGATGGCATACATGCAACAGCGCTCACCATCACATGCTTCTCAGACTTCACTCATCGATGTCCTTGAGATCTACTGTTCTGCAGATAGCCAATTGACCAAACAATGCATCCGTCAAGGTTTGAAGACAGTACGTTTTGGCCTAGCTCAAGGGGATCTTTCGACATATGATGGACGCTGTAAGCTTTATGACATCCTGATGAAGTACAGACCCTTACATGTTTGGATGTCTCCAAAATGCAAGGCTTGGTGTCGTTGGAACCAGTTCAATCAAATGAGGTCCCAAGAACTTGCTTTGAAGATCCAACAAGCCCGTGCGGATGATGAAGTCCATTTGATGCTGTGCGAAGCTGTGTTTCGCTGGCAAGTTTTGTCTGGAGACAACTGTCATTTTCATTTGGAACAGCCAGTAGGTTCTGACATGTTGTATCAGGATTCCTTGCAGTTCATTCTGGACAATGCCCTTTTGGTGAGATGTGACATGTGCAATGCCGGCCACCTACATCACCCTGTCAACAAACTAGCCATTCAAAAGGGGACTCAGATTGTCACCACCTCCCAGATCCTAGCACAGTATCTCAATAATCTCAGGTGCAATGGACAACATGAACATTCCCAGATTGCCGGTAGTTTTTCGACATCTCAGGGGTCTTTCAAAATGCCTCAGTTTACAGAGTTGTACACCCAGACTTTTGGAACTCGTGTTGCCAAAACAATTTTGGCCAGTAAGAAAGTCCATGAACTTCCAGTGACTGCCAACCTGAGCCTGACGGCTGATGGATCAGATCAAGTCGAAGAACCTGATCTGAAACGCTGACGCATGAATGGCAAGATGTCTCCGTTGCCTGCATGCCGTGATCACATGCCAGAGCCAGGGCAGAATCATGCATCCCGTAGAAAAGAAATCCTTGATCAAGCAATGACCATTGCCCCACGTGTTGGTAAAAAGATCCTTGAGGATGGAGACATTTTTGACTCAATTCAGGGCCTGTTTCCAGAGGAAATCGGTCAACCCCTGAATGATCTCATCACTAATGCCTTGCTGTTTGAGGACCTGTTGAAGCTTATTTAGCCCTGGATGTCCAAGATTATGATGAATCTTATTCAGCCATTGTCGGGTTTGAGGATTCAAGGCTTTGAACTTGGGTCCATGGCACATAGTGGATTCATGGAGCTTGGACACTTCACAGTCGGTCGGAGACTTGACTGTCTCATGGGGAGGTGTCACCTCCTTATCAGCAGCCGGAACAGGGACTGGGCTCACATCATGGTCATGAGCTTTCAGCTTCTTGACACATCCCTGGTCATCAATCTCAAGATCATCTTGCCTACGCTTGGCATCTCCCGCATCAGGCGGAATCGCCGGGAGTGGGCCACTGGGAGATTCAGGACTTTCGACAGCTTTCCGGGCAAACACTGTGACCAACAAACGGGCAGGTTGAGCTTTTGAACACATTTGACGATTGCTACAGGACTCCCAATGTTTCCACACTTCAGGTTCCAGTGGCTCAAGGCTATGACGGTGCAGGCCAAACGTGTATCTCAAGGCGCTTCCTGAGGGAGCATCTTAATTGGTGGTTTTCGATACCGGTCGGTACCCTTGCAAAATTGCTCGACCCGCAGTTTTGTCGGAGCCCAAGGACTTCAACGATGTGGTTGGTTGTGACTTGATGTCATGGACAGCCAAGTCAGGCAAAGTGTTCCAGTGTATCCATTTTATTGACACGGCAACGAACTTCCAACTGGCGGTTCCAGTCTTTAGAACGGATGCCGAAACCCTGTTCGAAGCCTTTCAGGATTGCTGGCTTCGATGGGCCGGGCCTTGCAAACAATTAGTCATAGACAATGAATCAGCTCTGTGTTCCGACCAGTTTGCCCAACTAGCTCAACAACAGAACATCCATCTTCGTGTAGTTGCAGCATATGCTCACTGGCAGATGGGAAAGACCGAAAGACATGGAGACATCCTTCAACACATACTAGTCAAGTATGACCATGAGCATGCCATTGAGACCGAGGTCCAATTCAAACATGCGTTGAATCATGCCTGTAATGCAAAGAACTCACTGGCTAGATCCAAAGGATATACTCCAGAAATTCTTGTACTGGGTAAAAGCTTAAACTTGCCAGGCATTTTGTCAGAAGATCCCAAGCAGCCTGCCAACTACCTTGCAGACAGCGACAGTCCTGAGGGTTTGGCCTTTAGGAAACAACTCATGCAACGTGAAAGTGCCCGTAGAGCTTTCATTGATGCCGACAACAATGACAAATTGAGACGTGCCTTTCTGAGAAGACAGAGGCCACATCGCGGTTTTCACTCGAGTGGAACATACGTTTTGTTTTGGAGACCAGGAAGAGGTGAGAGTCCGGGTCAATGGCATGGGCCGGCTCGGGTTATCATCCAAGAATCCGAAAGTGTGTTGTGGTTGTCATTTTCCAGTCGAGTGTATCGTGTGGCTCCTGAACACGTCCGCTGTCTTTCAGCGTGAAGCCAGCAGCTGCCTAGATCAGATGGCCAGTGGCCCCATGCCTGTTCCCACCAGTGATCAAGGCAAAGGGGTGTTCCAATATGAAGATCTCACTGAACAGGTCATCGCACCACCTCTGATGTTACCCGAAGATAATAACTTTCCCAACTATCCCAATCCGACCAATGAGACCAATCCCAATACCATTCCAGGAACCGAACTTGAAATTCAGCCAGATGCCGAACCTAGCATTGCACCACCATCCAATGTATCATCCGGGTATGCACCAACTACTCCCCTCAATGATGTTGAGGACCCTAACATGTTGAATCCAAATCCCCCTATTGATGTCAACCAGCCGGTTGAAGTACCTGTTCCAGCCTCAAGTGATGATGAGTTGTGTGCGGAAGACACGTGGTTGGTAACAGACTCCCAGCTGATTCGAATCCACAAGAATCCCCGAAAACATGCCTTTGATCCAAGCTCAACTACAGATTGCCCAGTCGACCTCATACGTATTTGTGGAGTACGTTCAACGACTGGTCACTGTGATGAAATGCCTGCTTGGAATAAGATTGATGATTGGGGTACCAACTCTTCCCAATGGAAAACTACGCACCCATGGACTGGTGTAACCTATTTTTCACTGCTTGAACTTCCTGACAAGCCTATCCCGGAAGAATCACCAGACATTTTGCATGTCCAATCCGATGAAGGTTTTGTGTGTGAGATTTTCCTGACAGCCGATGACATTCAAGAAATCCGAGAATGTCCTGCTGAGTTCCCAGCCCTGGCTGCGTCAGCAGCTAAGCGTCAACGAGCTGAAATAAAAATCAAAGATCTCTCCACAGCCGAAAGAACAGAGTTTGACAAAGCAAAATGTAAAGAGATTGATCAATGGCTTGCCACCTCAACAGTGCGAAAAATTCTTAGGAGCCAAATACCTGAACAAAACATTCTCCGTTGTCGTTGGGTCCTGACATGGAAAGATCTAGATGAGCATGATGCCTTGCTAGAAGGAAAACGTAGGAAAGCCAAAGCTCGCTTGGTGATCCTAGGATATGGAGACCCGAACATCACCGAGATTCCCCAACGCTTCAGAAGGAATCACGAGCGTTGTTGATGCAACTATGTGCCTCCCGCAAATGGATCATTGGGAGTTTTGACATTAAAACTGCCTTTCTCCGTGGGTCCAGAAGGGATAACAGGGTATTAGGCTTAGAACCACCAGCCGAAATGCGTGCCAAACTGCAACTTGAAGAATCAGAAATCGTAGAACTCCTCAAATCAGCCTATGGACTTGTGAATGCCCCCTATTTGTGGTATCAAGAACTAAGAGAACAGCTCTTAACTTTGGGATTCTGCCTGGGTCCCCTAGATCCATGCCTGTTTGCTTTGACCGGAAAAGAAGGACAAGTTCACGGGTTGATTGGCATGCATGTTGATGATGGCCTATGTTGCGGGGACATGACATTCCTTAAAGCTTTGAATCAATTTGAAAGTAAATTTCCATTTGGATCCAAAAGAGAAAAAGATTTCACATTCACCGGGATTCAAATTTCTCAAGATGATGACTTCAATATTCACCTCAATCAAACTGAATATGTCCGAAGCATTGACGCCATCTCTGTCGACCATGATCGACGAAAGAATGAGGACCTTCCAGCCTGCCGGGACTCATAGGATCACTGCAGTACGCATCGACCCATACCAGGCCAGATCTTGCTGCGAAGCTCAATTTCTTGCAGTCAAAAATCATATGTGCCACGATTCATGACCTTCTTGAAGCTAACCGAGTGTTAGGGGAAGCCAAAAAGTACTCGAACATGAAAATAACCATATATAGCATTTCCGAAGAAGACATTCGCATGATGGCCTATTCTGATGCGTCTTTTGCCACCCGAAGTAAACAACAGAGTCAAAAGGGTGGACTGTTTCTTGCAGCCCATAAAGATATCCTGAGTCAAAAGAGAGCAACCGCAAGTCCCTTGATATGGTATTAAAAGAAATTGAAAGAGTAGTTGCCAGTACCTTGGCTGCAGAGACGTATGCTTTGTCCGCCGTAGTCGACCTGATTGATTGGCTCCGTTTGGCATGGGAATGGATGCGAAATCCAGCCATTCCATGGCAAAAGCCCGAAGAGGTCTGGAACCATGCTCCACCAAGCATTGCGGTGATTGACTGTAAGTCCTTATACGATGTAATAAACAAAAACACGACACCTCAGTGTCAGGAACACCGCACCCTCATCGAAGCACTTGTCATCAAACACCATGTTAAGTGTGGAATTCAGACTCATTGGGTACACAGTGCCGCCCAACTAGCCGATGCCTTGACAAAGTCCATGGATTGTTTTCGATTGCGACAATTCCTTGCCCACTGTACATGCTGCCTACATGATATACAAGAAGTGTTGAAAGATCGAGCCGATCGAAAGGCAATCAAGACATGGCTTTCCGACAATGCCATGAATCCGAGACTTGGGCCAGAACCAACGTTTTTTGGGGTAAAGGATGGTAAATTTGATTTCATTTATTTAAACAATGAAAATTTGGGAGTGTGATTTCTCTACATTGCCCGACACTACCTTGCCAGGGATTTTTAGACTTGACATGCAGCTGCATGTGTTCCAATCTTGCCTACATGCATCAGCATGTCCAATTACCGTGGCCACCACGTTCCAGGCCCAAGAGGGGGTTTTGATTCACGGCGAAGCCCGTAAAAAGGGCATTTGCGCGGGGCGCGCACTTGGTTGGGCCGTAGGTGAATACCCTGCGGTGTGGGTACAACCATTTGTTGCTGAGGCTGGCAATTCATTCATGTGTTCAGGGGACAAACAACAATCCTTTTGGAATCTACGAATCTTCAAAGGGCCTGGGGCCTTACATCACTGTTCCATTGCTGGCTGTATCTTGGTTTCCCTACCAATTGTGGACATTCCACAATGGATATATGGATATATGGATATATGATATATGGATATATGGATATATGGATATATGGATATAAGTACAAGGCCTATTCTTAGGTCGAAACTTCAGGGGATATGGGCCCAATTTCCAGGACCGGATTGCCTGGACTTCTCGGGAGGAACAGCCATTCCGGTGATTCCCAGAGTATGGTGAAATCATGTTGAATCCCTTATAAGTGCCATAAATCCTGGGGATCATTGCAATTATAGATTAATTTCAGATGATGTCTCTGATGCCTGCCATTAAATTATCTCCCGATAAGATAGTTGGTTTAGCCATGAGTAACCATTGTTTTCATGTTTTCCAGGACCAGGTGTCAGGTCAGATGCAGTGCAGGCGCTGAAACTCGAACAGAAGAGTGCGCAGAGCGCGAGCGACTACAAATTCTTGGAGGCTGTTTGGGGAAACCTGAAAAACAGGGTTTGGTAAATGTCCCATTTTGGGGATTTTGAACATCACTTGCAAGTATCTGTTGGAGATTATATCCCCAATATTTGGATGTGTATTATCCCCAAAAAGATAGAAATAACTCCAAGACATTGTCCACTCAAAAACCACTGTAGTTATCTCAGTTTGCTAAATGGATCATCAATATCTGGTTCTTGTTCCCAATTTCCAAGACACTTTGAAAAATGGAAAAGGATCATGTAAAAAATGTCAATATCCAAAATCTGCATCGTTTCAAAAGAAGCAAATGGATCATCAAAATCTTTGAACTTCCTCTGCTGAGGAGTGCCTGGAAGGAATGGATCAGGCCAGTACCAAAGCTTCATGGATAACGTCAGGGTCTCAAGGAAGCAGAGTAGTGTCAAGACAATGTACAGAGAGGCCATCAACTTCTGTTTGCATTTTTGAAACTACAGTCTCTACTGTTTTTTTTTTTGTGTGTGTTGAATCAGTCATTTTCCCATTTCGTCTTGTTTTGCTTTGTTTCGCCTCTTTTGCAATTTTGTTTTATCATGTCTGCATTTTCCAGTCAAAACTTGTGACTGCAACACACACACACACACACATATATATATATATGTAATGTAATGTAATGTAATGTAACGTAATAATGTAATGTAATGTAATGTAATGTAGTGTAGTGTAGTGTAGTGTAATGTAATGTAGTGTAGTGTAATGTAATGTAATGTATGTATGTATGAATGTATATAAATATAGATGGGGGTACAACGGTATCGTGTAGCCATAACTGGTCGTTCCCCCTGGGATTGTGGATGAAATGACGATCCATTTGTGCTGTGCGAACCCAGTGCCATATATTGCCAGAAAATCATAGTGAGGGGTGAAGGGGTTGCAGAAAACATCCCATTTTCTTGATGCGTATTTTTTTGAATCTCATAAATTCTTTTTTGGGATGGTGCCTCTTATCCCAGAAATATCGATATTCGCATCATTCCATGATCCGCCTTTTTATACCAACCAAAATTGGGGGTTTATCATTCCAAGTATCCCATAGTTTCTTACGTATAACCGCAGTTATCACTGACTAATTGATCCAGTTCTCAGCTGCCCTGTTGCGACTTAGGCTTGAGCTCATTGACAACGCGCGAAAGCGCCGCAACGATATCAAGAACAAGAACGACCCTAAAAGGCAGGGACAGGACGTGCCTGGAGCGACGGTTGAAACCAGGGTTTTTTAACATGAAATGCAGGGATTACCATCAAATATAGGGGTGCTTACAGGATTTACCCTGCAGATTTGGTTTTCACACGCGCCAGGCCCGAAGCGGACGAGAGGTGCGATTTCTGTGCGCTTCGCTCATGTTCTCTTGGGGATGATGAATTCATAGCCATAACAAAAACGAGGATTATTTTTCACTGCTGATTAACATTGGATGAATCATTTTTTTCATGATCGTGAGTAGATTACCTTTAATTACTGATCAACATCAGATGATCACTGGATTCTGAGGTAGCCTATCTTTGGACTCTGGACGAACGAATTGCATGACCTGATGTTGCTGGGGTGGCAAAACCAGCTACAGGCGAATTCGCGAAGGGTGTCTTCCGGAAAGTTTGAGGCCGCTGAATACTCTTGCAAAAGTACTCACAAGACCAAGACTGACATGTGACACTCCCTTAAATTGTACATATGTAACTATAAGTATACTTTTACAGTACAACACATCCAAAGATCATTATATAGATGTGATACGTACATACATACATATATATATATATATCTGTACATATATATATATGTATACATATGTCTGCATCATGCATGTATGTATGTATGTTATGTAATGTAACGTAAAGTAACGCAGCGTAATGTAATGCAATGTAATGCATTGGTATGTAATAAGATGCAATGTAACGATGTAATGTAATGTACTGTAATGTATGGAAAAGTATGGCAATGTATGTAATTATGTAATGTAATTATGTAATGTAATTATGTAATGTAATGTAATGGTATGGTATGGAATGTAATGTAATTAATGTATGTACGCATGTAGGTATGTAATGTATGTAATGCATGTAATGTATGCAATGTGTGTAATTTGTGTAATGTGTGTAATTAATGCGTGTAATGTGTGTAATGTGTGTAATGTATGCAATTTATGTAATGTATGTAATGTATGTGTGTATGTACGTATGTATCTTCGGAAGTATCTATCTACGTTTGTATCTTCGTAAGTATCTATGTATGTATCTATGTATGTATCTATGTATGTATCTATGTATGAATCTATGTATGTATCTATGCATTTGTCTGTGTATGTATCTATGTATGTATCTATGCATCTATGTATGTAATGTAATCTAACCCAATGTAATGTAATGCAATGATAGATGTAAGTGTAACTGAAAATCTACATGTACATGTAAATGTGAATTTAAATGCAAATGCAAATGTAAATGTATGTATGTATGTAGACATGTAAATGTATATGATAATTGTGATTTAGATTTACAATGATTGTAACGTCATGTAACATTATATGCACACTCAACATACGTTAGTGACAGTGAGTGTATAGTAACAGTTGGTGTATATCTTACAGAAATGGTAACATGTAAAGTATTATCAAAGTCTTCACATCATCATGTCAAACAGAGTGGTAGCAACAGTAGCTGGCAAGTGAAAGTAATTGATCATCAGAACTCCAAATGTGTAGCAGTAGTATAGAACTTCTGTCCTGGCCAGTTGTGGAAAGTCAGCCCTGCGGCGCGCTCGGAATCTTATTCAGAATGTGAGACCTTAAAAGACTCTTCAACTTGTATGCTTAGTATGGCGGGTAAGAGAAGGGTTTCCAGGCTGCACGCACGCAGTGGTTTCTGTGGCGTCTTCATTTTGGACTCCTGATGCTCAGTTGAGTTGAATGTTCGGCAGGCATTTGGATGTTGTTTTTTCATGGTTTTTCCCAATGTTTTTGACATCCAGGATATCTTAGCTGAATCATGGAACGAAACATCGATAAGTTGAACTCTTGGAACAGGCTTTTTGAGAGACCGCAAAACTAACAATCTAGATTTCATGTTGAACAGTCTTTTGACTGTTTGCACGAATGTAACATTGACGACAAAGTTTAAGATCGAATGCCTCGCGCATGTCTCGGATGCGGCCAAGTGGGACATCGCTTGGAAAGCTGCAGTTCCGAGGCCGCCGTGGAGATTAGAAGATTGAGATCGAAGTTAGAGAAGACCAGACACAAAGCCGGTGCAAGAAACAATCCCGGTCGGAAGAACAGAAAGTCTGGATATACGAAAGAGAAGGCTCGAAAAGCCTATACCAAAAAACATGTTAGGAAGACGTACTGTCAAAAACGCACAGGGTAGCATGACGTATGTGTGCCAGTGCAAGAGAAGATCCCACAGCGTCGCATGACGTATGTGTGGCAGTGCAAGAGAAGATCCCACAGCATCGCATGACGTATGTGTGCCAGTGCAAGAGAAGATCCCACAGCGTCGCATGACGTATGTGTGGCAGTGCAAGAGAAGATCCCACAGCGTAGCATGACGTATGTTCAAGTTGCCATGAACGTTATTACACCCACCCCAACCCCACCCCAAATGACAGAGATGCATATTTTACTGTTATGCGCACCATACAATCCATGAGTGTTCAAGTTGACATGAACGTTATTACCCCCACCCCACCCCACCCCAACCCCACCCCACATGACAGAGATGCATATTTTATTTATGCGCACCATACAATCCATGAGTGTTCAAGTTGACGTGAACGTTATTACCCCCACCCCACCCCACCCCAACCCCACCCCACATGACAGAGATGCACATTTTATTCCTATGCGCACCATGCAATCCATGAGTGTTCAAGTTGACATGAACGTTATTACCCCCACCCCACCCCAACCCCACCCCAAATGACACATATGCATATTCTATTGCGGGTTTTTATGTGCGTGCATGGTTCTAGTAATGCTGAGATGATATATATATAGATATATATATATATACACATACATTTAGAAGGTTGACCATGGTCGCATATTGTGGTGCGTGGGGCTTGCCAGCCTTCACAGCATACATGATATCTTTAGAACCTTGTAAAAAACCATCATACAAATACACACACACAGACACTTGTATAAATACATGCAGGTATATATATATATCTTACATGCAGAAAACTTGTGCATCTCTCTCTCTCTGCATATGTTTATGTTTATGTTTATGTATGTCTATGTATACGCACATACCTTGCGTGGTTCCACCCAAAGTCAGCCAGCCTCGATCGCCACGCCAGGAAAGAACTTTGGGCCCAGCAGTGCTTACTTCAGGGCAAGAAGGCGTCCAGCTGAAGCAGATGGGCCGTTGATGGTGGCTAGTTCTACACCTGTAGCATGGTCGACTTACATGGGATTCATGGGGTTATGGTCAAGTTGTGGTCTTTTGGTCATCCCAACATGAAATGGTACATCCTGAGGTCCTGAATCTTTGCCATGGTAGCTAATGGTGGCATGGCACTCCTCCAATTAATTTTCGGATCTGGCAGCCGGACGATCTTCCGATCAACAATGGGGGTATCCCAGGCAGCCATGTTTGATGGGTCTTCCATAAACTTTGTACCCCATTGCCATCCCCAACATATTGCCTGCATAGGATTTGTGGGCGCTTTATTTTGACCTGTAGAAGTTTTCAACCACAACCAAACCACAGCTAATCCACCATGAAAACATCTTTTTAAATGTAGACCCAAAACCATTTGGAGCGGTGCTTTTAGTGAACCTATGGGTATTACTAAAACCTTTGTGTACTACTGTTCATGGCACTATTTTAAACCTATGGTATGTCAAACAATTAGAGTTGCCACTTGGAGGATCATCCCATATACTCGGGTGATTGATATAACAATTTGATACAGAAAATTGACCATGTAGTTGATTATTTACCAATAAAAACGGTGATTTCCATAACTGTATATCATTATATAATACACATACATACATACATACATACATACATACATATATACATACATACATACCTACATACATACATATTTACTTGCTCGTTTGCTTACTTACTTACTTACTTACTTACTTACATACATACATACATACATACATGTATATATATATATATCCTGAACACTTTTACTTTCAAAATTACCAGAGGCTATATCCCATTGTATATACGTATATATATATATGGTATACTACAATATAGTTTGTTGGTTTATCTATATTGGTGTCCAAAAAACCCATTAATTCCGCATACGAAACTCTTCCTATTCTCCCACGATTGGTTTGCAGGATCTCCCGGAGATAATCCAACGGCTACATGCGGCATGTACTCATCAGGAGATGCCGAGGCCACACGGGGTAAAGTTCAGCTTGTGGACCATGTCTGGTTTCATGGTCCAAGGATGGGCAAGAACCAAAGATGGGCATTTCACCTCAAAAAGTGGGAGAATGGGGATTATAAACCCACTTGTTTTTAAAACGGGTGATTTTGGGTGGAAAAATAGGAATTCAACCATTAGAAATGGCAAGTCAATCAACCAATGATTGATTTTTTGGTCACGCAGACATGCGCAGGTTTTTGGTATTCCTAGCATTTGGGGATGGAACCCCAGAAAAAAATCCTAACAAAAATGGAGATTTATGGGATTTGGGGACTGCTGAATAGGGGGATCAACACCAATACACAAACTATTTTGGTGTGAATGAAAGGGTACTGGGGTTGTGACCTAGTACTTGTTTGGGCAACACCCAGTTACAGTAATCCGTTACAAACCTGACGGTTTGCTTTGGGGGTTGGGGACCACTCTAATGTACACGTCCCATGTTCACAAACATCGTGTGCTTTGTGGATGTCGACATAGCTGGTCGTAACCAGTTGGACATCCAGTTGCGCAGAAGATGGGTTGCTAAACTTGGAAATAGATGTCTGACATTTACCTTTCTGAGTAACGATATGTAGATCACCAGCCCCTCATGGAGGGATTCAATCTCAAGGAATACTCAAGGGTGTTCTCAACATATGAGTGGTTGCCCTTGCATGACTGACCCTTTGCAGTTCTCAACCATCCTATATAGAACCATGTTGTAAAACCAAATAAGGAGACATAACTAGTAAGAATATTTGTTGATTCATATTCATTTTTCAGAAGTAATCAAGTTAGAGATGAAAAAAGGAACAAGGGTGTGTGAGGGACCCAAAAGATTCGAGTCGTGGATGTTTTGAGTGACATTTCGATGCCTGGAATTCACCAGCCGACCAATGCAGACCCCCGGTTAGGGGTTAGGGCACGGTTGCGGCTACTTGTATGGCTATGACCATGGCAATTTTTAAGCCTCATAAGTGACTCAGAAGTTGGGATACAACTCCGGTGAACCATATCCACTCATATATAAGCGGAAATGCACTTCCAAGTAGATTAATTACCCAGTTACAGCTGGGATAAGCCACAACAAATCAGGGACTTAACCAGGGTGATTCACTACGATTTGTGGGATGAAGCTGCCAGTAGCTGCGTATGGGGCCAAAATCCATGGAATCCCCTTCACCAAAAAAACCAGTATAGCCAGTATTGCTGGCTGTTTGTTCTCTGAAACCATGGTATAATGAGTTTTGATCAATCCCCAGAAGGGCTTGCAGTGAAACGTAAAATGAGGAATTTGGCCAGAACAAGTTCAGAACAAGGGCTGGGCTTAAGCCAGAACTATGCGAGTTGAAGCCATAAACATGGAGACTTGTTAAAAGTCAAACAAACGGAAACTGAAACCATAAATATAGGGACTTCAGTAAGAATAGTTCGGATATACGCCATAAATGGGAGGGTTCAATCCATAAATGCGGGGATTCAACCACAACTTGGAGGGATCAAAACAAAGAACTAGAATCAAATGTATCACTGATCTCACCAACAATATGATATGTATATATATATATGGGTTATATGGCTTAGGTTTGTCAAATCATGTTGATGATAGCATGATTTGGGGATGGGTCAAATTCATCGAGTACTTTTGGAGACCCAACCAAAGACAGATCAAGTAAGTATCCCATCAATTTTGAGCCATTCACATTTCGGGATGTTTGGGGAAAGTCGTGGAGATGGACACATCTATGCCACGATCCATTCGCGGGACGGTTGATGGCCTTGATGGTCATTTTATGGAGATCCATTTGCTGGAAATCACCCAACCTGGTTACGATGGTCTCCATATTTCAACATCTTTCAACATCTTTCAACATCTTTCAACATCTTTCAACATCTTTCAACATCTTTCAACATCTTTCAACCTCTTTGAGCCATGGGATGATCCATCCCCAATGACTCCTATCGTGGGATCCAGTGGAGGTTTTGGCATCAGGGGATCGGCAGGCAGGATGCTGGTGATGTCCCTCTGGCACAAGACATCCAGGAGGCATTCTCCATTTTCGGGGTCAGTCAGTGCTTGGTGAAGTTGGGATGGGTCACACTTGTCAACTTGTCACCCTACAAAGTGGATGGCACGAAATCAGGTTGTCAGATTATCATAATTTTTCTGACTAAAATTGCAATTTTGTGGGTACCCCGTTGTCAGACACGCCTAGGACCAATTTGGTCGTTCATAAGTGACATGACACAGATGACTGGATGATTCTTAGGGGCGTTAGGGGCGCGAACCAATCCTTTCTTAATAATTTTCCCCATTGACGTCGCCATCAAGTGGGCCATCGCCCAGCTTGAGACCAACCCAAATTTTGCAGGCCACAAACTTTCCGAAGGAGCGGAACACTTCGGTTGGTGGGTGTTTTTGATCGACCCTGAGACGGTGTCTTCGGAGACATCCCCGGAGACCACTTGTTGACATGCTTCAATAATCCCCTTTCCCTAATAATTTCAGTCCCCCGAAAAGGAAACCCAAGATGAATTGATCCAATATAAAGCCAGGGTTTCATTTTGGGATGTATTTAAGATCAGGGACCGGACAGATTCTCGGATTCCAGCAGCAATGATCTTAGAGGTCTGGACAAGGGAATCGGTGAACTGCTGATATCTGATATCCTCATGATAGCCTCATGATGCTCATCTTGGTCTTTCTCCTTTAAGTTACACCCCTTTCAAAGGCTTGCGATCCCAAGCATTTCCGGATTTTCTGCAGGACTTCGTGTTCGCGGTGCCGGAGGACAGATCTGAGATTTCCTTGTCGCAGCATCCGCGGTTGAGGCGAAATTCCGAGCACCATGGAGTGGTTGGGAAGACAGTGAGCTGGGGGTAGTGTATATGTGTATTGATAGCGATGTAATCATAGATACTGTAGCAATATTAATATGTATATATTGTTGGATCAATCCCAAACACTGGTAGGGGCTCCTAAATTCCAATCTTCTCCAAAGTAAATGGGGACCCCTGGTCCAAACACCAATGAAAGCACCTCCGGATGCTATGGCGACCGCGCCCTTTTGACACCACTGCAATTGGTGCAAAGTCGAGGGGCACCCTAAGCCCTCAACACATCCTGAGCCACAGGACCTTGAGATATTCATGGTACAGATACCCACATGGAGGCCAGTTAATACAACTCGTTGTAAAGCTTCCGAAACTGCACCAAGTTGGAATGCAAAGAGTTGACAAATCACACTCCCAAAAAATCTTTCAAGATCTTTGTTTTTCAGTTTGCTCTGCAACAAAAAATAAATTCTTCCTTCTCAGAGATACCTCATCATGGGTACGTCCATGCGCAGGGAATGGAACTGTAACCTTGGAATCTGGGACATCAGCGATGAAAATTGCTCTGATGAAGTCCGCATCTCAAGATTGAAGCGAGATTTCTTCGCATCCAGCTTCATCAAAAATTCCCAACAAAAGCGCAAAAGCATGCAAGGCTGATTCTGGACCACTCGACTGCTGATACCATTGCTGACGCACTTTCTTGTCAGCACGTTGTCGAAGGATTTCATCAACATCATGGAGAATACATCTTCCTCGGGACAAAAAGGATCTCAGCACAGAGTTATCCATATCTTTAGTTAGACTATCAGCCATTTGAGCGGCACTGTGGACCCATTTAATTATAATCCCTTCCTTTAGACGATCACGGATTACCAAAGCTTCTAACATCGTCCTATATTCTGTACACTGAGGGATGGAAGTCTTTTGCAGAAGGTCATAAAGGCTTTTGCAATCAACCACAGCGAAAGCCGGTGGAAGTTTCTTCAGAGTGATTTCAGGGGTCTGCCATTCTAAGTTGGGATTCAGCATCCAGGCCCAGTGCAAACGAATCCAGCTGAGGAGATCTAAGGCACCCGAAAGGGCGTAAGTCTCAGACGCCAGAGTGCTTGAAACAACACGGCTGATTTTCTTTGAGAACCAAACCAAAGGGCTGACAGCGGACATCTGAGTCTTATCAATTTCTTCTGTAGTGGCAAGTATAAGACATCCCTTCTGTGAATTGGCTTTTTCTCTGGTTGCGAATGCAGCATCAGAAAACGAAAGAAATCTTACTTGATCAGGAGGAAGAGCTTGTATTCTGATTTCTGTATCTGAGAAACGCTTCGCATCATTCAGCAACTTGTTCCCTTGGATTAAATCAGCCACAGTGGCACAAGTCACACGGGCTTGCAACAAGCTAAGGCGACACGATAAGTCTGGTCGTGTGTTCGTAGCGGCATACTGTATGCTTCCGATCAACCCTCTGAGGTCTTGCAACTCTTGGGAAGTGACTGGCAATTCCGGAGTTCTACGCCTGTCTCGATTGATGTTAATGGGAGCAATATCATTGAGATAGCCCTGCTGACTCAGAATAATGTCACCATTGATTTCCTGTCGCAATTGTACCCCGGTGAAGGTAAAGGCCTTGTGACGTTGACTTCCAAAAGGATACTTCTTTTCAAGCAGTTTGATTGCACGTTCAAAAGTCTCATCTCCACCCCCAATACCGTCGTCCACATGAATACCCAAAACACCATGGATCTTGGGACCTTGATCATTGCTTGAGGATTTGCGAGGCAACACAAATAAGCAGGGGTCCATAGGAGAGATAATGAATCCGATGCTCAAGAGTGCACTTTTGAGTTCGCAGTACCAAAGGAGGGGAGCGTTGATGAGTCCATAGGCTCCTTTCAAAAGCTCACAGGTTTCATCATCCCTTAATCCCATTTTGGATCTAAGTTCTTGGGGAGGTTCTACACCAAGGATGCGGTCATCTTGCCTACTGCCCCTGAGAAACGCGGTTTTGATGTCGAACGATCGAACACCCCATTTGTGGCTAGCGATCGCCTGAAGGGCCAGCATGCGGCTGTCACGACCCAGAGTAGGAGAGTCCCTGGGTAAAGAATCCAACATTGGATCTTCGTAACCAAGGATAACAAGTCGCGCCTTGGCCTTGCGACTCATTCCAGTCTCAGCTTGTTCGACCTCATCCAATGGCTTCCAAGTGAGGACCCAACGGGATCTCAGAAGTTGGCCTTCAGGAACCTTATGACGTAAAATACGCCTCACCGTATCTGTTGAGAGCCAGGATTCAACTTCTTTATCTTTGGCCTTTTTGAAGAGAGAAATTTCTTCGGGGGATAGGTCTTTCATTTTCACTTCAATTTTCTGACGTTTGGCAGCGGACGCCAAGTAGATTTCCTGTTGAACATATGTCTTTCCTAGGCACTTCTGAAAATCATCCAAAGTCAAAAAGATTTCAGCATGAAATCCTTGGCCGGTATTCTGAGACTCACTAAGGGTATGATTTACCAAACAGCTGCGATCTCCCTCAGGTATGTCTGCCACTTTCCGCAAGGCGAATTGTGTCTGACCAGTCCAAGGTTCTGGAAAAGGCAAATGACTTTGAACGTTGTCCTGCCAACTTTCAGTACGTTCAAAAGAACCACCTGACAAGTACTGTCCATAAGTGCATCTCAGAGATTGGATATCATCTAAATTCACTGGACATGACCATGAGTCATGAGGAAAGAATGGCTCCAACCGAGGACACACATGATGTCGGATGAGTAGTTTGTCACGGATTTCCCAAAAGTCATGGGGCATCTCCTGAACCACTAGATCATCATCAACATCATCAGGAATTGGTGTAGTAATTGCAGGATCATCCGCAACTGGGGTGGATGGTACTGTAGGTTCATCATCTGGTTGTGAGGCGGTCGATGGTGGTGGATTTGGTATGTTATCAGTATTGGCCGTTTCAGGGTTTGGAAAAATGGGATTGTTGATAACAATTTCGGGTTCATGTCGAAGTTGATTCCCAGGTCTAGGCAACTGCTCTGGCATTGGTCCAGTTTGGCGGGAAAGTTCCCTGAATTGAAACACCCCATTTCCACTGCGTTCAGGAAGCTGATAAAGCCCTTGGTTTGAGTCAGTCACGGCTCCAGCTTCATTCTGAGACAGTGGGCGCACATGCTCTGGAGCGCAACGAAACAATTTCGTTAGATGGCTGATCCAAACCAGATTTTGTCCTTCTAACATCAACACCTTGGCCGGCCCATGCCAGGAACCAGGATTGGCGCCTTTACCATCTTTCCAGTACATGACATGTTCTCCAATGGAAAAACGAATGCGATCTGGTCGGGATCTGGCATGAAGCGCTCTTCTCAGGGATTGGCAATGGTCAGCCCGGACAAAAGCAAGACGAGCCGTCTCTCTTCGAGACAATTGGTCATGAAAACGTGCTCCCTCGGTCGAGGTTTCATCCAAGGCTCGAAAGCTGGCACTATCCAAAGCATCATTAGAATTACTCCCAGGAACAGGTTTCATCTTACCTAATACCCAAAGTTCTGGAGTATACCCTTCATGACGAGACATGGCATTCTTAGCGTTGCACAAATGGATTAACCCCTGCGTGAAGTCATCCCAATTTTGAATTGGTCTCTCACTGTGGTATTTATCCAACATGCTCATCAGGGTGGCTCCATGTCGCTCAGCCCGGCCGAGTTGCCAGTGGGCATCAGTGGGAATCACATAACTCCTAATGGAGTGTTCTTGGAGAAACCTGGAAAATTGTTCACTGTTGGCTTCCGTGGCACTATCGAACATCACTGTTTTTGGTGGCCCCGCCCAACGCAACCAGGCATTCGAGAAAGCTTCTATCAGACCCTCGGTGGTTCGTTGTTGATAAGGAATGGCAACATGATAGTTGGTGGCTGTGTCAATGAAATGAAAAAATGTATATTGTTTGCCATGTGGATCGGTCCATTCTGCTCCATCAAAGGAAACGAGGTCATTGAAATCTCGTGGATCTGAGAGCTTTCCAGGGCGTGCAGCTTTAGGGAGCTGGTGTTCGTGGCACACTGGGCAAGAGAAGTCCGTGACCGCACTGACATCCTTCTCATTCCAACCATATCTCCGTAAAGCCAGCTGCAGGACTCTGTGGTCAGGGTGACCCAAGTTCTGGTGAATTTTTCGAATTTGGTTCTGTGTGTGTATGTCTAGTTGAGTGAATTTTGGTCCATGGGTTATGGGATTTGGGTGGTTATTCGGGATTATTGAGTTGGGATTATCTTTAGGGTCCTTAGGGTTCTCATCGGATGCTTCACCATGGTTCGGAGATATGGAAGTTGAGCTATCCAATGGCCTGCTCTCAATGGACTCAACTTCAGGATTTTCTCTGGCACGCTTGGCTTCACGGTCAGGCATGGTGAGATCGGTCTGATTTGGTCGTTTGTGACTTGCAAAAACCGTCACAAGCAATTTTGAAGGGATGCCTGATCTGATCTGCTGACGATGTGACAGAGTTTCCCAATGTTCCCACTGTGAATCTTCAAAAATCTTCAGGTCGGTGCGGTGTCTCCCTATGGCTCTCCTGAAAGGAGCTATCCCCTTTTCTCCAATTGGACAAACCCTCATGCGATTAATGCCACGGCAAACATCCAAACAAATGATTTGTCTATCAGGATACCTGTCTTGAACAGCTTGGAACAACGGGCCATCTCGGATGACAACAGGTCCAACTCGAGGAGCGCTCTTTTCAGCCATTTCTAAAATCTGTTGGGAAACAACATCACCAGGCTGTGGCAGCGACACAGTTTGGGATCTGTCGGAACTTGGACTCTCTTGCGAGGGTGGCACAAACAGAAATTCCGGATGGAATTTGCCAGCAAGTCGACGACGCTTTGGCTCGGACTCCTCAGCAGCTGTATTGGTCACAAAAGAAAACTCCTGATGCTTACCAAAGACCTTCTCCTGGATTTGACAGCTACACTGAATGGCACGGCTGAGGCGTCTACCAAACATGGCTGTATACAACTCTGTGTATTTGGACACAGGCATGCGACCAAAGCCAGCAGGTTTGCAAGATCCGGCAATGACATCATGGTGATGGTTGCCCACACATTGGCATCGCTGTAAAGTTCTCCACATGATTTGTGAAGTGGTTAGAACCTGGGTTCTCTTGCGCAACGGCTCATGGCTATGTGGATGTCGCAAGTTACCAGCATTACACATGTCATACTGAACAGCCATCGTGTTCTCCACAATATTTTCCATTTCTCGTTGGAAAATTAGTTCGGAGCCCTGCGGTTGTTCCAAATGAAAATGAAAATCACCCGTTCTCCAATCTTGAAGTCTGAAAATGGCATCACAAAGGAGTAAATGGACGTTCTCAGAGATCCTGTCCTGGTGGATCTTGTCGGCTAGGGCAAGGGACTTCTGACTATTGAGTCGGTTCCAGTTGCTCCATGGGCCACAGCGGGGTGAGCACCACACATGTCTGGGTCTCAACATCCACAACATGTCATACAACTGACACCTACCATGAAACGTGGCAAGATCCCCATCTCTCAGGCAAAAACGCTTGGCTGACATTCCAGCTTGCACGCATTGGGCAGTGAGTTGGCTATCACAGGAACAGTATACTTCCAGCAAGTCGCAGTGTGATTTCTTCCAGTGTTGTTGAAGGTCCTCCCATGAAAGATGGGTATGTTTCTTGCGGTAGTAAGTCCACATCTCTTGATACACCCAGTTATGCATACCAAAGCGACCTCGAAACACTTCTTGGAAATAGGCGGTATCATGTATACTGCATGGATCTTGTTGCATCACTTGACAACCAATCTCATCTGCCACCCATGACCTAAACTCGGACTCAGGCTGACCCTCTCTCACGGAGCAGCTGTCTGCTGATGGTGAATCATCTGGGTCAGGATCTGGAGCTGGCTGGCAATCTGGGACATCGTGTTCTCCATGTTGTTCAGGCGTTGTCCCTGTTGGGACACTTCGTCCTCCACGCTCCATGATCTCTCCAGTTCGTCCTCGCTCCAGCTGGAAACCTCTTCCGGTACCACTGACGGCTTGAGAGCACATTTGGCCTTGGGTTTCAGCATCAGGTTCGATGTCTGATTCTTCGGGGATTCCACGGAAGTTCCCTCTTGCGTCAGCTCCAGGCGCTCGACATAGAGGTTGATGAAGTAGAGGAATGCTTGGTGAGCCCGTTTCTGGCTCTCTGCATACTTCTTTGCGAACCACTTGACATACTTGGGATCTTGCTCGATCACATCGATGAACTTCTGGTTCAACTCCGTCTCGCCGAAGGAGATGCGCATCTGTGATAGCTCCTCGTAGGTGAGTTGCATGCACTCCTCGTTCACCTTGGTCTCCGTGACTGCTGCAAAGCGATCGGCAAGACTCTTGGAAGCCATGATCGGTCAGTACAGTCGGGTGAGGTGAACAACGTTCGGATGCTACAGGCAAACTTGACACTACCGGCTGTTGGGTTGACGGAAGTTTGACTTCCATAGCATGGTCCTCTTGGGAAAGGACATTGGTATTCACGGCTGTCATGATTGGCTTTGCATGATCTGGAGTGACCGGCACCTGAGACCTACCTTCAAACGACTTCTTGACCAAATCACAAAAGTCCAGCAGGTAGAGTTTCTTTTCCGACAACGTCAAATCCATGGAGAATCCAAGTTCGGCAAAGTGCACTACGTCCTGTGCTGTGTCAATCTGAGCTCCAAGTGTTCTGAAAACGTTATTGGACAGCAAGAAAGGGGTTTGAGAGTTCACAACACAAATTTTAACCATCCATTTTCCCAGCGGAATCATGAGAGCAAACTGACAATTGACGGTGCTGCTATTGCCAAAACGAAATATGGTCTGGCACGGTACTCTTTGGACTTGGCTTTGAATGGACATTGGGAGGTGTGACAACAGAGATTCAACCTGTTGACGACCTATCACCGTTTGACTTGCGCCCAAATCCATGATACCGTAGGGGCCATGACTCACAAACATCGCTACATCAGTGTCAGGCAACAAATGACCTGTCAGGCACGGCTCAGAATGGCTTTCAAGTTGAGGGCTTAGGCGTTGCTTCATGGAACTCAGGAACCTGGAAATGCACTGGAAAGTCAATTTTCCCTCGTTCTTGGATTGATCAGCAAAACTCATAAAGCAAAATTCCTGACCCTTTGAAAACACTGAGTCAAAACAAGGTACTTCACTCAAACAGGATTCCACGACGATCATGTCTTGGTCATCAGGCTCATCGGAAACGGCAGTAACTGTCCCTGCAAAAGCACTACTGGAAGTGCCGGTGGTCAACGCAGCAGCGGCAGGACCCTTATTGAGAGGGCACTCCGCCTTCCAGTGTCCCTTCATGCCACATCTACGGCACTCTGACTCCAGAATGCGTTGGGCCAATGGTTTTCGGCCCTTGAACATGTTCTTGGTCTTCCCTTTCCCTTTACCCTTCTGAGTATAGGAGCTTCCCTTGGGATTCCAAAAACCACGGTTCTTTCCCTTGTCAGCTAAACGTTTTCGGGCATCCAAATACGTATTGTAACAAGCCGCAATCTCTGAATCACATTGAAGAGCTTCAACCAAACTTTCTTCAAACTGCATGCACACCACTGCATCAGGATCTGAATCATCATAGGGGATCTCATATTCTTCCCAAGTCTCGCCCATGAAAACGGTTTCATCCTCCGGATTTGACATGAGTGGTTCTTCATCAAAGACTGCATTCACATCATAGGTTTTGTTGCGACCCACAGTACGATTTCCCGTTTGGAGCTCATGGAAAAATTTTGATCCCAGAAGTTTCAAGGCTGACACTATGGACTTGTACTCCAACTCACCCTTGGCATCTACGATGATCTTCTTCTTATCCTCTGAAACCAAACCAGAATTTCGAAGGAGTATGTAGGCTCGCACTTCATTGAATCCTACACCCATTTGTAAGAGTTCCTCAAACTGATAATCATGCCTCGCCAAATAGCTCTCGTGGGACTCATCTTGGCGCTGAACTGTGGAAAAAATTGCTCGCTCAAAACGTTCGAACTTATCCTCCAGGTTGCTCTTTCCCCAGATTCCCCCCAAAGTATTGATCAGCAATTTCACTCCGTCCAGACTATTGACTTTCAGCTTGGCAGGATCTAACCTCATGACCCGTTTGAAGGATGAACCCTCACACAGCATCGCAGCCCGCGAGGCCAAGTGGCTGAGATGTTCTGGAGGCCACAAACCTGCAAGGAACTCAATCTTTTTGGTGTACTCATTGATCTCGGTCTCCCCCGGCTTAAATGCCGGAATCATGTTCCAGGGCAAATGGGACAAAGACGGTCCGCTAGGGACAGATGACTGGGCCACCTCTTCAGTTCCATTCATCCTGGATCTCAAGGCTTCCAAAAGTGTGGCCACACACCTTTGGCCTGGGTAGCTCCGCTACCAGTGTTGGATCAATCCCAAACACTGGTAGGGGCTCCTAAATTCCAATCTTCTCCAAAGTAAATGGGGACCCCTGGTCCAAACACCAATGAAAGCACCTCCGGATGCTATGGCGACCGCGCCCTTTTGACACCACTGCAATTGGTGCAAAGTCGAGGGGCACCCTAAGCCCTCAACACATCCTGAGCCACAGGACCTTGAGATATTCATGGTACAGATACCCACATGGAGGCCAGTTGATACAACTCGTTGTAAAGCTTCCGAAACTGCACCAAGTTGGAATGCAAAGAGTTGACAAATCACAATATATATATATAGTTATGTATCCATATAGGATGGAATAGGTTAGATGAAGGTATATAGATTCAATTAGATCCATATGCATAGATAGATTAGATTAGTTTAGTTTAGAATATATTTGATGAGATTAGATGATATTTAAGATTAATTAGATGAGATGAGATGAGATTTGAGATTAGATGAGATTAGAAAAGATGAGACGACAGGAGACTAGACTAGAGGAGGCTAAACTATACACTATAGATTGTAGACTATAGACGAGATGTAGACTAGACTAGACTAGACCAGACCAGACTAGACTAGATTGATAGATGGATGGATAGGTAGCTAGATAGATAGCCATGTCATTGGGTTAGACGCGCAGTTGCCAAACAGCTACTTGAACGCCCGAAGTTTCACATCAACCCCCCGAAACAGGAGAAAATGACATGGGAGACTGCTTTTGGCATGACCCGTATTTGGTCAACTCCAGTTTATTTTCATTGGGGTAAAATCCTGAGTCAAACCCATGCTTGGAGTTTGCAGGTCAGGTTTCTTGGAATTGCTGAAGATAGTTTTTTGATTTTCTCCGTGGGAAGTCCACTACTTGGGGAATCTGTAGCGATTTTTTTTTATTTTTTGGTGGTTCCTTAAGCAAAACCATGCTTTCAGGGGACCATTTTTCTTCGGTCCGCCAGGAGATATCATCCCGACTACGACCCAGTCACAGGCCCTGCCCTGAGCGACGCCTTTTTGGCGCGGCGCGGCGAGGCGTTGCGAGCGCGCTCTCCGAGGTTTGGATCATGATCCTGACTGGATGAGACAGGAAGCTGAGCGCCAGGATCCTGGCTGTTGGATGATTGGGTCTGCAGCTATGTCATCCTTTGTTGGTATCTGAATGGGCCATTTTTTTGAGGCAGGTTTTTTGCGCGGACCCCGAAACTGTCCCAGGGACACATTTGTTGGAGCCATTGTCTCTGGAGCCATGGCAGGTTGGGACCCAGAACTCTTCGCGGATGAGCGCCGTGAAGCTGTGGAGGAGGGCCCACTTGTGGGCTGTTGGGAGCAACCTGGAAAGTGCAGGAACTCGGAGCAAGACAAACACATAGGAACATGTGGAAAGTGCAGGACATCTGGAAGTACAGACCTATATGTGATCTTGAAACTATGGTCATATTTCATCCAGTATGAAGTACCGTTTCCAAAGATGATAAGCCAATATGAAAGTACAGGACAGATGAAAAGAGGAAAAACAGGTCGCATCCGTTTTGTGTGATCAGGAGCCGGCCTAACTGTTGGGTACAGTACCATGAAACATGTTTTTTGGGTGCCCCTCGGCTAATCAAAGATCGCAGTGAAAAAGATCCCAATCTTCCAGTAGGCAACTCTTTCACCAATGCAGGAGTTTCCACTTTTTGACAACCACGGGGTAGAACACAGTGATCAAAATAATAATGAACCCACCGAAAAAAGATCAGATTGGGGGAGACAACCATCAATCAACAAGAGTGGGGATAACTCCGAAACAACGGTGAGTTAAGGACCAACAATGGCGATATATGGATTATTTATGAACCAAAGATTGAACATGTTCGACTTTGAAAGAACATCAATTAGAAAACCATCCGGTAGCACATGGTAATCTACCTGGCAAAGGAAAAATCACATAATTTCCCCAGTGATATTTATTTTTGTTGATGTTTTCCCCTAAAAAAAGCATTACACTAGTAATCAAACATGGCGTTCTGGAAACTCCATCATTCATAGGCAGATATCCCAGCTATAAACCTCCATGGCTAGGCCGCCAAATGACTTCAGGGACACGGCCTCCACCTGGTGGTGTCCGAATGCATCTGGGGAGAAGTTTTAGTGACTTTAGTGTTGTCAGATATTGTCAGAATGAGAACATCTACTTGCTAAACTTCACCAAAGATTAGAATTGGGCTTTAGATCCATGATGAGCTTCTCCAATTTCGAGCCATCAATCCGAGGAGCTGCTGGGCGACCGCGATCCATCTGCCTTTGGTCTCAGTCGTGTGGAGACCCAGAATTGAATGATTGACATGTGTATATATATATGCATGCATATGTATATTCATGATTGACATTTGAATTATATATATATATATGCATGCATATGTATATTCATGATTGACATTTGAATTATATATATATGCATGCATATGTATATTCATGATTGACATTTGAATTATATATATATGCATGCATATGTATATTCATGATTGACATTTGAATTATATATATATACGCATGCATATGTATATTCATGATTGACATTTGAATTATATATATATATGCATGCATATGTATATTCATGATTGACATTTGAATTATATATATATGCATGCATATGTATATTCATGATTGACATTTGAATTATATATATATATGTATGCATATGTATATTCATGATTGACATTTGAATTATATATATATATGCATGCATATGTATATTCATGATTGACATTTGAATTATATATATATGCATGCATATGTATATTCATGATTGACATTTGAATTATATGTATGTATGTATGCATATGTATATTCATGATTGACATTTGAATACTGTATACATGTAATGTAATGTAATGTAATGTAATGGTATGGTATGGTATGGTATGATATGGTATGGTATGGTATGGTATGCATGCATGCATGCATATGTATATTCATGATTGACATTTGAATTATATGTATGTATGTATGCATATGTATATATATGATTGACATTTGAATACTGTATACATGTAATGTAATGTAATGTAATGTAATGTAATGGTATGGTATGGTATGGTATGGTATGGTATGGTATGGTATGCATGCATGCATTTATGCATATGTATATTCATGATTGACATTTGAATTATATGTATGTATGCATATGTATATTCATGATTGACATTTGAATACTGTATACATGTCATGTAATGTAATGTAATGTAACGGTATGGTATGGTATGGTATGGTATGGTATGCATGCATGCATGCATATGTATATTCATGATTGACATTTGAATTATATGTATGTATGTATGCATATGTATATTCATGATTGACATTTGAATACTGTACTACAGTACTAGTATTTATATAGATTTATTTGTGAGTTTATAATCATGCCAGGACTATGACTATGATCACATATTCGATCGCGCGCATGTAAGATGTAGTTGTATGTACATTCATTTCATATTGTATGATTCTATGACTATTTGGAGAGGACCTTCCAATTGGCATCTTTGGGCTTTCACAACTGACTCAGGTTGGGTTCGTGTTGATAGGGACCATGCCCACTGATGGACAAAGAGCCCTGGACACCAAAACGGTGAAACCGGTCAACATGTGGGCGGAGGAGCGAAAACTGGTCCTATTGCACATTGCCGCGTTTTGGTTTTTGGCGCACGGGCTGAGCCAAGATTCAAAGATCAGCAAAGTGGCAGATTGGCAAATAATTGTGTTGGATGAGAATTATATTATATAGCTTGCGAAGCATCCAATCTCAGAGTTCCCAATCCTGGTATCATGTAATCCTTAGACCATCGGAACTCAGATATTTCTCATTTCAATCCATGGTGTATATAAAGGCTCAAGTTATGAGAGCCATGCATAGGTCTTTTCCAGCTTGGGCATTCGGAACCCCGCATTCAAAATGGCTCAATGCTTAGTCACAGAATTCACTGCACCCATTCAAACTTCTACATCAACATTTCAACTTCTTGCAAAAGCAGCCATCTAGCTGCATGCAACCCAAGCACGTACACTGTGGTCAAAGCCCATGAAAGACGTTGATACTATTGAGTTTGTGCTTCGGGCTTTACTACACAACATTTGCCAAATACCTGGTTGTTGCAGGTTGTTGCAGGATTCCCAATGCAAGACAACAAGTTTCAAACATGGCAGATTTCCAGCCAAGCTAAGCCTACCTTCCACCATGGTGTTGCGGCTGAAGGCTCAACGACATGGAGGAGTTTCTGGAAAATCTAGAAACATCACATAGTTTACTCGTGTCGTGGACACACCGAAGAAGTTTCCTTTCCCCATTGAAGTGGCCATAAATTAGGCTTTATCCCATGGACCGAAATGATGCCATTAACAGACACCCCAGATGGGGATGGAACAAAAGCGACCTGGCAGGAGCTACCAAGCTTGCCGGGAGATGTGTTGGATTTGAAGCTGCTACAGGCGGGACATTCCGAAGAGTTGGGCGGGGGGATACCCTGAAAATGTTAGATTGCCATGTTTCATTACTGGAGGGTCATTCCAATAAAATCCGCCGGAAGTTTGGGCTTAGATGTTCACGTTTGATCTTTGGTGGGATTTGGATTTATTGCACCCCGCTGTTGGTTCCCCAATTGAACAGTCTACCCCCAAGGATGACGAATTTTGTGGGTTAGTTGGGAATGCGCGCAAATCTCAAAGTAAGAATGCACAAGGTGTCACAGCATACGTACCTACATGTAAATAGCTCTGTATGGCAGATGCTCCTACAAATTGTGTCACGTTGTACATGCCAGCACCTTCACCTTTCCCACGAACATGGATACTTCTGCACATTTTGGCCTTTTGACTCATTTGGCCGGGTATGGTTTTCATTTCTCGTCCAGGTATATGATATGGGTTTCATTATTGACCCCCCTCGGTTATAAGTTAGTTCAAAATCCCAACTGCAGGCAGCATGTTGAATTTTGATCTAATCCCAGTTGTGGGTTATAATCCAATAACTTTTAATTTCAAAACTTTAGTTTTTATACAATCCATATCTATAACTATAACTTATAAGTGCAATTCAACACTAAGACTATGACTAAGACTATAACTAATAGGTACAGTAACGGTTTAAAGTTACAACATAAACGGCTATATATAGTTATAAACTGGGACCCAACTAATATAACTATGAGTACAACTTATACCCTACATGATATACATATACATATATATATAGCCACAACTTAAAACAAACACTAATATATAACCCAAAATTCGTTTTGAAAAATCCTCCAGGTCCCAGTGTGCTCAGGCTTGGGCCTTAGCCCAGCAGAGGGCTTTGCAGGAGGTAAAGGCGGAGCTCACCAGCATCAAACCCTTGGAGCCTGAGGACAGACGACAGGTTGGTAAACATCACTAGCATTTTTTTTTTACTGGGGTTTATGATGATTTATCAGGATTTATCACTATTTATCACTATAGTGACTATATTTATCACTATTTACCACTATGATGGGCTAGAAAGCACCAGTTTTTTTTCCCCCATTGGTAGGATGGTGGTCTGATCAAAGTGGGGTGCTCCGAGATTCTGTAAGGTTTCAGCTAACTCGTTGGGTAGGCCGACCAACCACCGGTCATGGCCAGTGGCGAACTTCCTAGGATCGGAACTCCCAAATGTCTGGTGCAGGATGGCCACTATCCTACCAGGGAGTTGGACACAGGCACGATGATCCTTGGGAGCAAAAAACGGGCCCATGAGGCCATAGTACCACCAAAAAGATACGAAAGTCACATCCTATTGACATACGTAAGTGATAAAAATGTGGTAAACATATGGTAAAAATTATGGTAACACTCTTTTCATTTTCGATCTTTTTTTTGGGGGGGGTTACCTACTTACTGCACCATTTTTACTACGAATTCAGCAATTTGGTGGGCCCATTGGGCCCTGATCAGGACCACCCGACCCTGCGATTGCAGCAGTGGCAGCCTCAGTGCTACCAGTGCTACCAGCCTCCCATTCCTTGTGAAATCGGGGATGATTTGGGTTATGAGTTATGCCACATTATCTACTAGTATTTCAACAATGGTGAACTAATGTTGAAAGAATTTGTTGGTCGACTCCGTGGAGTGCCGCTTTCTGAGCCATGCCATGGCATTGTCTCGTGCAACATGCAACAGGCTCGCTTCTCCGTTGTCCTTGGAGGGAACTGCGCTCTGGAACTCTTGCAGCGATGGAAAGAAGTCGACCAGGTGACCTGAACAGTGGCCCTGCACCGTTAGTGTTGACAAAAAGGGAGACCCAGACCCTCAACCAAAGAAGCAAACATATGTAAAATATTGTAAAATAAACATGGGCTATTTTACCCGGTTTTTGGTGCTTTGAGACATTTTCAATTGTTTTATCGGCACTTTCAGGGCAACGGCAATTCAAAATTGAACCTCCCCTCATTCTGCTCATTATTGAGAAAGTCTTTTTGTACAAGGGTGACCGGGAACATAACATGTTGCAGGCGCTGAAATATGCATCCACCGACCTTTTGCATTCCGAGGCCAGCTTTTTTGAGTGTAGGAGAGCTGCCAAGTCTTGCATGGGCATGTTCTTATGTCGGTTTCCCTCTGGTCCTCGAATGTGGGGGTGGAAAACAAGCCACTTGGGTTTGTCTCAATGGATAAATGGCGAGAACAAAGCCATTTCATCCCATTTCTGTTCATCTGACATATGCAGGTGGCTTCTCTCAGTGCGGATTTGGGGACGGCAAGGGCGGAACGCATTGCAGCTCATCACAGGCCGGCCAAGGGGCAGATGGTACTTGGCCGTCCAATATGGTAAACATTGACAAACAAAAAGCCTCGTTTGCGGGTCTTCTGACTTCACCATCCCATTGGACAGGTTGCAAGAATGGAAAGAGAGAAAGCGAGTGTTGGGCTCGGCCTGTCCTTTTTTACGGTTTTTTCGTATGAAAGCATTGACCAGAAAAAAATATCCAGGCTGGAAATGTGTCACACGTTGGTCAAATCACCCAGGCCCGATCCATTGGAATCCATTGGAATCCAGTGATGACTGAGGCAGCGCAAAGTGCTTTGGCCAAGGTACTGAACCAAGTCTTTTTTTTGATCAGGATGTGTCGTAGCAGCCAAGTCTTTCAGGACTTTGGCAACCTGCTGCATTGATACTGAATACGCCATTGTCATTGTTCAGTGTTTATGGGTCAAACAACACGGCTGACTGATGCTCATAGTTTCTCATGATTCTAATTACCTTGGTTTTCACAGCTGCTCTAGTTGTTCATCCCTACATTCATGCGTCAATCATAGATCGCAGTGATCGCAGGTCTTTTTTTTCAGCCATTCTTATGTCAGTATGTATATAATAACCCCAAAGCAGATAGAACCATAAAATACAATCAAAAACATGTGATGTTAAATACTTCGATATCTTCTCAGGGGTTACTATCTTCTATACATATATATATATATTATACATGTACACATTATATACATGATATATTGACACTTCCCCCCTGGTTTGTCGCTGGGCCAGCCATTGAGTCGAGGCCATGGAAGTGGAAGAGCCTGGAGCCTCGGGAGCCGAGGGCAGCTATATGTCATACGTATATATATATATATATATGTGTAATACAATATAATCAATATATATATATGTATATGTATATATATATGTATATGTATATGTATATGTATATGTATAAAGATTCGGCCAATTTCTTTTCACAGCGCAGCAAGATCAGATTTGTCAAAAATTAAACGAAATTAATCAAAAGAAAACAGCTGGTTTCATCACTCCCTTAAAACTCACACCAATTCCCCCTTGCTTTTCCTGCCAAGCCAGGAAAAAACAAGGCCCCAGGAAATGGTAGGCACCCCCCTAGTCACTTTGCCGCCAAGCCGGAAAGTGCTAGGGCCACAAGTACCTTAGTCTTTCCTCACAGACACGCCAAAAACCCTTTTTTGGCCACTTTCTTGGATCCTCTTCCACGTCCCCCTGATCTGCTCACAGAGTGAGTACGCTCAAGGCTCGGTAGCTCACGGTCTAAAGACCGACGGTAAATTGCAAGAAATCCTCGCAGCTTGTGCTGGGGAATGGTCATTTCGGTAAGGGCTGCAAGCCCGGCATTGATATAAATACGGGCAGTACGGGGTGCTTGCCACCTGCCCTGAATCAGCAAACGATCAAAAGAGCCATGTTTGGTAAACCAAAACGTAGCGCCTCCGCGCCTCAGGCTATATGGCCTAAATTCAAATTTTTGGAGACCGAGTTCCTCCAAGGTCTCAGCAAACTTGGAACGCCACTGTCCTGAGGACTGTGCTAGTGGTTTTTTGGACGAATGTTTCCATTGGAACAATCGTCGTACGACATCAAACACGGCTACCGTGATACTTTCGGCAGCTCCCAGACGCTTGCCACTCTTAGTGAGGCCAAGGGAAATGACTGCAGGACCATCTTTAGATGCTACCTCCACATTTTTTGGGTGCACCGTCAGAATTTCTCCGGTCCGCATCATTCCATAAAATCCTAGCAACAATGAGAGGGCGAAATCAGCATCATTGTTCAGAAGAGCTCGACCTGCCATAGCATGAACAACGCTCTCTGGCATCGGGGGCGCTCGGTTGGGAATCTCGTTCTGATTCCACACTTTTAACAAGCGCCAAACCGTGGGTAGCCGGTTCTTCAAGTGAGGTTCCAAATTTTGAAGTCCCGCCACGGTATCGGAGGCTAATGCTCTCCCTTCACCCGATGCCCAGAGGTGCTCAATGTATTCAGACAGGATAGCATCCATCTTGGGTAGCTGCTTAGGCAAGGTCAGTTTCTCAAAGTGTAGGAAATCGAAGAACTTATCCAAAGCTTTATCATAGCGTCTCTGAGTGGCAGGTTGGACAGTTAGCGACTGCAAACTACCCAGCTTTTGTCGTTGTGCAATGCGTTCCTCCTGCGACCCTCTAGATGCGCTTTCCTTTTAGGCATCTCTTCAGCACTGGCCGCCGGCTCGGCCGGTCGGCAGGATTCTGCTTTGTATTTATATAACCCCATACGGGGTGAACTTGGGCCGCTAGGAGGAGCGCATTTATTCTCGACAGCACTGGTCGAAGCTTCCGCGAACTGGATCTACCCCGACTAAGGGCATGTAATGCCACGAGCGAGTCGGTCAGATGCAACATCCGACAAGACTGCTGACGCTTCCGACACACCCTCCAATGGAGGCATGTCAACACAGCTTGGACCTCGAGCACGTTGATGTGGAAACCTGACTGTTTCCAAGGCCAACCGCAAATAGTTCTCCATTTCCATAGTTTGCCTGGGACTGACGCCCGTAGGCGATGAAACTTGACCTGATTCTCAGTGTCTGCTTGAAGAAGCAGATCCTCCCCTTTGATTGACACCATGTTCACCAACTTCTTGGTGAGTTTTTCTTCGGCTGCTAACCTGCCATGCCCTTGTACTGGAACCAAGCTGGGCCTTCGCAGATATCCTTGCAGGGAAGGATCTCCTCCCGGAGAAGTAGCCTGAACTATTTCTCCCAGTGTGTCCATGGGGGTGAGCCCCAAGGGAGCGAACAACTCCTTCATCAACCACGAGATGACAGTGACATGCCAACTGTTGCCTACCAGCGTGCTGCGGACATCCACATAGGCTTCACCTTTCTGTTGACCTTTCGGCAAACACGCTGCGGTGTAATCCACTGGGAAGCCCATGGCTACTTCTTTCTCCTGCACCGTCGGCAACCGGTACTCTCCCTGCCCATTGACCAGGCAATGTTTGTCCCGGTACACATAGGGGGGATAGCGGTGTTGATCAGCTCGCCACCGTTCCACTTCCCAGGGTTCACATTGCCAAAGACCTGCTGGTCTGTTTCCTGGAGCTTCTCGAGGGCGAGCAGTTGTAAAAGTTGGCAACTTGTTTGCTTCACCCAACTTCCAGCCTGGCTTCAAGAAAACCTCCGGCTTGATGTCCTGCTTTAGCGACACCTTGGTGTAGCCCTTCCAGCCATCTGCTGTCACCAGCTCCATGGTTACACCCGGAGCCAATCGCAGCTCCCAGGACAGCCAATACAATCTTGGCCTTCGGCACACGGCGATCCCTTCGGAATCCACCAAGTAGGGCAGACAACCCATATACTCGCTCATAGTTGCCCTATCTTTTTCATCCATGGAAAAGACCGACTCCATCATGACATGCACCTGAGCCCAAGGGAATTTCTTCTTGGCCATCTGGTAGACCTTCTTCACATAGACGAAGAGGGAACTCCTTGCATCCTTGAGAGCTCCCTTTCTGTCGGAGTTTAAACCCGACACCCCTTGGCACGGTGGGCCACCACCTACCAAGACAACTCCCACATTGCCAAACCTGACAGCCCAGTCTTGCACCATGTCCTCTGTGATGTTGGCAACGTCACCCACATGGAGAGTGTCAGGAAAGTTGGCCTCAACCACGCGGTTGCCAGCTACGGAGACCTCAGCGCTCACATGGCCTCCCATGGGCAGTTTCAATGCGTCTGCTCCCACCCGAAGTGCCCCGATGCCATCGAAAAGGCCTATGGTCAGCACCTGGATGTGGTCAGCCGGCTCCGCCACATCACCTCGGATGGAACAATGGGCAGCATGCACCCCCATCGGGGACAGGCCATTGCTCACGCAGAAGCCCCCGCCCCACTCGGAGGCGTCACTTGCTGTGACGTCTCCCCGCATCAAAGTCCTCAAGTTCATTTGGGCGAGAGGTACTGTGCACAGGAACCTGACCAATTCCAACTGAACACACTTAGGTATAGGCCGCAGTACGACGGGGGGTTCCTTGTCCAGCTCTACAATGAAACCCCACACTGCATTGAGCATACCCAGAAGGGGCCTGCGAAACATGGCACAGTACACCAGGCCACCGCACACCACTTGCATTTGTTTCTGGTTCGCTCGTCCGGTGGCCAACAACCCCAAGGCCAGGTCGACATACTTCAGTACCTTTTGAGGCTTAGGTCTCACGGTCCCTGTCGTGCCGTCCACAAGGGCACCCTGGACCTCCGCCTTCAGCTCCTGTTGTACTGATTTTTTGGGGTGTCGGGGCAGCCCCCAATAGCTGTACCCCTCTCTCATGGCCAGTGCCTCTGCTGACACTTCACCCTGAATCTGACTGGCCAATGCTCCATCCACCTTCTGCAAAGAATCAAAGTTGTCCAAATAGACCCGGTATACCCAGTTAGCTGAACTCGTGGGCTTATCCCTCCTCATTTCATTTTGGGGTCAAATGTTGGAGTCAAACTATGGAGGGACATTCGGGCTATTCGGCGGTGGACGTGTTGCGCAATGGCAACAGAGCTAATAAATCCCATTGGCAAAACCAGGGAAGATAAATAATATGGCTCATTACTCCCCCCTGCGACCAAGGAGGGGGATACCCGCCTCCCAAAGGCCAAAAATCTATGCCAGCACGAAGGCACACTGAAAATATAAAAGAAACACTTAATATCTTCAGAACTCATCACCAAAAACTCTTCGGGCCCCAACACAACTCCACCCAGGCTAACCACCGACGGTAAAGTGCAGACATCGGCACCTAAATTCCGGCAGAGCTTGTTGACGGGCACCAAATTCATTATAAGGCGATGCACCTCGACGCCGTGGACAAATTCATCTTTGCTCACCCCGAAAAGGCCATTGAGTACCGGTTTCCCATTTAAATGATAAACTTCAGACTCCGCAATCAGGCGACATGCCCCTTTTGAAATGAGTCCGGAGCATACCCGCTCCCAATCCCCGTCACATACAAAAACCTTAGGGGGTTTAGTGTAGACCCTGGATTCTTCTGGCAACAGGTACTTCTCGAAATGCATGACAAAATCAAGGGTTCCACGCTCACAGACTTCAGAAAGGGGGATACTACCTATTCCATCAGGTAATGCGGGTTCAATATTGGCCCATGCAAAAGACTTTGCTACCCTTACTTCTTCTCCTCTATAGTCGACTGTTCTAACTCCCATGAAGTCCTGCCACTTCAGCCCTTCAAACTTTTCCCCAACCAGCTGGCTGTCTCGAACGCTCGCCGCCAGGCCGTCCAAGGCCAGTCTAGCCGCCGCAGTGACTACTGGCCTGTCGGCCACAGGACTCCCATAATAGGAGTTGAGGGCTTTACAAACGCCACTCAAGACCAGCAGCTGCTCGTTGGGAAGCGGTCCAAGCACTTCTCTCAGCGCCCGGGGGCGGTCAGGCAGTGGAAAAATGCTACCTGAGTGCTGCGATTAATCTTGCAATCATTTTCAAGCAAAGAGAACATGGAGAGAAGTGGCTTGACCATGCTTCCAAAGGTCTCCCCTTTGGTCCTTGAAAAATTGTGCCGCTCACTGGTTCCGGTCGGCCCCAATGCAGCCGCATCAAAAAATGAGTCCGGCTCAGGCGAAAGGCCACAGGTCGGCCTGGAAGCGCCCTTCGGCTCAGAGCCAGCTGTAATCTCATCCTCAACCACGGAGCCCTCAAGCTCCCCGCAAACCTCTGGTTCTACTTCTTGTCCCGCTCTCGCTCCTCTCTCTGCTGTCCTCCTTTCTCGCCCTTCGCTTTTCCTTTTCCTTTTTGATCCCGTCCTTTTCCTTTCCCTTTGTGATCGTCTCCTCTGCGCTCCCATTCCTGGGTCCTCGGCCATGGCCTTGCTGCTGCATTCCGCGCCTTGGCCTCTTCGTGGTGCAGGCGGCTGGCCTCCAACGCCTCCCTTGGCGATGTCATCAACGACATGTCCAGAGGGACCAACTCCTGCCTCTGGGCTATTGAAAAGTGGCTTCCCTGGGCCACTTGCTCCAAGCTCTTCAGGCGTTGGGTCACGGTGTCGCAGCACAGGGCCACCTTGCCTTGCAGGAGAAGGTCCTGCACATAGCAGAGCGTCTGAGCTTCGCGGTTCATCGCTCCACTCATGCGACTGCTCAAAGCCATTCTCCAGTATTGGGAGAATATTGGCGGAAGGGAGTCCCTGTTCAACTCCCAAGGCTGGCCTGTTTGTGAGACCACCGCCGTCTGAATCATCTCCAACGTGTTCAGGGTCAAGGCCCCGGGAAACCTTTTGGAGACGGCCTTGACTCTCACCTCCTCTCCAAACAGGTGTCCTGCCTCGTCCGGCGAGCCCCCAGTTCCTGAACTGCTCTCCTGGGAGCTCGTGGAACTGGACCCTCCTCTTTTTGACTTCCTCCTCGCCGCCTTCTTGGCTTTCTTTCTGACCCGTCTCCTCACCCCTGGGGACGGATCCAGGGCCGTAGTCCCGAAGAGAGTGGCCAATTCTTTGGTCCCCACTATTCTGCTTTTCTCTCTTCCCTCCTGTTTCTTCTTTTTCTTCTTGGCTTTCTTTTTCTTCTTGGACTCCTCTTCGCTTTCGGAGCTGACTAAGCTCCCAACATGGCCGCTGGCCCCCGGAGCCCTCTGCTCCCTGATTCTCTCTTTGTCCCTCTCGTCCGCCTTGTCCCTGACTTTCTGGAGCTCGTCTACCTCGTCCTCTTGGGTGGCCCTCACGTCCAGCAGGTTGTCCATCCATGCGTCCTTCTCCGTCTCCTTCCACCTCCTGGCTTTGATGGCGTGGACTAACCCATCCTTGGACAACCTGCCACAGTCCAGGGGGCAGAGATGGATCTCTAACAGCTTCCCCGGATGAGCTCCAGCCCATTTCACTAATGACTCCTCTCGGGTCCCTTCCAGCTTCAGGGACATGTGAACTTGGCCACTCTCGACCTTCAAGCTCTTGACAACTCCTGCCAGCCTGACCTTCTCCTCCCAGTAGATGGCTTCGGTGAAGACTACGCGATCCCCAGTCTTCCATTCTTGCAGCGGGAGATCACCTACCGCGACCTCACCCCCTGCTGCAAAAACCTCGGAGATATTCTTATCTCCCTGAACGTCCTCTCCAGCTTTCTTTGCCGGCCTTTTCAAAACTCCTCTCACTCTTGCTGAGGCCTTGGCTCCAGCTTTTGCCACTGCTTTCGCCTTTGCCCTGGCTGGTCCAGCTGCTGCTGGCCTCAAGATGCCTTTGGGTGGCATCAGTAACGCCTGTTCCTGTTCCTACCCTCTCGGCGCCTCCACGCCTTGAACTCACTGAAAATCCTCTGCTGTCTCCTCTTCTTCTTTCCCTTGTTGGCTGCCTCTCGACGTCTGGGCTCCTCGTCTGATCTCCTTCTGTTGATATAGGCCGGAATGGGCCCTTGCCAGCGGTCCCTCTCGTCTCTCCTTGGAGGTGGGGGTCCCGGCGGGCTTCTAGGTCGCAGCGGTGAAGCTCTCCTCACTTCCCGGCTGGCTTCCCTAGTCCTCTGATGATCTTCTGGCCTTGTCTTCCGCTCTTTGCGGCTCGGAGATGCCCTCCCTCTCCTGGCTGGGCTTGTCTCTCCCGGTCTCCTCCTCTTGAGCTCTCCTCTACGATCTCTGGAATGCCTGCTTCTACTTCTCCGTGGTGTTGGCCCTCTAGCGGAGCTGCTTGCTTCTCCTCCTCTGCCTTCTCCTCTGATGTTCCTTTCTCCTTCTCTCTTGACGGGCTTTTCCTCCTTAACTTCTTCTTCTCTGTCTTCTCGGGCGGCACTTCCTTTGTCGCTTTCTTCTCCACGCGTAGGCTTTGGCGGGTTCTCTTCTACCTTAACTGCTGGCTTTGCCTTCGGAGTGGTTTGCAAGTCCGGGCTTTTGTCCAGGGTCTCTCTCTTGTCCTCGGCTCTCGGAGGTCCTGAACCTCCCCGTGCGGCCCTCTGGTAGGAATCCGCTACCTCCAGGGCCTTATAGTATGCCCCTCGCAGTTCCGGAACCACGAAGCGCGCCCCAGCCCCAGGGAACCTGTCAGAGCACAACAAGTCCTGGGTCCAGAAGATGATACTGCACACCTCGCAGCGCAAATCAACGATGGGCGGCCCGAGTTTTCCTTGGCAACCCAGGCACCGGAGAGCGGACTCTCCCATCCAATCTTACAAGTTTGAACCGAGGCTGCGGGGAAAATCACATTAACCTCATCTTGATCCCCGAGGTCGTTGGAGCATGTATATGTATATGTATATGTATATGTATATGTATATGTATATGTATATGTAATGAATACATATAGATATGACGTATAGGATAAACAAAGGTACAAGACTGGTGGTACAAAACTGTTTGGCAGCTTTGTTCACATCTTTCATTTTCAACACCCAAGAAATAGGATGAATGATCTGAGATCAAGAAGTGACTCATAGCATTGAAGGGATGGGGGGGCTCTATACCGTAGACAGGTTACAACTGTAGTTTGAGGCCGGATCAGCCTTTGATTGTGTAACCATTCTTTGGGTGGACCAGGGGCTTCTGAATAAATGGAAAGAGGTCTTGACCATAGAAAAAAAATGGATGGTGTATAAATGGTCAGGCATTGTGGGCGCATAGATATCCCATTTTTTGAGCCTCACCCATGCTGAAAATTTCTTGTGGTCCATGAAGGCACCCCATTCTTGAGCCTTGAGGTCTGAAGACGACGAGGATGACACGCATTCATTGGCGCCATCTGAGATGGCGACGTCAGAATGTGGGGATGAAAAGGCCGAGATTTGAAGTGAAAAAAACAGAGAGAACAACCGGGGTCCTCATATGTTTTTTTCATAGTTTTTGCACGTGTATAATTTTATTGAATATGTTTTTTTTGTTTTTGAGTATGCACACATACCTTGACCCTTCTCACATTTGTCTAAACTGATCAATCTGACCGTTCATGTTGTATAAAGATATCACACATGTCCAACATAATTTGGAGAACTTGAGATTTCTTGGTGTTTGTTGGAACCGCTATCGATCAGGATTTTTAGGATCCCTCATTTTTAGACGTGGAGCATGCCGATCTCGAAACTCCACTGGAGGGCCGATCGGAGAAGAAGCGAGGTTGGGGTGGAGCGAAGAAGTCTTCCAGACACGCTTTGGAGCTATCGGGAATGGGAATCCAATCGTTTGCAATGGGAAATCTAGTGTTTTTGTTGGCAACTCAGCTGTACATTGATACATATATATATATACTGTAGATAGATAGATAGATAGATAGATAGATAGGTAGATAGGTAGATAGACAGACAGACAGACAGATAGATCGATAGATCGATAGATCGATAGATCGATAGATCGATAGATCGATAGATCGATAGATCGATAGATCGATAGATCGATAGATCGATAGATCGATAGATCGATAGATCGATAGATCGATAGATCGATCGATCGATCGATAGATAGATAGATAGATAGATCGAGATATTATAGATATAGATATAGAGATAGAGATAGATATAGATAGATATCATGTTATGTAATGTATGTATGTATATATATATGTATGAGTATATACATACATATATATATATTTACGTATCATAATATATATATATCAATATATATGCATCATAATATATATATATATGAATGTATCATTCATAATATATGTATATATATATCTACACAAATAATAATAATAATAATGAACAACAATGGTGGATTTTCATGGATTTTTTTGGCGAGCACGCAACCGCCAGGTTTCTTGGCAAGGGCTTCAAAAAACTGCGAGGCACAATCAAAGGAGGGAAATAAGGAGGGGAATGTCATGTGCCCAAACTTCTTTGACCTCCTCAGGGATCCAAAGAAAACCAGCTTAGATGGTTTCCAACTTCCGATTTAAAACTTAGAAGTCTTGGAAAGTGGATCAGGAATAAGTTGGGAGGTCCCACAGTTTCCCATCACTTCCCAAGCGTTTCGGATCATGGGTTTGCCAACACCCACTGCTGACTGTCAGGCAAGAGTTCCCAAACGGGAAGTTTGACGCCTCCGGCGGCATCTGGGACCATTACCGTGGAGGGTTCGATCGTTTTTCTCTGCTGGGCAGCGAAAATCTGGACCTTAAGTTTAAGTACGGGAGCCGCAGATTGGTGGGTCCTTTCGAAGTCTGCAATATGCATAAATGATCATAAATGATTACATATGCACAATGATGGATATAATGAATACAATATCATACATAAGCAAAGAAAGGGAATCCTCAGGCGCATAGTTTCACTGGAGCACATCTTCAGGAGCTGTAGTTGCCCCAAAAACCACTTGGTAGAAAACACGACATAGTTTTTGGACACATATTCAGCATGTGGTTACTAGTCATATGGGTATCAACCACTGGATTTTTTTCAAGGTCACCTCGCCCGGTGGAGCAATCAGGACAGGGGATTTTTTGTTTCACCAGGCATGGGGGATTTAATCATCCAAAACGGTGAAACATGCTAGCTGAACAAGGAGAACAAACAAAAAATCACCGTTCTCCTGGTGGTTTCGTTGAGAGTTTCACATTCATTTCACACAGATTTCACCAGAGATGACGATGATCCCAAGTAACTTTCTTGTAGTGATCCTGGAGAAGATAGACTCTAGAATTTCCATGAGCCGACAAATCCTCACCACAATAGGACAATGGCGTCTCATATCCCCGATCCATACCCATGATCCATATATCAACAAGAGATATCATACCCTTGGTCCATACCGAAGAACGACAAGTTATACTTATACCAGGCCACTCTAGTATACCTTGGCAGGTCCCGATCAAACCTCTTTTTTTCGCGACTCACGCATTCCATACGTCCGGATCACAGCGGAATGATCCATACCCGTTTTTGAGCCATAAATAAATAAGTAAATACATATATATTTATATATACACATAAGTGCATGTGTGTGTATATATATATATATGGTACCCCCCCTAAGACCCACCAATCTAGCAAATTTGGCGGTATTTGCAGTGTTTTTCACACATTTCTTACTTTAACACTTAGTGCATTTTTGTGGTCAGACAATTGCATGTTTTGCAATTCGCTGCAAACCCACCCTTCCCATACCACTTTGGATTCAAGATTCAAGATCCAGCATAAACTTGTTGAATCCAAGGGGGCTTCAGCCTTGAATCTTGCATCTTGAATCCAGGTACTTAGAGCACGGCCAGCCCCCAGAAATTGCAATTTCTTGCAAATGCCCGTTCTGCTAAGGACATATCCCTTGAGATTTTGTGGTTTTGCACCATTTCAATTCCACCATTCTATCTAAAAACAACAGCATTGAGTTTTTTTGTTCTTTTAGATGTCAAGACACAAAAAATCTGAGGTATAACCAAACAGATAAAGCATGAGCTTCAGACCAAACTTTCTCTGAACAGTTTTTGCTTTTTGCCTTCTTGGTTTTCTCGAGGTTTTGCTGTAATGCATATCCGCGTCCTTTAAGAGTAGCAGCAGGTCCAGCAAGATATTGCATAATTCTAAATTTGGCAAGCAAAGCACACACTTGCAAGTATGCTGATTAAATCAGACACCATGTCTACTCAGCCACCTCTCATGGACATCATCCAGGTATGCTTTTTTCGTTGGTGTTCTCATGGTTTGAGCACCCTCTCAGAAAGTTACTTAAACCATGGGAAGAAATACAAGGCAGCCAAGACTAGAAAATATAGTAAGTAAACACGTTTCAGCATGGACATTGAAACTTGTTGTCAAAGCAACATCTCCAATATAGGCCTTGTGCATCAGTATTTTTCAAAGAACATGACATTCCTTGCATATAGCCGCATCATTCCTTGCATAAAGTGACATCATTTTGTACAGTCCCCTTATATAAAGGAGTGCAGCATTTCTTTTAAAGGAATATAGAATTATTGTCGAAGAGATTTACAGCTCTGCAAAGTCATAAAGGAGTGCAGCATTTCTGCGAAATTAATATTTTTTTCAAAGAGACTTGCAGTAACTGTGCAAAGTTCTGTTAAAGAGGTAAAGGCATGTATGGAAGGAGGACAGCATTACGACAGATTGGAATCCCTTAAGCATTCCTTAACAAAAGTGTTGCCGCAAGTGTTTGCAAAGCCTCCTCCACAAGGGAGTCAACCATTTGCTTGAACACAATGAAATAATCGCAAAAAAACCTTAAAATGAACTAGAACCCTTGTGTGTATGTAGCATTTTTTGAAAGATACAGGCCATGGTTGTATGTATGCAATATGCCCTTCCATATGAGTGAAACATGTGAACAAAATAGGCTACATTATTTTGAAGAAGTAAAGTTCTTCCTTTATGAATTAATGTCATGCAGAAAAAATGAGAGGGAGGATGAACTTCATCCAAGGATGTATTGCATCTTTCCACACATTGTATTTTTCTACAGGAATACAGCTTCTTATTTGAGGTTAAGGAAATAAGTTGTTTTCAGGGCAATTATTTTGAAGAAGTCAAGTCTTTCCTCAAAACATGGTCATGCGAGAAAAACGTGAGAGGAAGGAACTCCATTAAAGGGTGTATTTAATTTTTCCACACTTATAGTTTTCTTGCAAGAATAGTGCTTCTTGGGAGGGACTATCTTGTCTTCAAGGCAGATTGTAACCTGTAAGCAGCATTTTCCTTAAACAACAACCGTTCTTTTGCAAGGAATGCTGCAATGTGCATCGACTATTCCACTTTTTCACAGCAATACTCAATGTTAACCACACACTGCATATTTTGAAGGAATCTGGTGTTTTGAAAGGAATACTGTATGATTGAACGAAGTCTGAATAATTTTCTGAAAGGAAGACTGCACTTCTTCAGAAAGGAGGACATGTTCAGAGGAATGCCCTATATCTTGTAGGGATCCTGCTTCTTTAAAGGGCCCTACTGTTTTACTTTGCTGCTTTGTCTACTTTTTTGGAAGGATATCTCTATGTTCCCATATTCGTGTGTGTATATCTTATTTCTGCGGCATGATTCCCATCTGAAAAGATGGCTCTGGGGTAGCATATATATATAATACATACCCGTTATTGAACATGGTCCACAAAAGTACATGATTTGCCCATTCAAAACGGTGATTTTCCATCGCCAAGCATCAGATCAGCGGAGTTATCTCCATCTCCACCGGGGCCTCGGGGCAGGACACCGTCTCCTTTGTCACCCTGCAGGCAAATTACCAACGAGTTGGGCCAAAATTGGAGACCTGGGGGAACACAGATTTTCGTCCACTTTAATATTAGCATTCAATTAGCATTTAATATTAGCTACCAATATTAGCCTTCCACCTGGGTCAATTAGTGGGGTAGCCAGTTTTGACCCATACCCACATGGTTTCAGGAAAACTGGCTGATGTGATTTCATTGGGATCACCATGGATGGGGGGTAGGTTGATGGCTTGGCCATGGAGGAATGTCACAGGAGTCACATCTTTGTGATGACCAAGATGGGAACGTCGCAATTCTCAATTCTCAACTCTTTGAGTGCACTGGCATACTCAAGTTCATACCGAGATGGTATATATATATGTGGGATGAAACAGTATGGTGTAATGATCGCCATACTACTGGATGGATGGTGACACCTGACGAGGCCTCCAACTCCCAAGCAGCTCATGGTCCAGGCGGACACCACCTTTTTTTCTGTGGGGAGGAGCAGCCTATTCTTGAGACGAAGCCTGACACAGAAAAAACAAGATGCAGCCCACGAACCCGAAACAAATTATTTGAACAGTCTTGTACATTTTCCCCCTGTTACTGTACAAGTGCATTGTAAACTGTGGAATGTGGAAAACGGTGGAGTGCAAAGCGCGGAGTGTGAAGAAAGTGGAGTGTTGAGTGGGAAATGTAGTGTGTAGAGTGTGCAGTGGGGATTGTGGAGTGTAAACTGTTCAGTGTGGGGGTGTAAAAAGTGAAGTGTAGAGTGTGGAGTGTAAAGTGTGAAGTGGAAAGTGCAGAGTGTGGAGTGTGTGGTTTAACGTGTAAAGTGTGAAGTGTGGACTGAATGTAAACAGTAGAGTGTGGAGTGTAAAGTGTAAAGTGTGAAGTGCAAAGTGTAGAGTGTAAAGTGTAGAGTGTGGAGTGTGGAGTGTAAAATGTAAAGGGTGAAGTGTAAAGTGTGTAGTGTGGAGTGTGGAGTGTAAAGTGTGGAGAGTCAAGTGTGAAGTGTAGAGTGCCGAGTATAAAGTGTAAAGTGTGGAGTGTCAAGTGTAAAGTGTAGAGTGTGGAGTGTAAAGTGTAGAGTGTGGAGTGTAGAGTATAAAGTGGGGAGTGTGGAGTCTCAAGTGTAAAGTGTAGAGTGTGGAGTGTAAAGTGTGGAGTGTAAAGTGTGGAGTGTGGAGTGTAGAGTGTGTAGTGTAGAGGATGGAGTGTGGAGTGTAAAGTGTAAAGTGTGGAGTGTAAAGTTTAAAGTGTAAAGTGCAGAATGTAAAGTGTGGAGTGTAGAGTGTGGAGTGTCAAGTGTAGAGTGTGGAGTGTAAAGTGTACAGTGTAGAGTGTCCCAAATACTGCGCCTGCCACGCTAAATAACATTCCACACTCAACAGATCTGCACCAAAGACTGCCCCTGTCACGCAAAATGACACTCGCATGATGTCCCACACCTGCCATGCAATTGAGATGTTGTTACCACTTCAGACACAACCCTGACAATGGGATTTACCAAAAACCCGCAACACGACTCGTCTAAAGTGCTGCGCCTACCACGCAAAATGAAGATGGATACGTGATACGTTCAAAAGTGCTTCGCTTGCCACGAAAATGCAAGTCATCTTCTGAAAACCTTGCAAAAGTATTGCGCATGCCACACAAAACGACTTTCGACATTTTTGCAGACACGTGAGAATGTCACGAAGTGCCACGCCTGCCACACAAAACGACATTGGAACCTGTTTGGAAACCTTTGAAAATGAGAGGTTTTGCAGCTTCCCCAATAGACATGGCGACGTTACAAGAACGCCCGAGCATGAAGACGAGACAGGCTGGAAGCTCAAAACGAGCGTTTCATGCGAGATTTCCTGACATTTTCAAACTTTGTAGCGACAAAATCAACGTTTTGTTACGAGTTTTCCTAACAAACCCTAAACTTGTTTCGCGCGAGGCTTCCGTCACTTTTCATCACATCTCACAAAATGCCACGCCTGCCACAGAATTTACACGTTGTCACCACTTGACGCAAACACGCAACACGACACGGCTGAAGTGCTGCGCCTGCCACGCGAAATGACGATGGAGGTCTCCAAAGTGTTGTGCCTGCCACGAAAAATGCAACTCATCTTCTGAAAACGACGCACAAATATTGCGCCTGCCGCACAAAACGACTTTGGACACGTTATGAAACATGTTGGAATGTCACAAAGTGCCACGCTTGCCACGCGAAACAAGGCTTCGGGCCACGCGAAACGAGACTTCGGGACGTTTGAAACCTCCAAAAAGGGACCACTTTTGCAGAACTCACCATAGGCGCAACGTCTAGCGAACATACCCTCAACCCCCAGACCCCCAGAGTGAAACGGGAACCCTTGCTACGCATTCGGAATAAAAAGTGTTATGATCTTTTTTCTCTCTTTCTTGTCTCTTGGGACATTCACCTCTTTTTCTATGGCCGGAACTTGATGAACTGTGGGTTTCTGGGTCCTGAAACAGACTGAGGCCTCAAGCGATGAGCTGGTGCTGGCCGTCAGATCCTCATACCGTGAAGTTTTCTGGATCCGTGGAACGGCAGAGTGTCCCAGAATCTATGAATGAAAGAGATTGAAAGGGCAGGTTTTCAAGATAACAGGATAAACAACTCTCTCTCTCTCTGCATATATATATATACACATAATATTTACCTATACACACATAATATATATATATTCACATAATATAACATATGTACACACAATAAATATACATGTATATATACATATGTGTATGTATACACAATATATATATATACATGATATATATATAGTGATATATGTATATGCATTTGATTATGTGTATGTTTATGTACAGTATATGTATTTGTATTTGTATTTGTATATGAATGAACGTCCTCGGAAGTAAAGATGAATTGGTGGACACCTCTTTTTCTGTAAAGTTTTGGCTTCAGCATATGCAGACTTGTAGTGACTGCCAGCAATACCTGGCGGAGATCGACGGTCTGTGTGCCTTTTGCCGGTCTGTGCAGCGGCTGACCTCCGAGCTTCGGCGATTGGGGCCTTGCCTACGTGGTTGGGCCATTGATCAAACCCGCGTTTGGGTTTCGATAGTGCAGGAGGAGGCTGGGAAGTGGGAGAAAGGGGCTGAAGCAGCCCGGAAAGCCGCCGAGGCAGCTGCCACTTCGAAGGCAGCCTCTCCTGTCACTTTTACCCAGCCTGTTCCTGAGGCGGGGGATCAGCCGGCAAAGGAGGAAGTTAAGTCTGAAAAAAGGGAGCCTTTGGCTCCTAAAGGGAGAGAGGTCTCTCCTGGGAAAATCTCAAGCCCTTCAGAAGGAATTCCAGTAGAGAACGAAGAGTTACTGCCGCCCGCCGTCAAGCAGGAAGATATAGAAGAGGAGCCCAGAAGAAAGGAAAAGAAAACCAAGGAGGACATTGCTGCCCCAGAGGAGCGGAAAGAGAAAAAAGACACAAAAACAAAAAAGGAAAAAGCAAAGAAGAAAAGCAAGAAAAGTCGTTCCCGCCCGAGGAGGAGTAGAAGAGATAGCCGAAGGCCAAGGAGAGATAGAAATTCCAGGCCCACTTCGAAGGGGGGGGAATCTCCTAGGAGGGGAGATTGCAGACCTCCAGAGCCAGCCAACCCTCCATCTAGCTGGAGAGGATATTCACAACATCGAGACTATTTCCAGTCGTACTACTTGCCGCCAGGCAACTCAGATCGGTACGACGCCAATTGGGGCGAAAACAAAGGGCAGAAGAAGAGGAAGAAGCAGCAAGAGTGGCGAGACGCTCAGTTTGAGGACCGATACTACCGGTATCGTTGATGGCATTGCGCAGACCAGCTGCAGTCAAAGCCGCAGCAAAAGACGCAGTACGAGTCAGAGGAGTGTTGAGGAGGCCGGCCAGAGCCGAGGAGGAGAGAGATCCGGGCGTGAGAGGGGAGAACTTGGAAGATCGCTTCATTGCAGGCGAGTTGGTCGAGGCATCGAAGGTGCCGTTGGGCCGGCTCACCCAAGGAACTCTCCTGGTGTGCGAGGGAGAATATTGGGGAGCACCTTGCAAGGTATGTGGGGTGATCCGGAGTTTGAAGATAAAGGGAGCATCGGATGTGGAGCTCGCGGTGAAAGCCGAGGGCACGGACCACGAAGATCTCCTAAAGTGGAACTCCGAAAATCCCGAAGCGGCCATTCGAGTTCATCTATGCGGAGGAGCCTGTCCAGCCAAGATCGAAGCCAAGGACTTGATCCACGCTCAAAAAGTCCGTTTAAAGACACGAGAAGACGAAGGGGGATGGACAGAGAACATGAAAGGGTCTCTGGACGAGCTGGCCGCCTTGAGGAGAGACAAGGCCGCTCCCGGTCCAGAAAGAGAGGAGAGAGAGAGGGCTCAGAAGGCCGATGGCAAAGAAAGAGAAAAGAAAAAGAAGAAGAAGAAGAAGAAGAAGGCCAAGCGGAGCAGAAGTACCAGCGAGACCAGTCAAACAAGGGAGAAAAAGACTCCAAAAAAGAAAGTGGAATCACAAAAAAGTCTGTCTCAAGTTTTTGGGACGACGGCCTTGGATCCAGATCCCAAGGTACGGAGGAGGTTGCTGAAGAGAGTAAAGAGGAAGATGCGAAAGAAGAAGGACGAAAGTTCCCCAAGCAGTGGGAGCTCCTTGGAGGGGAGCTCGAAGGCATCGAGCTTGGGGAGCAGCGAATCTGGCCAGCTCTTCGAGGACAGTCACAAGGTGAGGAGCATCAGCCGGAAGGCCCCGGGCGCATTGACCTATGGTATGGTCAAGGAGATGCAGCGTCAGCTGCTCACATCGGCGGGCACGGTCTGGGAGAGGGACCGGTCGGCGGTACCGCCAATAGCCTTGCAGTACTACAGGAGTCAGCTTTCCAGCAGGCTGACAGGAGGAGCTGCTCCGGAGGCCTTGACGTTGAGCTGGGCCCTAGACCTAGCATTGCAAGGGAAAGTGGCCAATCTGGCCGATTGCTTGTCTCAGCGGCTGAAGAGCATAGAGATGAGCGCAGGCGGCACAAGTTGGATGGTAGCCCAGCGGGTGGAGGTGTTGCCCCCAGAGAAGGGCCACCTATCGAGCCGCGCCGAAGCGCAAGCTGCGGCCAAAGAAAACAAGGACGAGTTGAAGGCAAGGAATTTGGGCAAAGGAAAGGAAAAGGGCAAGAGCGACAGCGCCTACCCCGCATGGCGCCCCGGAGGAAAAGGGGAGCAGAAGGGGAAGGACAAAGGAAAGAACAAGAAAGGAAGCGACAAAGAGGAAGGGAAGAGAGGCTCCTAGACAAGGGAGCAGCGGAAGGAAAGAGTCCAGAGAAAAAAGCACTCCTGGAGGAGTATAAGGGAGTGGAAACAGAGAAACTCCTTAGGAGGGGAGTGAGTGAAGAGAAAAGAGAGGAGGACCAGTCTCTCCTGAAAACAACAAAGGGAGTGAAGACTGGCTTGTCATATCAAGATGACCCTTGCGGCCCTTTTGAGATCCAAGGGATGAGCAGAATGACTCTGACGCCTGGTGAGGCCGGGTTCTTGAGTACAGATGCCGCTGGTGGTGCAAGGCCGACTACCAGTGCCCAGTTTTCCAACAAAGAAGATGGGACCACTTTGGAAGATGGCTGCTGTGGTAATGCGGCGGCGCTGGCAGCTGCTAGCCCTAGCATGGCGGGCTTTCGTCGAAGTCCTCTAGGAGCTGCTGAAGACTGCTTCCGTGCCGGTGGTCCTGAAAAAGACGCGCGCAGCCGTGATGAAGGGTCTGGGGAGGGCCAGTTTTCAAAAGAACTGGGTGGTTGCAAGTTTTCTGCTGTTTCCCCCCTCCTTAGGTCTCTGTTGATTTCAACGGAAAAAGAGCTTAAGTTTAGACGCGGCGAGACCCAGACCACGGGTGACGTTTTTCCGTTACCCACCAACATTGACCTATTACGCGGGGTGGGGAAGCTGGATGAGGATGCCCTCCTGCTGCTTAGTTGTGTTTGTCTAGGTTTAAACAGCTACGCTGGAACCGCGTTAGAGTCAAGTGCACCTTTGAGTAAGGTTCAGAATTTTTTCCTGGAAGGATTGGTCGCATCAGTGGAAGATGTGATGGGATGGTCTGAAGTGTTTGGAGATATTTCCTGGCAGAGTTTTTTCCAGCTGAAAAGCCTAGACTATGTGGGTGATGAGGTGGCTACAGCCCGGGTCACATCTTGGGCAAACCTGCAATCGGCAATCCCTGTGGAAGTAGGCAGTGTGCCTTTGAGTCAGGTGGTTGGCCCGGGTTGTGCCCATTATGTGGACCATTTTGAAGACTTTTTACTGGATGAAAAATCCAGGACCTACACAAGGCCCCCCAAGGTGATGGTGACGGAGCACGACTGGGATGGGGTCTGTGAGGGCCTTATCTCGGCTGGAATATGTGGAGTCATGGCAGAAAATGAATTGTTTCAAGTAGAGGGAAAACCTCTGCTGAATGGATTATTCGGCGTGTCCAAAGGAGAACAAGTAGATGGGCATGACGTCCATCGCTTGATCATGAATTTGATCCCGCTGAACCATATATGTCGGGGCATTCAAGGAGATGTGGCTACACTGCCAGCCTGGTCGTCATCAGGGCCCCTGTTTTTGATGCCTTCACAGCAGTTGTTGATCACCAGTGAAGACGTGAAATGTTTCTTTTATATTTTCCGTGTTCCTCAAGATTGGCATCGCTTTTTAGGTTTCAACAAGGTGGTAAACCCCCGTTTCCATCCGGGTAAGGCAGGACGGCACGTCCTGGTGGCGAAGGTATTACCCATGGGATTTAAGAACAGCGTGAGTTTGGCACAGCACATCCACCGAATGATTGTCAAAGGTGCCTCACGGAGAGTCTCAGGTCATCTGGAAGGTCATCAAGAGTTGAGGAAGGATAGACCCTTCCCAAATTCAGGAAATATTCATCGCGTGTATTTGGATAATTTCGATGAGTTGGAAAGGGTGGATGCTAAGTTGGCTGAGACCATACGAAGTTCCCCAACTCCGGGTGTGCTTGCTCTTAGGCAAGAGTATGAGCATTGGGGAATACCCCGGCATCCAAAGAAAGCTGTTCAGAGAGAGGTCAAGGCGGAGGTTCAAGGTGCAATTGTCGATGGAGCTCTAGGATGTGCTTACCCAAAACCTGAGAAGGTTTTAAAGTACACACAATTGGCTCTATTGACTGTGACAACGGGCAGGTGTAGCCAGAAGGAAATGCAGGTGGTCGCAGGAGGGCTGGTTTACCTCGCCACTTTTCGGCGTGCCCTGATGGGTAGCCTTAACAGTATCTGGTCATTTATTGAAGATTTCAACCACTACCCGGCGGTCATTCGGCTGGAAATCCCAGAGTTGGTGAAGGTTGAGATTTTGCGTTTCCTCATGCTGTTACCGCTGGCGCGCATGGATTTTCGGGCTATGCCTGATGAAAAAGTCACCGCTAGCGATGCTTCATCAATAGGGGGTGGTGTTACAGTGAGCCGAAGTCTCAGCAACATTGGCCAGATCGCTGCCTCCTGCCCAGTTAGGGGAGATGTGGCGGAAGTTGAGGATATGACTCAGGTTTTAACAATTGGTATCTTTGATGGCATAGGTGCCCTTCGGGTTGCAGCTGATGCTGCAGGGCTTCCCGTAGCGGGACACGTTAGCATTGAGATCAACAAAGAGGCTTCAAGAGTACTGGAGTCACGATTCCCGAGCACGGTTTTCGTGGATGATGTCAATCTGGTCACAGCTGACACGGTAAAGGAATGGGCATGCCAATTCACTCAGGTAGGGCTCGTGATAATCGGGGCAGGGCCACCCTGCCAGGGGGTCAGTGGTTTGAATGTAGACAGACGGGGAGCCTTACGGGATCACCGAAGTAAGCTCTTTAAGTATGTGAGTCGCATTCGGAAGTTGGTGGCAAGGCAATTTGCCTGGGCGCAGGTGCACTGCATCATGGAATCTGTACAATCAATGGACGAGCAAGATCGTCAAGTGATGAGCATGGACTTTGGTGACCTGCCTTGGGCCATTGACGCTCAAGGAGTCAGTATGTCACGCAGGCCGCGCCTCTATTGGCTCAGCTGGGCTCTGGTACCAGAGAGCAACGCAGAAGTGCACCCGCCAAAAACCTCCGAATGGAAAGGTTTTGGTGAGGTAAAGTTGTCAGGTAGAATAGAAGAGTCCCGGTATCTGACCCCAGGGTGGACCCGTGTCACCTCTGAACCTTTACCAACTTTCACCACGTCCCGTCCTAGATCTCACCCAGGTCGACGCCCTGCCGGGATAGATAAACTGAGCCCAACGGAAAGGCAATTATGGCAGGATGACCTCTTCCGGTTCCCACCATACCAGTACCAAACATGTTTCCATGTCCAGAAAGGTGGCGCCTCTCGCCTGGTGAATGTGGAAGAACGTGAAGTGATCCTAGGGTTCCCTAGGCATTTTACCGTGGCCTCTCTCCCGAAGAGCGAGCAAGGGACCACAGCACACCAGGACTTGAGGTTCACTCTCCTGGGCAATAGCTGGAACGTCACGGTGGTGACCTGGTTATTGGGACAGCTCTGCCAACCGTTGGGCCTCATTCCATGCCTCAGTGTCCAGCAGGCCATTGAACGAACTTCTCCAGGAGCCACGGTGGACTTAGCCTCCTTTCTGACAAGACCGCCCATGGGAGGACCGAGGAAACACTTGGTGGCTGGGAAGGAACTCCAATTAGTCAAAAAGCTTTTGAACCTGGTGAGTATCAAAGGTGAAGATATTCTCATCTCTGCTCCCAGTGAAGATACACTTCGGTACCAACGCCTTAGGGCTAGCATACCCTCGAACCTGTGGGTTTGGAGAACAGTGTGTGGCTGGACTTGGAAAGGCTCCAAAGAACACATTAACAACCTTGAAATGAGAGCGGTGCTGTGTGCCTTGCGTTGGCGCATTCTAAAATTGAGGACCAGGGGGCGCAGAATAGTGCATCTTACTGACTCCCTCGTGTGTCTCCATACGTTGACTCGCGGTAGAACCAGTAGCCGCAAGTTGAGAAGAACCGTGGCTCGAATCAATGCTTTGCTCCTTCTTTCCCAAAACATGGCGGTGTGGACTTACGTTCATACTGCTCTAAATCCGGCGGATGCGCCCTCCAGGGGGCGCTTTCGGAGGAAATGGGGAGGAAAGTGAGCCAACACATGGAAGGAAGAAGCAAAGCAGAAAGGAAAGCCACGAGAGCCCAATTGGGGTCACTTCAGCAGTTGACAGTACAGCCCAAAACCCGTGAGAGGTACAACCGAGCTATTAATCGTTTCCATGAGTATCTTTCAACAAATGAAATCACTCTGCCGTACAAGCGAATTTTCCTTGATCCAATTGTTTCGGACTATTTAGAGTTTTTATGGAGTCAAGGGGAGGGACGCAGTTTGGCGTCAGACACGTTGGCAGGCCTACAAGACAAGGATCCCCATATCAAAGGGCACCTCGCCAATAGTTGGCGGTTGCTCAAAACTTGGGTAGCCAATGAAATACCATGCAGAGCTCCTCCATTAACAGAGGTTGCTTTGCAGACGCTTGTTGGCCATTCTCTCTTTGCCTGCCAACCTGTTTTCGCCTTATCCCTCCTACTCGCATTTTATGGACTCCTAAGAACTGGAGAATTGTTAGGGTTGCATAACAAGGATATTTCTCAGGCCGGCCCTACCTCCGTAGCCATCATTTCCTTGGGATTGACCAAAGGAGGACGACGGGCTGGTGCCGCCGAGAGCGTCACCATTTCTGAGGAAGAAACTCTACGAAGACTTTGGCAATGGAAACAAGCCACCAATCCTGGCACTGCCTTATGTCCAGCGCCCCATCGATGGCGGAAAATGTTTAATGACACCATCTCCTCTTTAGGACTCTCCGAGTATCAATATAGGCCGTATAGCCTACGGAGGGGAGGTGCGACATTTTATTTTCAACGCCACGGGCAGTTGGACCGTTTGTTGATCCAGGGTAGATGGCAATCTTCTAAAACTGCCCGGTTATATATCAACAGTGGCTTAGCCACTCTTGCCGAAACTGAGCTAAGGCTCACTCCTCATGCGCGCGTGTTTCACAAACAATTTCTTCACTCCATGTCTTCTCCCTTGCCAAAACTTGAGCTTGCCACTCGTGGCAGGGCAGGGGGAACTGGGAGTAAGAGCTCGAAAAGCTCTAAAGCAGCGAAATCAATGAAAAGAGAAAAAAGGTAGGCGGACTGGCTGTCCCCTGGTCTGGCAGGGCCCAGTACTACCTAACATTCTTTGGCTCATTTTTCCCTCGGTCTGGCGAGGAAAGATGGGGGGAATGTAAAGCCATACTCTCAAGAGAGAGAGAGATAGGCTGAGAGTGTGGGATTGCTGCAAAGTTTAAACTTTAATTTTCAGGCCAATGGAGTTTGCTACTCCCCTTTTGTGTTTTTTATAACAAAGCAGGTCTTGCCGTGTCAAAAAAGAGCGAAACCAATGAATCTTTGAATGAACGTCCTCGGAAGTAAAGATGAATTGGTGGACACCTCTTTTTCTGTAAAGTTTCGGCTTCAGCCCCGCAGCCTCCCTCCCAGCAAGATCAAAAAGGGAGTAAGAGCTCGAAAAGCTCTAAAGCAGCGAAATCAATGAAAAGAGAAAAAAGGTAGGCGGACTGGCTGTCCCCTGGTCTGGCAGGGCCCAGTACTACCTACCTAACATTCTTTGGCTCATTTTTCCCTCGGTCTGGCGAGGAAAAATGGGGGGAATGTAAAGCCATACTCTCAAGAGAGAGAGATAGGCTGAGAGTGTGGGAGTGCTGCAAAGTTTAAACTTTAATTTTCAGGCCAATGGAGTTTGCTACTCCCCTTTTGTGTTTTTTTATAACAAAGCAGGTCTTGCCGTGTCAAAAAAGAGCGAAACCAATGAATCTTTGTATATGTATATGTATATGTATATGTATATGTATACATATATGTACATATGTGTATATATATATATGTATATGTATATGTATACGTATATGTATGTGTGTATATTTATATTTAAATAGTATGCGCACATACTTTACATATCTTTATAGATACTATACTCTTGGATGGTAGAGATGCATTGCTTTGCTGTAAAGAAAAAACCTTAAGGCAATGGATTTGATCTTCTCGTTTTCTTTTGATTTCCCTTAAGGCAGAAGGAATCCAGTCAGCAGCAGAGGCATGGCCAAACATTTTAATCGGCTCCGCATGGTGGTGCCCCCCCAAAAAACTAATATGGGATATATATGGGATATTTTTACATATGTACAGACATACACACATATATATATACACATGTATTGGATACATCTACATATAGTTCATGGGGTTAGTTTTTAAACCATCTTAAATGAAAAGTGGATGAACGGTCCTGCAAGAACCAGGGCGTCACGCCAGGACTTGGACAAAGAGACTTCGAAGTGCCGGCAACTGGAGGAGGTTGAAACGTGACCGACATGTGGGATATATACACACAGATATATGTATATACATATATGGGTACATATATATATATACATATCCAATTGGTTTTTGATGTTTTTAGAGAGTTCCAAGCACTGGCCCACTGGCAGTTGTTGGTTCTGAAGGCCATTGCTGATTGCATCGGCCAGCACCGAAGCGGAGCGCTGCAGCAGACCCGAGAGGCGAGATCTACGCATGAGGGAAGAGAAAGGCATGATTTAAACGTAGAATCCATTCATGGAATCCATTAGAATCAATTGGAATCCATTAGAACCCATTAGAATGCATTAATTCATATTATATAATTCATTGGTGGAGGTTGATGGTTTAATCTTTTGGGACTTGTACTACGAAATTTATTGGGGAGGATGATAGTTCCGTAGTAGGAAACCTATTAACCAGCTAGTATAATGAGATGGGACAAGAGAACGAAATGATTTATATAATAGGTTCTAATGAATTCTACTTGATTCCAGCTATATAATTTTATTCATTAAAGCAACTAACCATTAAACCACTTTTCCTGTTGTTTGATTTAGTACAGGGTCACCCCTACAAACTAACCAATCGCTACATGATTACAATGGTATACCAAGAAGGGGGCCCTTAATTTTTCCCAAAAGGACATTGTTGGAGAAATGTTTTTCGAATGGTAATGTTCCTCAGGATTTCACTGTTGGTTGATGAAATGGGGATTTAAGCATCAGCTTGGAGTTACAGTCTCTCTCGTTTTCAACCTTAAGAGAGATATGATTTCCATTCTTTGGGCAGTTGAATTATGTCTTTATATTTGAATTATGTGAGGTAAATATCATTTGCAGTGGGATTGGGGGTGTTGTGGTCGGGTGCTGGATGAGTTACAAAAGATGGTCATTGTTATGCTCAATGGCCAAATGACCAGATGATGATGACAAACTCAATAATGATCGATTGATCGTTATTGTTGGGATTGTTGTTCATCCCATCATTTGTTAAGATTAGGAAATGTTACGATTAATGTTGGGTTTGATAGTTATTTAATAGATGGTAATATGGATATCTAATACAAGTAACCATGGAACGATTCCTATTTCAAATTAATGCTTTGAAGTTTTTGCTGCCAAGTCGTATCCAATATTAACATACGTATGTTAAGACATATTTACATATCCTAGCATGGACTAACATATATTAACATATATTAGCATATATCAGCATTTGATTATATACATACATACACGCATGCATGCATACATGCATACATATATACATATATACATCTATGCATATATGTATATATGTATATATAGCCTCGTCCGCGCTTCTGGAACTGCGCACACCACGAATTAGGTTGGTAAAACTTGTCAATTCCGAGACGAAATTTCGTCCCGGAATTGACAAGTTTCATTAGGGTCATCATCATCATCATCATCATCATCTGCAAGTTCACATAAACGTTAATATACCACCCCATCCCCCCCCCACCCCACCCCGCGTGTGCGTAGCATCAACTGCTTCTGCAAGTTCACATGAACGTTAACATCCCACCCCATCCCCCCCCACCCCACCCCGCGTGTGCGTAGCATCAACTGCTTCTGCAAGTTCACATGAACGTTAACATCCCACCCCACCCCCCACCCCCATCGTATGTAGTTCCAGGAGGTGGGACGAGCCTATATATACATAAAAACAATTATACAAATATACATATATACATATATACATATATACATATATACACAAATACATATATACAGAATTATATAAATAAATGCATACATATCTACATATACACACATATACATTTATATATATATATTTAAACATATATACATATAAGTATATACATATATACATGTATACATCTATACATATATGCACATATACATGCATAAATATGTACATATACATATATATATATACATAGATATTTACAAATATGTATATATATATATATGCATATATATATGTATATACATATATATATATATATACGTATATATCTATATATATACGTATATATATACATATATATATACGTATATATACATATATATATATACATATGTATATATACATATATATATACATATATATATACGTATATATACATATATATATATACATATATATATACATGCATGCATGCATACACATACACATACACATACACATACACATACACATACATACATTTACATAGATATTTACATATATATATATATTTACATATATATATATATTTACATATATATATATTTATATATATACATACATATATTCATATTTACAGACATGTACATACATAGATATATATATATACATACATATACGTATACATATACATATATATACACATATACATATACATATACATATACATATACATTTACATTTACATATAGATACACATACATACATACATAACATAACATAACACAACACAACACAACACAACATGACGACATAACAAAACATAACATAACATTACATACATACATACAAACAAACATACATACATTACATTAGATTACATCACATTACATTAATACATACATGCATGCATCCATGCATGCATACATACATACATACATATACATATGCATATGCATATGCATACACATACACATACACATAACATACACATACACATACACATGCACATACACATAACATACACATACACATACACATACACATACACATACACATACACATACACATACATATACACATACACATACACATACATATGCATATACATATACATACACATACACATACACATACACATACACATACACATACATACATACATACATACATACATACATACATACATACATACATACATACATACATACATACATACTACATACATACATACATACATACATACATACATACATACATACATACATACATACATACATACATACATACATACATACATACATACATACATACATACATACATACATACATACATACATACATATACACACCCACACACCCCTATATATTGACATATTCTGACACATACTAACTTATATCAACATGTATTATCAATGATTACCATAATTTGGCATATTAACATAGCTTAACGTACCTTAGCATACATCAACATACATTAACATACAGTGACATGAATTAACATATATTAACATACATTAACATACTGTGGGTGGAAGAAATCCTGCACCACCAAAAGGATGTTTGAAACCCTTTAAATAATTGGAAATTACCACCTAGCAACTGGTGCAGGATTTCTTCCATCCACAGTATCATCATATATCAAATATTGATAAATATTTATATTTGAAATAGACCTTTGAAACCTTGACTCAGCTCCGAGGCCCTGCGGGATGGAGTTTGTGCGCTGGAAGAGTGGGCAGGGAAGCTCGGTGGCCGCTGATTTCAGCAGCAAATGGGAGGTACCCCTTTATCGCTGGATGGTTTATGATGGAAAATGCCAATCTAAAATGGATGATTTTGGGGTAACCCCACTTCAGGAAACCCCCAAATATTGCTATGTATTTCTATGTTTTGCTGAAACATTGACATTCTGGGTAGATCTAGGGACTGAAATTCACTGAGAAACCATGTTTATAGATGTTCATTTCCTAGGAACTTCTTATTTGCAGTTTAGGAATGCTATGTGCCCAGATAGGCCCAGATTTCTGCAGCCAATCTCGCCCCAGGGGGATGGAGCGAGAGAAGCTGTTGAAGGCGGAAACCCACCTTTTGTGGACGGCTGGAACATGTTGGAGCCATCACCTGTACCCGGTAAAACCAATAAAGATACCCTCTGGTTATTTAACATAGCCATGGAAAATGGCCCATTTATAGATGGGTACCCCCATGACTTAGGCACTTACTTACCCTCTGGTAATGACTAACATAGCTATTGAAAATGGCCATTTATAGTGGATTTACCAATTAAAAATGGTGATTTTCCATGGCTATGTTAAATAACCAGATGGTAAATACTAAGAATCAACCTCCAAGCTGGAATTAGTTGTTCGCCCATTTTCGGGGCCATTGGACATGGTTTTGTGCTTTCCAGACATTTTGATATTGTGGTGGGTAAAGCTGCACACGGGCCGGGGCCATTTTGGTCAAGAAACAGTTTTGGTCATCTAGAAAACCAAATTGCCTTGAGTAACCCTCAGTCTTCGACCACTTGCGTGGTTCGAAAATTCAGGATTTGCTTCCGGGCTCAAAATCTGAGCTACACCCATGATCCCCATTGCTGGCTCGAAAATTCAGGCAAGACGTCCAAAAATAGGGAGATCTCCATTGGAGATAACCACAAATTCCCATGAGTTTCCTCTCCGCTGGTGATTTTTTCGTGTTTTTCAAGCACTTTTGGCCCCCCCAAAATCCCCTATGGTTTTCATTGCAGGTTGGGAACTTGAGAGCTTGGCGACTTCGGACACTTGGATTGAGATATTGATCCCCAAAATTTGGCCCTTTTGGACTTTGCAGAACTGGCCCGGCCCACTCCCATAGCATCCCCAGGTAGGTGATGAAGTGCCTAGCGAACAGAGTGAGCATGACTCCGAGCAAAGCCAGGCTCGACTGCGGCCGAACAAAACCGCTGCAGCTTTCCAAGACCACCATGGACCATGGAGCCTCATGAATATTTGTCTTTTGGATCGGAGCTGACCTGGTCCATTTTCAGGATCAACCATCCCAATCCCATTTTTGGGCCCACTGATTTGACCCAAACCACGTGGCATCAACTTCCTGAGTTGCTCTTGGAGACGAATTCCAGGAACCCCTTATATGTTCGGAGGTAAAGAGACTCGCTTTGCAACGATTTCTTTAAAGCACTCCGTTGGATGAAGGTGCAAAATGACCAAATTTCGTGATCCATCAGCACTTCGGCACCATTTTTCCATCTTTTCCCCGTTTTCTGAGCCATACTATGCCATACTCATCTGGCTCCTTGGGATTTCAGGTGCCAAAGCAAGAAGCATTGCCACAGGCGAGCTCTCGCCGTGCCGCCGTGTCTGCTGAGAGGAGTTTGAAGAGTTTGTAGCAATGGGATTGTCTGAAAATTAGGAGCTTATACATATATATATATATACACATATATACATATATATATATGTATATATATATATTATACCCTAAAATCCACCGGTACATCATCATTTTCCCCATGAAAAAATCACCATAGATTGTTTTTTTTTTCAAAGCATTTTCAGACACATGGATTCAATGGATTCAATGGATGGTTGTTGTATGTTCAGCGTTTCATCACCGCTTCCCCATCGCCGGTTGCGACTTTTCCACTGCCATGCAGCGCTGGGCCGATGGGGACGCCACGCATGACGCGGGGGCACGCAGCATTGCGGAAGTTGTCAAAGCAGCACGCGCAATGACTGGAAAACCTGCCCTGGCTTCGGATGAGGAGCCAGTCTTATCATGTCAATCCCTTCAATGATAATATGGTACTTAATTGAATCTTAATTGGTACTTCTCCCCTAATTCAACAGCCGTTTGGGTTATGAATCCAGGGTTGATAGTATCACGTTTTGTCTGTGTACCTAGCAAGATATCCCAAATGGCTCCGAACATGAGGGAGATAGCGAAAAAACACGGCCAATTTTCACGGGGGACATCTTTGTCCAATGATTCTCAGAGAAACCAAAGTGGAACTGGGTTTCAATGGTTTCAACGACCGGAACTCGGCAACTAGGTGTCGTGTTGCCTTTTACACATCACAACGGGGCGCATCTTGGCAACCAATATCAATAGAGGATTATATAAAGAAAGGCGAAGACAGTATGAACCATATGTCACAGTCAATTATTTGGTATTGGAATCTGTATCAACCACTTAAGGGTTATATATATATATATCTATATCTGGATATTGATAGGGAACAATCCGCAGGGTATATCTTTGACCCTTCAGGGAGCTTGGTCATCCATGACAAAGCATAATGATTATCATGAGTCTTTCATTGAGAGGAGCTGGTTGAGTGGCTAAAAGGACAAGAAGTCTTCTGCGAGACGGACCTCTTGAATCTGTCCGATGCCTGGATCTGCTGAGTCACTGATTTGAATTTCCCCATGGCTTGATTTTGTGGGGGAGCTATTGCAAGTTAGCCCCTCCCCAAACTTTTTTTTCAACAGAGGATATGACTCAAAAATCCTTCGCAAATTGTTCAACGACTAGCCCCAGACATAGAGAAAACCAAGGTTGATAGGGAGAAAACTTGTCCCATCGTTCTGTGCCCTCCAGGATACTGCCTGGGCCGCCGTTCAGCGTGCACCTGGTGCCACTCTGGTGTTGCTGGATGCCCTGGAGCACCTGCGGGCGCGGCCGCGGCCTGGGGCCGCCTTCCCCGAGGCGCCACCCATCCAACGGCAGAACTCCGGGTCCATCTGTGGGAAGTCAGCGGTGGAGATGGAGGTCCATGGTGCCATGGCTGGTGTCTTTTTTTAAGTTTTTTTTTTTCCGCTATTTTCCAGCCATACCTGAGAAACGGATGACTGGCCAATGGTTCAATATGTCAATATGTATTAAACTATGTAATATTATATATATAGTTCATACACATTTTTTCTTCTATTCCAAGAATTCCGAACAAATGATTTGTTGAACAAACGAGTTCGTCGGTTGGTCGGTTGGTGGCCCCACTTCAGGTTTTATCGGCATCATAACAATGTGCAACGAGAGCAAACGGAATGCGCTCAGCCAGAAGCTGGGCATGGTGAGTTCGTCGTTTTTGCTTCTGAAGCCAAGGTTGAAGTTTTTCCCAACAAAAAGGGTCTGAAAATGGCTAGTTAGTGAACCCCCCAGTTATCGCACTTTTACCCGTGAAAGTGATTATTCACCAGTGGATTTTTTCACCCCAATTTCAGACAAACCCGTTGAGATGAAATGGCTGGCATAACAGAGAGTGCTTGAGAAACACATGGAAGTGGCCCAAAATCATTCACTCCCTAGAAAAAATCGATGGTTTACGAAAACGACAAAAAAAAGGCAAAATCAGTGGATTCAGTGGATACCCTTGGCTTCAAAACTGGGATTTGCAGTGACCTTAAGGCACGTTTGCGACGAGCTGAGCGGCTTGTTAGACCGTTGCTGTTCTGCCGGTGTGCGCGTGGTGATTCTTCGCTCCTCACCGGGTGTGAAGGTCTGGAGTTCTGGGCACGACGTGCGAGATTTTAAGCGGGTCGACGGGTCTGACGCAAGGAGCTTTGGCAAAAGCAAATTTCAGGATCCTTTGAGCTGCGACTGGGTTGATCTGGTTGGTGATTTCCAGTTGAGTCATTAAAGATAGCTTTGTTGATGGGTTCATATTGGGGGTGCCCACAATAGGGATACTTTGCAACCAGTAGAATGGAATGCGATGCGGGTATTTTTTGTGGCTCAGCTAGATCATTCCAGGAAATCCCGTCTACATAATGTTTTGGAAGGTTATTGTAGCAGTAGTTGCGTTTGTAATAGATTCGCAATGGAATCGTTGCGAAGAAAAAACACCAAATCGCTTGTGATTTGGATGGATCAACTTTCTATCTAAAGATGATCCGTACTTGTTTGATCCATTTTTTTTCTCAATGACATTCCATTTTTGGAAATACAGTTTGATCAGTCCTACCCGTTTTGGAATCATCTCCGTCTTGGCTCAAGAAACTTCATCCAAAACCACCTGGAGGAGTAACAACTAATCTTCCACCGTTGACATGTCGAATCCCTTCCAAGTCAATGCAAATATCTCTTCAATGACCTCGCAAGGTTCCCAAAGGCTCATTTCCAACCCCAGCATTTCCAGGTCAGGGTTGAAAAATGATACGTTCGCAGAGCCATAATCCAAACATGATTCTTGGATCCCAAAATCCTCATGATCATAAGTATTGGGTACTGCCAATATCCATATCAGACCATATCAATCCATATCATATCATTATATCATATCCAGGTGAATTTTGTATCAAACAGAGCCACTAATATACATATACATACACATATATAATATACAATACAATATAGTATTATATGATATTTGTAATATACTGCTAGAAGATATCCCCATCAAACATGATCCTCATGATTCATATTATATTAAATATAATGTGGTAAATGAACTGGTCAACCCAATAAACAAACACTGTTTTGGAGGCGGTGAATTTGGAGATGTCCCACATTACAATCCTCATAATCCATCCACGTCAAAAACTACATATGATTGCACATATCTCCCCCAACAAACTACATCGAAAAAAAACATTGTGCATATCCTTATATATAATAATATACATATATATCCTTATATATCCTTATATATCCTTATATCATAACTATCATAACTTATATCCCAGGTGAGGATTCCTTTGTAAAGCTCCTGGATCGCATCCGCAACCTGCCGGTCCCCGTGCTTGGCTCCATCGAGGGCACCGTCTGGGGCGGCGCCACAGACATCTGTGCCTGCTGCGATGTGTTGATCGCCACGCCGCAGACCACCTTCGCCATCACCCCAGCGAAGATCGGGCTGCCCTACAACCACTCGGGCATGTCGCATTTTATACAGGCGAACAAATGGCGGTTCTTGGGGGATGTTGAGAGGTTTATGTTTTTGTAGGATTTCATATAGTTGTTCATAATTATATATATATGATGCATGTAGATGTATTTGTATATGTATGTGTATATGTACATATTTGGCAGTTTGAGGCGTTTGGTGGGTTGGTGTTGTTCTTTTTCTATTAAACGGTAAGTGGGCGTGAGTTTTGGGGGATACATAGTGTTGATGTTAAAGACTATGCCGCAGACCCTTGGGGATATAATTGATAAACGTGATGGGTGGTTGACAATTTATTCAGGGGTTATACTACTACCTGACATACATGGGATCATCATGATCCATAAACTGGCAATCCCATGAAAGAAAAACATGATTGAATAGATGACTAAATAAGCCGTATTCCCATTTTTGGCATATCCAAGTGTAGGGCCTACGGGACATTTATATTTGAAATCTTCATGTTGGTATCCCATACATTCCCCATGAGGCTATGGAACTCGCACAGGTGATGCCGCTGCACATCGTGAAGTGGATGTTCTTTTCCGGTGAGCCGATCTCAGCGGATCAAGCGTTACAGATCGGTTTCCTGAACGATGTGGTGCCGGTGGAGAAGTTGGAGCAGAGGACCGGGCAGGATGTCACCGATTGGGTTTTCAGCTGTTGATCCCGTAGAATCTTGACCAGGTGAGGTTTGAAGAAACATCATGTCTCATCAGTAATCCCATCCATATGAAACAGTCCCATCTTATGGTCCCCGTGGGTTTCATGGGTCAGGACTCAAGAGATGGCCCACATCATCGCGTCCAGAGCACCACTGGTGGTCCATCTGCTGAAGAGGCAGTTGCTCTGCATGAGCCCAGCCCCATCCTTGACCCCAGAGGTCTTCGAAGAGCTCCACGAGAAGCGAAAGCAAACCTGGTCTTCCAATGACATGGAAGAAGGGGTGCAGGCTTTTTTTGCCAAGCGTCCGCCCAGTTTCCGCGGAAATTAAAAAAGTGCCATTAGAGTGCCTTTTGAAACAGATTGATTTGTAGCGATCGGCTCAGTCGTGACTTTCGAAATTTGAGAGTCCCGTTACTTTCAGCTGCCGGCAGTTTCGCTCAACAGAACTTCGCAGTGAATCGCCGCCCCAAAATCGGCCGAAAGCTGCAGGTGGAACTCCGGAGTTAGATGGTAAAATGCCGAGATCCTGTGCAATGTTGTCAGCCAACCATACCAATTATCTGAGTTTCTATTGAAAATAGATTATATAGCCCAAAACATCCAAAACATCCCACTATTATTCATCACCATTCATGTATATATATATGTATATATATAGAATGTTATATATTATACGGTTATATATTATGATATATATATTGTTGTATTATATGCTATTATACATAGTAATAATAGTAATAGTAATAGTTATACTAGTAGTAATAGTAATAGTAATAGCAATAATAATAGAAATACTAATACTAATGCTAATAGTAATGCTAATAGTAATGCTAATAGTAATAGTAATAGTAATAGTAATAATACTAATACTAATAATACTAATAGTAGTAGTAATACTAATACTAATACTAATAGTAATAGTAATACTAATACTAATACTAATAGTAATAGTAATAGTAATACTAATAGTAATAGTAAAAATAATACTAATACTAATACTAATAGTAATAGTAATAATAATAGTAATAGTAATAATAATGTTAATTATACATGATAATATATACATGATATCCTGGAGCCCAAATGACCTCCGTGTTTTAGATGGTGAAGCATCCTTTGTGTCAGGTCCAGACTGATCCTCTGTTGCAGCTGGAGGACATGGAGAAGGAAACGCAGGCGAAGATTCGCGAGCCGTGGGAGCAGTGGATCGCTGTTGAACCACGGGAACATGATGGAGTTGATGATGGAGTTGATGACCTAGGATGATGAAACATGACATGAAACTTCCATTACTTAGATGGAAACAGAAATCACATGTTGAAAGATCGAAAATCATGGAGGTGATCATGGAACAAGATGGAAGAGACTATCTCTTAAATTGGTAGCAGCGAATTTTCAGGCAAAGCCTCATGGATGATTTAGCACTGAACATGATCAACTTGACCTCGGATGCGTGCAATTTACTATAATCATTTAACCCCATTATCCAAGATGATCCATAATCCAGAATTTACCAGTGACAATTCTCAAATTCGTGCGTGGAAACTGAGGTGCTGCTGCGTCGATTGCCTCCTGATTTCTTGCTGTTTCCTTCTCAGATTTTGATGTTTTATCATCCATTTGCTGGTGCAACTCCCAGAAAGATAGGAAAGTACTTTCTACTAGAATGGTGGCAACTGACTTTTTTCTTCTGGGGGTTGCTATATATCTGCATTTATCCAAATATAACTTGTGATAAAGGTAATGTGATTTGCATCCCAAACCATTTTTGTGAACATTCCCGTTCCCAATCAGACTTGATGAAATGGGTGGGTTTTATACAACCATCCGCTGAAATGGTGAATTTGTTGGGATTTGTCACATGTGGTAAATATACTGTCAGAGTGGATGGTATGGGTATGGGACGTGGCCACGTAAAAATGAGGCGGCACTTGTGTGAGGAGTGCGATGAAGATTCCGCAGGTGGGACACAGTTGACCTACGGTTGGAAGAGGTTGGTGTTCCTAACTGGTCTAGGGAACTGGGGATTAAAGTGGACGGGCCCAGACCAGGCATCAAGCAATGGGGTTAAACATGATGTCCACACCATAAAAACTGTTGATCCCCTTTTCAATGCGGGGGAGCATTCTTAACCCCAAGACATGGGAATCAACACGTTTTTTTTTTCATGTGCAAAGAACGCCGGAAGAATGATGGTGAATGGAATATCATGATGCAAAGATGATCAAACAATGGTGGATATAGCCCGGAAATGACGATGTTTTACAGGCTGAGTGACTCACCTGTGGCCCCTGAGAATCTCAGGCCCTGTTGGACTCTCCGATGATGAGCTGGCGGCTGAACTGCAGAGATCTTAGACACGTCCCGTGTTCAGGATGAATTTCAAGGAAACCAACCAAATTGCAACATATCCATAGAAATATATATAGATAGAAATACTGTTTGCTTTCCCTGACATAGTAGCTCGGACTGAGTTTGGTTGGCAGCGAAGCATGGCTGTGTGAGCAGTCCCCTGAAAGAATAACAATTGTGACAATAATAATTATTATAATAATGGCAGTAAGTATAGTAATTTAACAATAACAATATTGACAGCAGTAAAAACAACAATAATAGTAATACCATTAATAATCATGATACAAGTAAAAAATGAAGTTTGATGTTATTGTAGAATATTCTAGGACATGTTTTAAACATATTCTCACACATCCATCATATCCACTGCCAAGGAAACGACTGGAGCCTGTCAACGAGGATTTGGCGCGAATGGCGCAGATGGGTGCTGGCGTGGCCGGGGGCTCGGAACTGGTGATTTCCCATAGAAGGCTACCTATTCAAACAGATAGACCAGCTAGATGCAATTTGTTGTATATGGAATATCCCAGTTATTGTAAAATGAATACATACATACATACATACATACATACATAGATACATACATACATAGATACATAGATACATAGATACATAGATACATAGATACATAGATACATAGATACATAGATACATAGATAGATACATACATAGATACATACATAGATACATAGATACATAGAAACATACATAGATACATAGATACATAGATACAACCATAGATACATACATAGATACATACATACATACACACATACACACATACACACATACATACACATACACATATACATACACACACATATACATACATACACATATACATACATACACATATACGTACACATATACGTGCACATCTACATACACATACACATACACATATACATACACACACATATACATACATACACATATACATACATACACATATACGTACACATATACATGCACATCTACATACACATATACATACACATACACATACACATACACATATACATACACATATACATACACATATACATACACATATACATACACATATCCATACACATATCCATACACATATACATACACATATACAAACACATATACAAACACACATACATACATACATACATATATATGCATACATACATACATACATACATACATACATACATAAATACATACGTACATACATACATACTTGCATTCTTACTTACTTTCATACTTACTTACTTACCAACATACTTACATGCTTACACACTTACACACTTACACACTTTCATACTTACATATTTACATATTTACATACTTACATACTTACATACTTACATACTTACTTACATGCATACCTACCTACCTACCTACCTACCTACTTACCTACCTACCTACGTACATACATACATACATACATACACATGCACACACACAAATTATAGATTTAGTTGTATAACTTACACGCCAATTACATATGGATGGAATAGCTATTTTGACTGAAGCCTTACTGACCTAACTGTGGTGATATCCAGATAGCCATCTTGGTTTCCACTTGTACAAGGCAAATCCTATGTATATATAAAATATGGCTCTATATATATTGTGAGTGATAGACCAGCTAGATATAGATGGTATTGGGTGTGGTTGGAATATCCCCAGTTGTAGACTGCATGGCCTAACATAGCACTTAACGACTGGAATGGCTATAAGCCAGTCATAGATGGGATACACATTCCAAATTGATGTGGGGTTGCATTCACCAACTTCGTTTCCTGCCATTCCTGCCCTGCAAGTAGCCAGGCGGCAGCAAGTCGCTGGGTTGACAGTTCACCCCTCACTTCACTCGATGAACTCAGAGTTTTGCGATGAACAAAGTGGACACCATCTTTTCTTTTCCCGGTGGTTTGATATTGGTCAATGCATCTTCGAATGATTCAGACCGAAAGAACGCTGGTACTTATGCATGTCCAGTCAGCCGATGGTCCCACCACTGGCATGACCTAGCTCCCAATCTCGTAAACCTCCAGGTCAACACCTGATTGTTGGTTGCTCAAATCCCAGATGTTCCCCCAAAAGACCCAAGGGGGGGGCACAATCCTCCTTTATTGTGGCTTTACACATCTTTGTACTAGGTACTTTGTAATTGGTATCGACCGATGCCCCCAATTTTCGGAACTGATCCTCCCAGGCAAAGCGCTTGAAGCATGCCACCAGAGCCCTTGAGGGCAGGGCCCAATGGCTGGAAGATGTGGCAAAGACAGCGACGAATGCGGCTGAAGCTTTTGGGTTTGGTCCTTTGAAAATGGCTGGGAATGGGATGGCACCTTTGAGGTAGACTTTTGATAAAATGTGAATAACTCATTTTTTGGAACATGGGCAATTTCGATCAATTTTTTTTTTTTTTTGCCTATTTTCGGACACAATCCATTTCCATCTACGATGCCTGGGGCGTTTTTGGGGCAGGACTGCGGTTGTTGACGGCTCCTGTGTTGATCTTGGACTTCGAAATTTGACGATGATCCCAAGTGGGTTTATTTTGTTTATTTTGAACATAGATTATCTCCAAATCCATCCGTTTCTCAGTTTCTCATGCGTTTCCCTATGAGAATTGTGACAATTGCCAAACAACTTGGGGTAGACCATTCCACATTTTCACGTCCAGTGGCGGAACATGTTGTCCTTTTGGGGAACAAAGTCACCAAGGCAGTACGGATCATCCCCCAGCAGCTCTTCGGAAACAGCGGCTGTGGATGCCTTAGTGCAGAGATTCGACAAACACGGGGAAAAACAGGTGCTTTTGAACGGTGGGAAGAAACTGTGACACACAGCTCTGATGTCTGATGTCGTTGTTTTTTTTCCAAAGTTTTTCTCCGCAACATATGTCCTTTCTCCGGCAGCATCGCAGGCAGTGGAAGCTTTCGAGCTGTTGGGGAGCCTAGAGATTTGTTTACCAAACATGGGGATTCCAGCGGATCCCCCAATTTCTTTTAGTATTCGGGGTCGAACATGTCGAACATGGGAGATTTGCCACCAGTTTATGACCATAATCACATATCAACTATCCAATTCTTTGGGTTCCCTACTTTCAACCCAATTCGGATGATCCCGGATGTGCATCTTTTGTTGAGATGGCTCAAGCACCAGAGAAAGTTCCGATGAAATATCAAGAATTGGTTGATGAGCAGCCCATTACAATCCATATCTCGTTGGATATATACGATATATACAGCATAAATTGAGATTTTCCCACATCTTACAGCCCATTGAACCCTCCAGTTTTCGGTTGACTCGAGTCGCGCCTTGCTCTGAGGTCATCATCATTGAGCCCCGCACAGGCGGTGAGGTTCTCATTCCGGTTGATGGTTGATGGGGGTGAAGCTTGTCACCGCTAAGACCGACATGCCAAACATTGAAACAATGACATCCAGCGAACATGAGGTGCCAGTGAAACACGTTTTTTATTTGAACACCATCCATTTTTTGGGGGAGTCAGTTTCAAATCACCAGCGCAATTTCTTCCTTCATCTAGGTGTTGCTTAGCATCTTTGCCATGTCAAACAGGTGTCATTCCAAACGCAGAGATTCGGGTGTCCATTCAAGAAACCGATATTCGGATGTCTATTTTATTATCGAGTACATCTATGTATTATGTACACTAGGCTATACTATATACAAAGACTGTATATAATTAAAGAATACAGTATATATATACACATATATAGATGACATTCCGCATCTAAGGCCTTTAAGTTGCCACATCTAACTGGGCATTCCGAGGTGGAAGAGCCGCGCGCCTTATCGCCAAGATCACCCTCGGTGGGGTCGCCAAAATATATGTATCTGAATATAAATATCTAAATATATAGACATGTATATACATATATATATATACATATGTATGTAATGTATGTAATGTATGCAGTGTATGCAATGTATGCAATGTATGGAATGTATGTAATGTATGTAATGTATGTATGTAATGTATGTAATGTATGCAGTGTATGCAATGTATGCAATGTATGGAATGTATGTAATGTATGTAATGTATGTATGTAATGTATGTGATGGATGCGATGCATGTGATGCATGCGATGCATGTGATGCATGTGATGCATGTGATGCATGTGATGCATGTGATGTGTGTAATGCATGTGATGCGTGTAATGAATGCAATGTATGTAATGTATGTAATGTATGTAAGGTAATGTAAGGTAGTGTAATGTAATGCAATGTTATGTAATGTTATGTAATGTTATGTAATGTTATGTAATGTTATGTAATGGTATGTAATGTTATGTAATGTTATGTAATGGTATGTATGTTATGTATGTATGTATGTATTTATTTATTTATTTCTTTTTTTTTGTTTCTTTATTTATTGATTTATTTATGTATATATATATATGTATGTATGTATGTAATGTATGTATGTAATGTAATGTAATGAAATTTATTTATTGTAATGTATGTATGTATGTATGCATGCATGTATGTATGTATGTATGTATGTATAAATGCATGTATATACATGTAAATGTATGCATATATATATGTATGGATATATATATAATTATATATATATATATGTATACTATAAATGTATATATATATGTATGTATGTATGTATATATATACATACATATTTATATGTATACATATATATATGTATATATATATTTGTATATATATATATGTATATATATATATACATATGTATATATATATACACATGCATACACATGTATATAAATATATAAATACATACACGTATATCGAACAACAATTATAGATGTTTGACCGTGAGGGCCCTTCACCTGGTTGGCGGTTTTAAGCATATGTGTATGTACAAATGGGACCTATATATGTTATATATATATATATCTATACACACACACATACACGTATGTACCAATTGAAGAAATGTAAGACCTCTATTCCTTTTTCAAACATGCAGGGGGTCCGTCGCACAGATGGCACGGGCCAACGAAGACTCCCCTACTCAGTCGTGAAAACGTACCTGCTTTTCCACAGTGGGACCTGGCCAACCTGAGACCTTGCGGATCTATTTACATGGATTTTCAGGTCATACTGTCCTCTGATGTCCTATGGTATTTTTCACGATTGTCGCATTCTGAACATGCTCATGCAGCACAAAGGTTGTGGATTTGGGTACTCACTATATCTGTGGACTACGTCTGTGGACGACCTTTCGATTACTGAAGAATCTTTTATTCCTTCTGTTGTGGCACTCAGTTTGGGTATGCCAAGCCTTCATCAAGATTGCCGTTTTATTTGGAGTTCGAGACATGGACGGATGATCCTTTCTATTCTATTGAAATCTGATCAAGTGATACCGTACCATGACCATCATATTCCACAAACATCTCGCTGTTATTCCATGAAATTGCAAGCAATATATCGCACTAGGACTTCGTTTCTGTTCAAGTGAGTGTGTGGGCGTGCATTTCCATCCCAACAAATTGGACGTTGATAGCCAATAACCAATAACATTTTTTTCTTTTATAGTTTGAAACAACAACGGGACATATTCCACATGTACATATATGCAGAGCTGTTGTTTTTCTTACACATGCACCATATGTGATTTGATACCCGAAGAGGGTCTGAAAATCAGAAACTGTTTTTTTCGAGGTGTCTTCCAGACCCACTACTCCCCCGGCAGGTGCTGCTTGGGGTTGCAAGTGTGAAACTTGTGACCTTTGGATTATTACAATTGGTTATTTAATAGGGATTCCATGAAAACTTTGGGATGTAGGTGGATATCGGTGGATATAGGAGGATATAGCTGATAAATGATGGTTGATTGATGATGAGTTACGGGGTTATTTGAAGCTACCCTTATTGGAGATTATCATCAGGAGCTGGGACTCCCATCCCCTTGATGATCTAACTCTTTTTTAACATGGGGAATTCCAATGCCGGGCTTCGTTTACCCAAGAGTAAATCTGATTGTTATGGCATGTTATGGCCAAATCCTTGCACTTGTGGACCAAATCCCGATCTCTGTGGGTCAAATCCAAGTTTTGAGAACGAAATCAGTGCGTCGCGAGGCGATGGGCGCTCGAAGCTCTCGAAAGCTGTGCCCACGCTCTCTTTGACATCGAAGCTGAGCTGAATCGATGGTTGGGATTGGGCTAACTATCCCAAAATGTTCAAAGTTCAGTTTAGTGAATACTATATATATATATATTTATCCAGGTGAAATATGATAACATGACAAATTGCATGGCAAAAATACAGCAAAGTGCTGAGACAAACAATGATAAACAAGCAACATATTGGGGTTCCAAAGTTTGAAAGACAGGCATTTGGTGTTGCCAACCTGGGCTGACCATGCTGGGCGCCATAGCTGGATGCTTTCAACCCATAAGCCCCGGGAGAACTGGCAGATCGGCCCTGATTTCCCCTGGGTGATTCGACCTGGCCCACATCCTGACTCCAATACATCTGGAAAGTGGTGGCAGGCAGTTTGGCAGTTCGGGTGTGTCTAGATAAAGTGGTGGCAGGTTTGGGTGCCATGCAAAATCCCCACCACAAAGGTGATTCCCCTATTGAACATGTTTTTAAACACCTTGTTCTCCGTTGAAGGGGGTGAAATGGCCTGATGATGAAAACTCTAATGTTCCACATTTCTGACCCTCGAGAGTTGTGAGAGGCTTAAATCCAACATCCATGTCATGGGGGCTGTTGCGGCACGCTGTTCTGGCAAGGAGTTTGGAGGTACCGGATGGCAGCAGTTGGGGCCTTCAGCAGCGACCATGATTTGCTGATCACTTTTGATCAGGGGTCAATGCCATGGTGGCAGGTTTGAGTTTCTGAAGTCTCAGGAATCCCACCTGGGACGATCCGTTTTCATGTTTTCATGTTTTTTTGGGGATGGGTTTATCCCAGCAGCTGGATAGTGAGGATAGCAGTTTGGCAATGATCAACATCCAAGCGTGGCCTCGATGAGGTGCAGCTCTTTCCCCATCCTTTGGAAGTCCAGGAGAGTTCATGCTGGGAGTCGTCAGATTTCCAGGGCTCCATGAATCGCAGAATGGCGTGGAAATTTCCAATTTTTTCCGGGTGGTTGTACGGCTAAGGCTCAAAACGATCGGTTCCTTGCAAGTGGACGGTCTGATGCACAACACAAACTTTCTGGGCCTGGTACGTGCCTGTAGGGGCTTCCCAATCTACATCAATCTACATGTTCCATGGAAAATCCCCGTGGACGATGGGATTGGTTCCCCAAAAATGATGGTAACAACCATGGTTTTCCTGTGGTTAAAAGAATGTCACAAACCATCCCCCAGTCATCACCATTTTTATAGGTGCTATAAACCATTCCCAAATGGGTAGTTCATTATTGTTTTAACCACATTAGATTGTCTCTCTTAAATCAATCCATGGATGAAACCAGCGAGATGATGCCAAAGTCGGCCAGGACTGGGCCAGGACAGACTGCGAGAAGTTGCTGACGTCCAGAGCTGAATCCCAGAGATTCTTAAGCGGTTCTGTGAGAACTGGATGTAGGTATGGCCTATCAACAGATCATTTTTTTAAAAAACTTTTATATAAACCTTCAATCATCCCTGGGGGTTTCCACCAACCTTTCCCTGGTGGCTTGAGGTGCACAGCCCCGGCGCGACGGCGTCGAGGAATCCCTTTGAGGGGCTGAACCCCTTTGAGGGCAGCGAAGGCAGCAATCCCTTCAGTGACAGCAGCGCAGATGCCGCAGATGGCGCCGATGCTGGTGCCGGTGCCGGCGATCGTGGGTCTGTGGAGAAGCTCAACCCGTTTAGTTCCGGCTCGGTGAAAGCTTTGGAGGTTGGAGGCGGGGAAACAGTTAAGGGATGGTGTTCTGTGTTTGGAGAATGGAAGTTGATGGATTGTGATGTCTTTGTTTTCCAAGGTCGGCATGGACAGTGAGTTGAAATATATAGATAACATCTTGATTGCTATAGTTGCAAGGTTTTGCACCCAGCTTCGCAGGAACTTTGTGTTCATTGATATTATATATATATCCACCCTCTCGGAGTATGTAGGTTCTAGTTGCATCCGGTTGCATCTGGCCGCCTGATCATTGATATGCCACCATGGCTACCCCTTGCAAATGCATCATAGAAGCCTCAAGAAATGGATCTAGTCCGCGGAGATGAACAAAAGATCTGCGTGAGGTGCCTTTTTTGAACAGCACCGGAGCAGTGTCCAGAACCACTGTTGGTTGGTATTTTTTTGGAATATTCGGATATTTTAGGAAATTATGGTGACCATCATCCATGATGGGAATGCCGTTTTGAACCAAGCAGGGATGATCATTTTGGGTTTGAACACTGCCCGGTAGAGGCAGCAACCCCTTTTTGGATGCAGAATCGGAGCTTGGAGGCCGGAAATGTTGGGAAGTGGAGGCAACTGGAGATTGACATGATATAGAAATATATAAAATATGGTCATCATCTTGGATTCTTGATGATTCTCGTATCTAAGGTGGGAGACAATTTTTTTTGGCTTCTGAATGGGCATTTCCCCGGAACTCCCAGTTTCGGAGTTTGGCATCCGTGCAGCTAGATTGTGCCTTGCATGGGCATTTGGCCACTGAAGCCTTGTCGAACCTGGACTAATGGTGCACCCTGGTGTCCCAAACCTGGTCACCGGTGTCACCCACTGCAGCTGTGGATCAAAGGGTGCTCCGGTCCCATGGCGAAGCGCGAGTTGATGTATTTGGGCCTGGGCGCCAGTCTGATGGCGTCCCTTCTGCTGATCACAGGATCACTTGGATCGGTCAAGCAGAAAGGTGGCCCAGCTCTGTCAGTCTTTTTCCCCACCTGCCAGGTGAGGGTTGTTAGATTTTATGTCAGTTGCCTCCTCCTGCCTCCTGCCTCGTCCTCCTCCTCCTCCTCTCCTCCTCTCCTCCTCGTCCTCCTCGTCCTCCTTGTCATCCTTGTCGTCCTTGTCGTCCTCGTCGTCCTCGTCGTCCTCGTCGTCCTCGTCCAACTGCGACCCGCGATCCACAGTGTTCTCTGCCGGACCTCAACCACGACCAGCCACGCCCAGTGTTCCCTGCCGGACCTCAACCACGACCATCCACGCCCAGTGTTCCCTGCCGGACCTCAACCACGACCATCCACGCCCAGTGTTCCCTGCCGGACCTCAACCACGACCATCCACGCCCAGTGTTCCCTGCCGGACCTCAACCACGACCATCCACGCCCAGTGTTCCCTGCCGGACCTCAACCGCGAGTATCCACGCCAAAAGATATGCCACATAGAGTGCCAGAAGATATGCCAGATAGAATGTTAGAAGATATGCCAGATAGAATGCCAGATAGAATGCCAGATAGAATGTCAGCTAGAATGCCAGAAGATATGCCAGATAAAGTGCCAGAATGTTTGCCAGATAGAATGCCAGCAGATTTGCCAGATAATATGCCAGAAGATATGCTAGATAGAATGCCAGATGGAATGCAGAAGATTTGCCAGAAGATATGCCAGATAGAATGCCAGATGCCAGAAGATATGCCAGAACATATGCCAGAAGATATGCCAGAAGATATGCCAGAACATCTGCCAGAAGATATGCCAGAACATCTGCCAGAAGATATGCCAGGTAGAATGCCAGAAGATATGCCAGATAGAATGCCAGAAAATATGTCAGATAGAATGCCAGAAGATTTGCCAGTAACAAAATGTATAAATGTCATGGTGGGTATCACACGAAGTAAAGTAATTTTTTTCTTAGGAGTTTTTTTGGGTGTAAAACCAATCGGACTTGGTTGGGAATCAGGTTGGAGGTATGTGGAGGTATTTGGGTTCATGAACCACAAATTTTCGTGTCACAGTAGTGCTACTCAAAAGGAAGAGATTGGAACCAGAGGTGCAGTACTCTCATGAGAGCAATCAGGCTATGAGGGTGCATGGAGCCTGACAATCCAGCTTCGCTTCAAAGATGTTGCTACACGTGATGAGTTTCTGAAATTCTGGGGAGTCTTGGCACGCTATGTGCGTGACTATGAGCCCTTTTGCTTGCTTTTCGAAGCTATCCAAAGTGATAAAGACCCGCTCCTGTTGATCGTGGATGAGAGATACACCGACAAAGATGTCTACGGTAAGCACAGAAGCAGTGATGCTTTCAACGTCTTTCGGCCCCAAATGCAGAAGCTTCAAGATGCAGGTAGACTTCAGGTTCTCGGCGAAAGTGGCGTTGGCATTTCGCTTTCTTCCATTTAGATCCATTTAGAACATTTAGAGCCTTCCAGAGGTGTGCAAAGTCTCACCTGCACCTGCACGTGTGGTGCTAAAAACCTGGATTTCGCCAACACTTGTCCGGTGATCTGGAAAAAGAACTTCAGCACCCCCCCTGCCGTGGTGATTTCACATACCCCGCAATCCCACATCACTTGGAACAACAGAGCCCTCTGACTCAAATTACTCGAGAGAAGGGACAAATGATGCGATACTGCGATAATCCGCGATTTTTTTGTTCCCAGCATACTCCAAAGTTCAAACCCAAGTGGAGGCCTGTGGTAAGCTTGCGATTTTTAAGAAGCAATGGAAGTTGATCAAGGAACCACCAGGCACCCTTGGACACATGGATTCCAACGCTCGCAGCCTTAAGATCCAAGTACTCACGCCTTCCCCACGTCCTACGTCTCTATTCACGCCCATGGCGAAGGGCCTGAGGTGTTTGATCCTCCTTGCATCGTTGCTGGTTGTTGATGGACTGGCAACTGGAAAGCTTGGGAAAGAGCTGAAGAAAGAAAAAGGTGGCACATGAGTTCTTTCTTTTCGGTTGTTTTCCCCATCCTTTTCTTAGCCTCTTAGCGTTGGTTCAAACTATAAAAGGTGAATGATTTGGAGGCATTTGGGAGATTAGGATGATGGGTGATCGGATTGAAGAAACATTTTTTTGAAAGCAAGGCATGTTGTACTGTAAAAGTCTTCTGGGTGCGTCCAGGCTATGAGGGTGCATGGAGCCTGACAATCCAGCTTCGCTTCAAAGATGTTGCGACACGTGATGAGTTTCTGAAATCCTGGGGAGTCTTGGCACGCTATGTGCGTGACTATGAGCCCTTTTGCTTGCTTTTCGAAGCTATCCAAAGTGATAAAGACCCGCTCCTGTTGATCGTGGATGAGAGATACACCGACAAAGATGTCTACGGTAAGCACAGGAGCAGTGATGCTTTCAACGTCTTTCGGCCCCAAATGCAGAAGCTTCAAGATGCAGGTAGACTTCAGGTTCTCGGCGAAAGTGGCGTTGGCATTTCGCTAAAGAACATTTAGAGCCTTCCAGAGGTGTGCAAAGTCTCACCTACAGCTCTTGTCCCGCGTGGTAAAAGAACTGCAGCATCCCCAGCTGTGAGGCGTCACGGGCACTGCCACTTGGAAATCATGCAGCATTGAAAGAATTCGTTTGTGATCGCTTTAAAGTACCTACCTATGATTTTCAATCCATCAAGCTAGGTCCTGTCGAGGTGATAAACTCCGTGGGTATACAAAGATTACACCCCCAAAATGTTCGCAATCTAATGCGGTAACAACGCACAAAAAGATAAAACCAGCCCGCAATATCTGCATTTTTTTTCATGGCAGGTGATGCCAGTCCCGAGGAGATGCACGAGATGCAGGTCTGCCATGGAAATTTCGGGGGGCACCATGCTCCAAAAAGGGAGGATTTAAGCAAACTCAGAGTCTAAAAAATCGTGGTGTAAGATGGTGTAAGATGGTGTAAGTTTGTAAATTGTTTTTCCGGACTTCTGCTTGATCTTATTTTGGGGTTGCTCTAAGGTACGATATGAATGTCATGAACATTTTTCTGATGCTGTCCATGACCAATTTAACATAGCTATGGACTATAGTCCATAAATGGTCGATTTATTGATACCTCTGGATCCCTCTGGTCCAAAAAAACCCGGTGATTTTCGATCCGAGGCCCGAGAGGAGATGGTGCCCGATGGAGATCGAATGGACGTGACAGAGAGCCCCGCGAGTTTGACCGAGGTATGGCCAAAAATGGTTGGGTATTGGCTTTCGGATACCCGTTTTTTTTTGAAATGATGTTTTACTGTTTTTGTTGATTATATATTAAATCTTGTATGATATAGTCTTTTTGACATCGGGAAAATGAGGTTTCAAGACTGCTTGATTTCTGAGGCACTGTATTTTGAGCCAAACAATATCAAGTTAGGATTGCTGGGAACCGCTTTTTGGTGAATGGCAGGTGAAGGAGGATTTCCAACAGAACAAACATGTGGAAAACTGGAGGGACTTACCTGGATTTAAGCGCCTAGACATGCAGTTTCATGAGGAAAACCTTTTTGAATATTAGGTTCATGGCTTGTTTTCTAGCGCCTCAAGGCATTCATGACCACACTGACAACCCGATTGCACATGGCACATGGGGTATCAGAATCTTAATATTAATATGTGGACGAAGAATAGTGACCTCACCTCATCACAAGGTCACGCCGTCACATTGATGGTGAGTTAGTAATAGAAACAACACCAAAACCGCCTTATTTTGGATTGGCTGAATTATTCACACAGTAATTCAGCCAGATCTTTCCCTTATGTAAACAGATCTGCAACAAAGTGTGTATGTCCCTCAATAGAGTGAACAACATGATATCTTTTCTTAATCCAGCAGGATGTACTGTATCCCTCCCAGAATTCAAGGACATTTTATGGGTGAATTCACCATCGTTTCCGTTTTTTTTGGTCTCCCTTAGATCAATCCATTGGTCATCCTCAGTATGGAAAGACCGCCCAAAATCATCCCACGTTATCAATTATACCACCATATATATAATCTCCATATAATCCTGGGCCCACATATGATCACAACTCATATGTGCCATGGTTTATGGATTAAAATATTATACAGCAAGATTGGGGGATGGGAATAGACAATCCGTTTTCATAGATTTTGATCACCTATTGTGGTTGGATTCTCAGTATATGGGATAGATGACCAAAAACCTTATACCATGTTTTGACTCTAGCACCTAATATATACCGAGCACAACGGAAACAGGCCCAATTCGTTTTAAGTGCACATTTAATACTATACGTATATCATTATCATATTATAGCACAATTATATCACCAATTTCCAACATACTATATTGTTGGTTTTCGAGATCCCAGGATACCCCATGATATCACCATTTTTGTTGTTTAAATCATCATTAAATCACCAGTCAATAGCCATTTTGATGGTTTATTTCCATCATATTCCCATTGTTGTTGGTTTAAATCCCACATCAACACACACACACACATATATATATAGTAATTGATATACGTATATATAATAATAGTAATAATAATAGTAACAATAATAACGATAATATACATACACACACACATATATATATATAGTAATCAAGTGTATATAATTATATATATATATATCCCAAGCATATACCATGTTTTGACCATGACTCATATGGTCCGCAGGTTGGAGTCCCGCGGCCCGCCTTGATCAAGAAACCCACGTGTGGCTCGGATTTCCATGGAGATTTCCATGGGGTTATCTTGTGGTAATTCACAGTTTGCAAGCAGATACTGTATACCATGGCCCATTGAATTCGATGACACGATGATTTATCCCTTAACACATAAATGGATATAAATGGTGATTTTCCAGTTCGCAAACTGTAACAAATTGCCAGAGGCCAGGGGCCTTTTTTACACTCCAAAAATCATTGGATTCAACAAAGTATCAAGACTACATCAGTGCCCATCAAGGAGGAGCTATCCCAATCGCATCCTTCTGGGGATGACATCCTTCAGCCGACGAATTTTGCTGAGTCGTGGATGCCATTTCCAAGACGTCGGAAGTTTCCGCCAGCCAAAGCAGCACCCCTCGCGTCACATCTGTGACACCAGGCGGGGTGGAAACTGGAGGTTTCATGGTTTGCAGTACTTAGTAATTAGTACACTCCCTGCAGTGGGAGATCCTGCATGCAGGCCAACCTACTATTTGCGCTTTGCTTTTTTTTTACACACATTTATGGTGATTTTGAGGATGGTTTATGGCATTGGGTTTACCAGATTATGGATGTTTCATGATGATGATGATGATGACGACGACGACGACGACGGCGACGACGGCGACGACGACGACGAGGAGGAGGATGATGATGATGATGATGCTGATGATGATGATGACGACGATGACGATGACGATCCTGCCACATGACTGACTCGTTGCAAGGTGCTGCTTCCAGTATGCAGGCGCAGAGAGCATTCTTTGGTTGATGGAATGTTGGCTGATTGGCTGTTTCGGACGGACTCTCTCTCTCTCTCCTCTCTCTCTCTCTCTCTACTCTGTAAGTATGTACATATGTATACATACATATGTATGTATATATACACATAATAGAAAAGTATGAATTCCAACGATAGTGGTAAGAATGATGATAGTGATAGTAATTATCTATATTCACACATAGTTATTACACATGTATGTAGAGTTAAAGAGAGTCGGATGTAGCATCCTTATGATTCTTATATATAATACATATAATTCATGTATGTTCTTATCAGTTGTGTTTGTGAACCCCGCATTGGTTTCACTCCACATTTCGGCAACGTGGCAAGTCGACCCTTGGCATCTCAATAATAACTGGCATACCAACGAAAGAGCTAAAGACAAGTTCTGTCCGTTCGAATCTAGTTTCAGATTTGCGGCAAACACAGAACTGGTGTTTTTTGATATTGGTGTTGGAGACGATACCGCAATTTTCATGATCTTTGTGGAAGATTGCATTTGGAGATATCAAGAATTGTGCAAATACTGACATCTTTTAGTTTGACCAAGTCCAAAGGAACACTCACAAAGGTGGACGTTCCAGCATGCCCGCGCAAGAAACGTAACCCTACATCTTGCAACATAAAGCACACACCCTGCGGCTGAGTAGGCTGATATGCTATTTTACTGGGCCAGATCAGATCAGCCATTAGCGATGCCATTCGCAAGTCTATTTCCCAAATGCGGGAAAAAATGGTAAAACAGGGAAACTGGGGAGTGAGGGTTCAAGGTTCAGGTGGGAGGCTGTTATGTTTTTGTTCAATGTTGTAAATCTAAATGTTTGACTATTTCTTTTTGATACTTTTGCTGGGAGGGTAAATGTTTTGTTGCCGCTGTTCGTTTTATGTTAGGTCAGTTGATGAGGTCAATAGTTGTGGTTGTTAGGATCTGGGTTTGACATTATTGACGACAAGGGTTTCAGTCCCGTCGTCCGCCTTGCGCTTCCGGTGCTTCCTGCTGTTCCACGTGTACCTTGTCGGGAGGCCCAGTTTCAGAGAGCATGTCCGTGCAAAGCAAGGTGAAGCGCAAGAGCGCATCTGTTTGCATTTCACTTTTCCTCCGGAAGCGTATCTGGCTGAAGCCCGCGCAGTTCGCCCTTGCGGCATGATTCCCCAAATTCTCCATGGCTCGTGACTGCCGCTCCGTGGCCGTTTTCGTTGTGCTGTGGTGGAACTCACTTGAGTGCTTTGGCACTTTGCCAGGCAACACGCGTCCAACGAAGACGGCTCGTCCTACGCTTCCGGACAGCACATTGTTGCTGCTTCAAACCATAAACGAGATTGACGATGCTGAGAAGAGGATGAAAGCAATCCACATACTCCTCGAGAAGGTGGAGGAGGAGAAGGAGAAGGAGAAGGAGAAGGAGATAGATGTCCTCAACCTCAAGGTGGAGAAGGAGAAGGTGGAGAAGGAGAAGGATGTCCTCAAGGTGGAGAAGGAGAAGGCTGTCTTCCAAGAGAGGCTGATAAAGTTAGAAGAAGACCTTCTGCAAGCAAAGGGGCTCATGACTGCACGTGGCGTCTTTGAACGAGTGGTGCAACTTGCATTCAATGAGCAGAAAACGGTGGGAAAGGTAAAGGGGAAATGCATTATCGCAAACATCTTGCCAACCATAAGTGATAATCCACAGGCAGGACGCTTTTCGAAACTACACGTCAGTTCTGCAAAAAGATGCGACAGCACCCAGAGCGTCAAAGATGCATTGCAAAGTGTTTGGACTCAACTCTCACAGCAAGTTCACGACTTTCTGTGGAGCGGAGATGTCAAGATAGGTTCAGACCTGCCTGAGGTCACCAGATGCATAGCGGAGGAGCTGTGCAAAGGCATGGGGTTAGAAGTGCTGCCATAGGGAGAAAGCGTCTCTACGGACAAGCGTCCGAGCGACGGGGAAAAGAACGAGCCAGACCGTAGGTGTCTTTGATAGCTTTACTGCTCATTGGGGAGAAGGAGATTGGGTGAGTCCGCCCTCATACCTCAACTCAATGAGAGCCCCTTCAAATCATTATGAATGACCAGAAACTCATGAGGTATGAGCCCAGCCTCATACTCATACGACGGCGACCTCATCCCGACATGAGGGTTCACTCATCAAAATGCTTTCCTCATCTCAGATGACCGTTCCCTTATTCCTGATGAGGGTTCATTGTTCCATTTCGTCCCACTCCGAGGTTGAAACGTCATCCTAGTGGAAGTCTTTGAGAAGGTTCAAAGAGAGTCCGTGAGGATTTTTGGTAAATACTTCAACCATGTTCATGGGAGGAGTGACAATTCTAAGAGGTGGGAATTTCGTATCCCACAGGCGTAGATGCACAAACATTTGTATATATTTGACGCACGCACACACACACACACACCCTGACTTACGCGTATTGATGATGATTCATGTTCATAAGACATTTACCCAATCATAAAAAAATTCACCGCCGCCTTTTTTGGGGTTGTTGACGACGACAATGCCATAGGATGAGGACTTCTGACGACGACGACTGTGTCGAGAACAATTCCTTCGACAAATCGTGCAGAAACCATTCGTTGAGCACCCCATCACATTTTTCACCAAAATATGACGATGCCAAACTCCTCAATTTCAACGCAAAACCCCAAAAACACTTAAAGAAATGACGTCTAAAATAACTAAGAATTGAATATGCCCTGCTATATGTATATTAACGGTATGAAGCAAGAAATGGACGAAGACCTGTTTGACCAAATGGCGGAAGCACTACACCAATGCAGCAACCCCCACAATGACCCACCAACCGCAACATCCACAAGATGGAAAACAGACGGAACTTACGACAAGAGACCATTAGACCCAGATTATTTTTCAAAATACTATCAAAGGAAATTATCAACTCCCTTCACCTGCCTCGACTGCGGACGAACAATCACAAGCAAATCCAACCTTTCAAAACATCGTCAAACCAACAGATGCAGAAAGTTTCAAAGAAACTTTTACTAATGTTGCAGTTGTCCTTTCCTCACTAAAACCCCGACCTGCAACCTGTGCCCAAAAACCTACTTAAAGACTTGCCACCTTATATAGTAAGGGAAATAAATGGCAGAGGATACAAGGTTGAACAATGGAAACATTGATGAACCACAACACATTCAACAATCACATCAACCTCAACATCCTCAATCCCAAAATTCATCACCAAACCTACTTAAAGAAACAGAAGATTATAATAATATAGATTATGCTATAATGGACGCTTCACAGCAGATTGTTTTAGATTACCTTTTGTCATCCGAAAAGGGTGAGATATTGAAACGGAATGGGGAAGAAATCAAGAAACTCAAAATAGGTGATAAGACCTACAACTTTGAAAGAAACAAACCCATCACGAACAGATTGAAAACCAAATTCAACAAAATTAGGCAGACTATGGACTACAAAAGATACGAATTGAAGGAAAAACGAGGTATTAGATGGATAAACCTTGACAAGAACAAAGCACTCACAGGCATACAAAAGAGATACAAAGCAACCATCACCGACGAACAATCTACCTTCAAGAACTATACATCATCTTATGCCATCAGCGACATTAGAGTTAAAGGCGTCAAGGCAATATCTTGGAGATAAAAGCCCAATCTGTCATTTTCTATGACTAAAACAGATAGTGGATAATTAATCAAATTACAATGAATAATTTATTAATTATTTTGATTTCAATTTTGGATAGATGATTGACTTGTAAAGTTCCTTCGCTTCCTTTAGATGTTGTTTCTTTTCCTCTCCTTTGCTTGATTTCCACTGACCATAGACTTGCTGAAACTTTTGATAGTCTCCTGTGTCTATGCTTTTGCTGTTGTTCATCTCTTCAAACTTCTCTCTTATCACTTGTATTCCTACCTTGCTTGGTGATATTGCCTTGTTCATTGTTGGTTTCCTGACTGGTGCTTTTGATGAAGATGACGCCCCTGTTTCTTCCTGTGCTGTTTCTGCTTCATCTACATTGGGTGTCTTGTTGTCTTTGGGGATGTTGATTCATTGTTGCTCCTAATGCTTGTGGTTGGGGTTGCTTTCATCTTACTCTTCTTGCTTTGGGCGGTTTGGTGGTTGTGGATGGGTCTTCCTGAAATTCTCTCTTCTCCTGCGTTGGCGGTTTTGGTTTCTGTCTCTTTGCTTTGGACTGTCTCACGCTTAAGGGTTTCCTCTTTTCTGCTGTTGGTATTGCCGAAGTGTCCATTGCTTCTGCGGTGTCGGGCACTACATCTACGTTCATTTTTGATTTTTCCTCCTTTAACTTCTTTTGGTGATTTACCTTTTTGACTTGTTTGTTGATTAGTTTTTGTGTTGGTTTTATCTTGGACGGTTTCTCTTCCTCGTCTTCGTCGGGTATGATGGCGTCTGTCAGTTTTGATGCTATTAGTCCTCCTATTGACCCTCCCTTTGCTGTTCCTCCTGCTGTGGCGACAGCTTTGATGACTGGTTTGGATGATTTAAGGAATTTCTTTAAGATGCTTCTACTGCTTGAAGGCGGTTCTTCGTCCTCTTGTATCCCTGCCGATGCTGTTGCTCCGACGGCGTCGTATGCCCCTTTGTTTGCCATATAGTGGTCTTGTGAATGACTTAAATTTGCCTGTTCTGCTACTCTCCTTTCGTTCTCTTCCCTCAACTCTGCCCCTCTGTCAAAGGACATCTCAAAGTCGCTGATGGCGTCGTCCCTCAAGTCGGTCATATCTTCAAAGTCAAGGTTGGGTGTTTCTTCTTCCTTCCTTGCGGTCGCTTCCTCTGCCATCTTTTTGAAGTTCATTTGTTGTAAGTCTGCTGGGTGGATGTTGTTTGTGTTCAGTGCTTGACCCTGCGGACTTTCGTGAAAATACCAAGCGTTCCTATCAAAGATTTTTCTGATGTCATTGGTTTTGAACTTTTCCCTGTCTATTTCCTTGATGAGTTCTGCGTAAGTAGGTATTCGTGTCAATCCCTGTTTTGCGTTGATTACTTCTGCTGTCATTGCTATATATTAATACTTTAGATTTTTATATTAATCTTGTGTATCGCCTCTCAACCACTGTTTGTATTCATCAATTCTCTGTTTCATATTCTGGACGTTCGCCCCGTAATCTTCCAATCTGTGATTTTTCCTCACCTCCCTCAACCTTGTCATTTCGTTCTGTAGCATCTCATTCTCTTCCTTCATCCTCTGCTTTACTTGTAAGACCTTGTAATCGTGCTCGGTGTTGTGATATTCAAGAAGGCGCTTTAGGTAAAGATGATGGTTGTGAGTTGGCATCCTTGCCGTGTTGCTGTCGTTGTGGTAGTAGTGGTCATAACTACTATACACTTTTTTTCCTTCTGTCTGGCATTTCGGGCGTTCCGCTCCTGTAGTTGGCACTTTTGTTTGAATGGACGGTTTGTCTTCTGTTGATGTCCTTGCGGACGTTTTCGTAGATGTTTGTTTTGTTGAGTTTCGTTTTCTATTCCTTGATGTTCATTTTTATATAAAATACTGTATAAATTTTTTGATGCTAAAGATTTCAATTTCTCTCTCGTCGCTTTGTTCTTTTCCTCTTTGGCTTTGTTGTAGGTGTCTCTGGCGGACATCGCGCTTTGTAGTTCTTCCTTTATTTGTTTTACAAGGTCGCTTTTGAATGCTTCTGGGTCAAAAGGCGGTTTCGCCCTGGACGGTCTTACCCTTTTGGGTTTTGGGACTACCGTTGCTGGTTGTGGTTTCTCTTCAACTGATGGTTCAATTATTTCTTCTGGTTTCTCCTCTTCCTTCGGTGCTTCTTCCTGTGTTGGCTCTGGTATTGTTTCTTCCTTGGGTTCTTCATTATCAATCTCTTTTACGACTACCTCTGTCATATATTAATTTTATAGATATTTTTTTATACTTTCAAAATCTCGTGCCTCAAATACGGTTTGTTCAATCCTTCCAGTTTGAAGGTTCTGTTTCCGACGTCGTCGTATTCTATCTTGACGATTTTGTAGGATTGATTGCTCCACTTTGAGTTATACTCCTTCCTCTCGGTGTAGTTGTCTTTTTTCTTCTCAAAGACCTTCACCATATCATTCACTTTGACCTCTGGATATTTGCGAGTGTTCTTTTCCCTTCTTGTCAAATTCACCCTGACGTCCATATGGTTCTTGTCGTCGTGGGCATCCTTGGGTTTCATTTTGGTGGATGAATGGACGGTGTCGTTGTATTTATCCAATGCTTTGGACAACATCACAGTCCAACTACCGCGATTAAACCTAACTCTATCGTGTATCATATTTTTCATTGTCCTTATGAAACGCTCCACAACATTAGCGTGTGTTAGGGTGACGACGTGAGTGATGCCTTCTTTCCCAAAAAAGTCTTTAACCCCCGCTTGGAAGGCACGGTCATTATCACTATAAACGGACATCGGAAAACCCATTTTGTTGAAACTCTCTTTCATCGCCGATAATGTAATTGGTCCGGATTTTTCTTTCATAGGGACGACGTTTGCCAACTTGCTGAGGATGTCAATGACAACCAACCCGTATCTCGGTTCGTCGTTCTTGATTGGAATTTTCGTCTCTGGTTCTTTGGTAAGGGGTTTCATATCCATTATGTCAATCTGATATTCAAACCTTGCGAAAGGTGCGGCGTAGGAGTTTGAACCCCTGTATTTTCTAATCTGTTTGTTGGGCTGTTTCCTCATAAAGTTTTCCACATCCACCCTGTTGATGGACTGGTCTTGTTCCTTTGCTTTCTTAAGTGTCTCATTGATTGAACCGAAACCCGTTTCAAGATTGTAATAGACATTGCTTATGATGTCATCTCTTGATAGTTTCCTTGCCATATATTATAATATTATATTTTTAAAATTATCAGCAATAAAACATATACTATACTTAAAAAAATGCCTATATATAGTAAGAATAAGTAAGATGAATAAATTTGACTGTGGATGTCGTATTATGAGCGAGTGTATCACCTTAAACAATGGCGATTACAAAAAACCTAGTTGGAATTATTTGTTAAAAACCTTCGTGAATGTTTGTGGAAAGTGTGGCAAGAAACAAATGAAATTCCAACAAACGGAAAACAAACTTCTGGAAATGGAAAAGCAACGAATGGAAATGTTTATGGACTTTGAAGATGAAGACGGAGAAGAGTATGATGAAGAATATAAAGAACAATTTAGAAAAATGACAGACGAAGAGATTGAACGACACATCGGTCTTGAAAAAGTTAGAAATGTAATGGAAGGATTTGACAGAGAACACGGTATAGACAAAATAAGACGGATGATACAAGAAGTAAGAAATGAAGACAAGAAAGAAGAACCTGAAGATGAAGAATATGAAAGTGATAGTAGTGAAACACAACGAATGAAACGATTACAGTGGATACAGGACAACAGAAAACCCAAAAACTGAAAGAGACCCCAAAAACTACTTAAAGAAAAAATGACTATATATAGTAAGAGGATGCTATTTACTTATAAAAACTGCGGATGTTGTAAGAAAGAAATGACTGACCCAAAGGATTTATTGAACAATATTTTTCCCGCTGGAATTTGTGATGAGATATGTGATTACAACCTTTACTGTTCAAAATGTAAAAACTTAAACGATAAGGAGCGTAGATCCATAGATTTCAATTACCATTTTGACTATTTTAATGATAAAAAACTGACGAGAGTAGAAAAGACAATCTATTTCTTTAAAACAAGGATGGAGAAATCACCTATTTATTTATCCAACACGAACCGAACACACACTCGGCAAATGAAAAGAGAAGTTGATGTTTAATGGATACATTCAAACTCAAGCAAGAATTCAAACATGACAAACTGTTCTTAATGGCGATTAAGTCTTTTGTGAAAAAGGAGTGGAAAACTACCTATCACTTCCTTAAAAACTTTCACGACCTTACATATATGACATATTGTAAGAACAAACGGGAGTGGTGGTTTCCTCAAAACGATTGGACTTATACATTCAGAAATAGGGAGTTTAAGGTAAATGACATTTTGAAAATATTTTTGCATGAATATGTTGAAGAACTGTTCAACGGTTATGAGAAATATTTGAACATAGAAGAAATAAAAGAGTATCTACAAAAAGTGGTAAATACTTAAAGAAAAAATAACTATATATAATAAGAGAAAATGAGTAAAACAAAAATTCAGGTTATAGATAGAGATAATATCGGTATATATGCTGACTTTGGTAGTGAAAGCGAAGATGAACACGAATGTGATAGACAAGCAATAGAAAAAGAAGATGAAGAGATTAGAGACTTTGTAAAGTGTCATCCTATACCTTCACCAGATGATGAGGAAGGAGAATACTGGTGGTTTAAAGTAATTGATAGGCTGAAAAACGCCCAAGGAATAAATGGAATGATAGTTTTTTTCGCTTATGAGATTTGACATTATAAAAAGAATGTATGAAAACCTCACTAACAAAACAATTATCGTTGAATGTGGTAAGGAACTTAACCGTGATGGAAAATGAGATGCTATGGCAATAAATCAAACACTATTAGCATTAGCAATAGATGAACTAATTTTAAATGATACAGACAAACCTATCACAAGTCAAGTCAGGATAATTGAACACTGGTGGGATGGAATAGGAAAGTGGAAAGCATAAATGATTAATTCATAATATTTTAACAAAACATATTATGAAGTAATCCACCCTAAAAACCCCTTAAAGACATAACCCCTTAAACTTGTAGAGGTATAATGACTGACAAAAAGCAGTGTTCTAAATGTAAAGTCTTTCAACCATTAAACTATTACAGAGATGAATGTAAGCAGTGTAAAAACTGTTTAGAAGCAAAGCAACGATACAGAGAGAAAAACAGGGACAAATTAAGACAGTATGCCATACAGTATCATCAAAGAAAAAAGGAACAAACAACAGAGGAAAAGAACGACACTAATGAATTGAAGACTGAATGTCCCATGTGCGGAAGTATCATAAACAACCCGGCGGACCGGAAAGTGAGGTCGTGAAATACTTTTTTTTCAAAAAATCATCGTTTCGCCTAGGCGAAAACACAATTCAGCGATCACAAAAACTCTGAAATTCAGACGTCTGAATTTGGTGTTTTTTTAGATAAATGTGTATTTTGCTTAGGCGAAACGCAATTTCTGCTTCAAACAAGTTCAGGCATGCTCAGCTGTCCGCACCGTCATTTTTACATCTCTTGCAGTTTGGACACCGTGGCTTTCGCCAAGTTTTTGTACGTGTGGATGAATCTCCATTGCCACATCTTGCAATAAAGAATCTTCTGTCATCAGCGTAGCATCAAGAACTTCTTCAGCAAGTTCACACGAACGTTAACATGCCCCGCCCCACCCCACCCCACCCCATCATCAGCGTAGCATCAAGAACCTCAGCAAGTTCACACGAACGTTAACATGCCCCACCCCACCCCACCCCACCCCACCCCCCTCAGCGTAGCATCACCTCAGCAAGTTCACACGAACGTTAACATGCCCCACCCCACCCCACCCCCCCCATCATCACGTAGCATCAAGAACCTCAGCAAGTTCACACGAACGTTAACATGCCCCACCCCACCCCACCCCAACCCCATCATCAGCGTAGCATCAAGACGCAAGTTCACACGAACGTTAACATGCCCCACCCCACCCCACCCCACCCCACATCATCAGCGTAGCATCAAGAACCTCAGCAAGTTCACACGAACGTTAACATGCCCCACCCCACCCCATCGTCCAGCGTAGCATCAATAACCTCAGCAAGTTCACCGAACGTTAACATTCCACCCCCCCACCCCACCCCACCCCACCCCACCCCATCATCACGTAGCAATCAAGAACCATCAGCAAGTTCCCACGAACGTTAACATGCCCCGCCACCCCACCACCCCACCCCATCATCAGCGTAGCATCAAGAACCTCAGCAAGTTCACACGAACGTTAACATGCCCCACCCCACCCACCCCACCCCATCATCAGCGTAGCATCAAGAACCTCAGCAAGTTCACACGAACGTTAACATGCCCCACCCCACCCCACCCCACCCCACCCCATCATCAGCGTAGCATCAAGAACCTCAGCAAGTTCACACGAACGTTAACATGCCCCACCCCACCCCACCCCACCCCATCATCAGCGTAGCATCAAGAACCTCAGCAAGTTCACACGAACGTTAACATGCCCCACCCCACCCCACCCCACCCCATCATCAGCGTAGCATCAAGAACCTCAGCAAGTTCACACGAACGTTAACATGCCCCACCCCACCCCATCATCAGCGTAGCATCAAGAACCTCAGCAACGAAAAAGAAGCGTTTCGCGACCTCAGTTTTCGGTCCGTAGGCATAAACAAATATCAGGTCAAAAGGCACGAAGAAAGCATCAAGCATCAAACCAAACTGAAGGGAAAGGAAAAACCGAAAGTTGTGAGAAATTGAGATGATGAAACTGGAATGTTAGGGATATGAAATCTCAATCCAAACATAAACCCCCAACAGTCTAAACAATTATCCCCCTCATCTTAAACCAAACATTATCACAACAACCTCAACGAAACATTATGCCCCCGAACAAAAAGAAACAGTCAAACATTTAGATTTACAACATTGAACAAAAACATAACAGCCTCCCACCTGAACCTTGAACCCTCACTCCCCAGTTTCCCTGTTTTACCATTTTTTTTTGCGGGATAGTCACTGATTGTAAGTATGGTGGTGGTTACCCTCCTGTAGTGGAAAAACCCACCATTTGTAGATGATGTTCCGGGTTTCCCCATGGATTTTCCACATCTTTTTGTATGTTTACCCTAGGGTAACCGTTATCCAACAGCCCCGCTGGGTTTATGAAAAGATGGAGCCGGACCTCAGATGTGGAAACCACCGTCTCCACGTCAACTTCCAAGCGGTTTGGCTGGATGTCTGTGCAGCGTGCAGTGCGGCCTCTCAGGACTGATGCGAGATGGCAGCCACATCACCCCATGGAATGGTGGATATGTTTTTTGTAACCCCAGAAAAGATAGAATTGTGTAAAATCCTTCCGAAATAATCCGAAAAAGGTGATCAACTACACCCTTTCTGTGTTGGGGAGGGTTTACTCCTAATGGCCAACAATTTGTGTCAGATCAACCGCAACCACCAAGCAGATCTCGCAGGTCAAATGCAAGGGAGGAGCTGGATGAGGACGCGAAACAAATTGTGGATTCTCCGACTTTGGAGGTCGCCTTATTTTCGGTTTTGACTGGGAGAATGTTGTGAAAAAAGGTGGGAATTCATGGGAGCTTCACCTGGGAATTTCTGCGTTCTTTTTGTTTTTGCGTTGTCTGACCGTTATTTTATCCTTCAAAACAGGAGAGATGTCACCTGAAGAACTTTAGTTTGGCAATTTCACCTGAAACATGGAGAGGGAACTTGACCACAAACAACGGTATAGTGGGGATATTTCCTAGTCATATACCCCCTGGTAATGTGGTACACTTTGCGAAGTGGAACATCAGCATCTTCATATATACTTATTACTTATATATATATATATACATATGTATATACATATGATTATATGTATACAAAGGGGTAAGGCATCGCACTAAATGGGCCATGGCTTGCAAGAACCACATCATGGACTGTGTTTTTTCCGAACGACCAAGTTGGCCGGCAAATCCCAGGCTGCTTTAGCTGCAAGCGACGCAGCTCTCGGCAAAGGCATATGAGAAGAACATGTACAAATCATGGTGACATGCTATCCACATTTGTTTGGGGTTTGGTTTTTTTGGTGAAAAATGCCTTAAGTGAATTCTCGGAAGTGTTTTTTCTTGGATCCACTGGTTGGCCATCCTGCTGAGTTGGTCCACTGGTGATTTCTGCCCGACAGGCCGTCTGGGAAATGGCGACTACTCGAACTGGCAGTGGAGGGATCATGCGGTCTTCGGCTCAGTCTGGCGTCCTACGGAGACGATCAGAAATGAAGTTCCCTAAGGCCCTAAACTACGCTTAAATACCACGTCCAGTGATCCAGTACCCTCTGGTAATAGAGAAATTGACAATGGTGATTTTCCATATAGGCTATATTATGCTATATATATTGCAATTGCTAGACAGTCTCCAGTAGGAAGCTGCTCAAGTCATTGTGTCCTGGGGCATTCCACTATCGGAGGCCGAAGAAGGGCATCAACTTCTCCGCTACAGCAGTCACTCACTGTCGGACATTCTGACGGACGAGGAGATGTGACCTTCATTTGTAGTTGAAATTCTATCTACCCTCTGCCTCTCCGAATCAAACATGGCAATGAAACATCTTTCATTTATACTATGAATTTTCGATTAACACGCCCATTTATAGGGGATTTCCCATTGCCCATGTTTGACCACCGGAGGGTAAAATGAACCTCGTCAAACTAGCAACTTGGAGTCAGCCAAGATGGTCCCAACTGTCTTGTGCTCTTCTTTGGATGTGGGGAGCCTCAAGACTCCCTTGGCAGGACTGGGGCTATTTCTCTTATGAGTTGCTGCTCCTTTGCACCTGCCTCAGTTTAGCGTTCAGTGTGGGTTTGGACAGCACTGCAACTGGCCCGAAAACAGACGCCTCCGATAAAACCTGCCCCAGTAGAAGCTTCTGTTGGTTCTGTCCACCTGGCCCAGGTCGGCATCTGCTGCGCGAAGGGCCAGCCCTGGACCAGGTGGCCAATCTGATTCCTATCTGCCGCGTGCGCGCGGAATGCCCAGCGGTTAATGTGGTACACCCCACAGTAAATCATCCCCAAAATCACCACAAAACGGGTGCTATAAACCATTCCCAAATGGTAGGTTTATTGTTAGGTTTACCACATCAATCACTATGATAGTAAGATCCACTTGTTTCCTGTATGAGGAATTATGAGGGCCCTTAAACCAGCTCAACGAGCCTGAGGTGAAGCGATCCTGAGTTTCCGGAAAGAAGTAAAACAACTTTCCGAATCCATGTGAATCCTAGATACTCTGGATTAGACTGACAGATTCACCGATTTCTTCTTTCGTTTCAGATCTGACATCGATCTTCCAGCCATTGGCCCCCGAGGTTTAGGCATCAACAGTCGACTCCACCACCACATCGTTGAGCTCTCGCGCCCCACCAGTGAGGCGAAAAACCGGGGCTTTTGGGTTTTTCGATGTGAAAAACTCGGCCTTTGAGAAGCAGCTGCAACAAAAATGGCGAAAGAAACATATGGCAAAATGGCTCAAAACTTGAGGCTCTTTGATTCGGTTGTATCAAGTATCAATCATAGTAATCATAGTATTCAAGTTTGCATCTCGTAAAACAACCAATGGTAGCTAGTTTTCAAAATCTATGTAAAACATTGTAGAACCATTGCCATTGCCACATGACAGTTTCAGGACACCAAGGTCATCACCATGGATTTGGAGCTATTCCCGGGCGTTCTGCGGAACCAAAACGATGGAATCATGGAATCATGGAAACTTCCCTGCGCTTCCATGTCTGCAAAATATGAACCGATGAATAAAGCAATGAATATGAATCATATGAATATTGAAAGTTGAACGTGGCGAAATGGATTCAGAGGTACAATTTGTTTGGATTCTGAAGTGAACATTTCCGACCTATTCATATTGTGTCATAAGGTCTGATCAACTAAAGAATATATAGATTTGTTCTGCCTTTATAGATTGACAATCGACACTTATTTTCGATAATGAATGAACGGGGATGATTATGTGAATCTGTTAATACCTTATTCATCACAATTATCGGGATCTGCAAACGGACTTATGGTACGGCATTGATCAAGAAAACTGTTTAGCCCGTATTGATAGACACTAGTAGTGGACCTAGTAATAGTGACTAATCATTGCAGTTACCGTATTCATCAACAAGAAAACAAATAGCAACTACTGTACACAAGGAAAAAAACAACTACACAATAATGTCAATAATCCATTTACATGATGCTTCGGTAACTATCCCAGATTTCCTGGCCGGTTACTTTGATCTGGGTTGGTGAACTGGGATGAATTTTATCCCCATGACATCCCCGGCAATTCAGAATCCTAAGAATCACATTAGCACCTGTCCAGGCGCTGCCCCCAAACATTATGTTTGGTTGTTTATGTTCATCCCAAACAACACAACCCTTGTAAACCTCCATGAAATATCGATTCTGATTATGTTCGCAAATGTCGCGCACGATTATATTGATGGTTTTCAATCTCCATAGTTTGTTGATTTTATCCCATACTTGGGTGCAATTGCACCAATAATTAATTGGATTTGAAAAAACCCTAGTTGTAGGAGTTATATCCCAACTTATGGAGGTTATGGCCATAGTTATACTATGTTATACTAATACCCCCTGGCCTGCCTCGTGCAGTCCTTGAGCCCGCTGGATGTGCGCTACAGGGCAGCCCTGTTGCTACGGCCCGCGTGCGGAGGATATCCAAGACAAATGGGGATTTTCAGCATCCAAAACTGGAAATTCACCAGCAAAAATGGTGAATTTTCAGCATCAAACAGGGGGATTTAACAAATTGACGACAGAATTGGGATTTTTGCAGTTCCAAATTTTGAGACAACAGCGTTTCATGATTTCAGTGTCAGAGTCCATTGTATGGAAATGCATTTTCGGTTTCTTTCCGAGTTTCTGTACATCCCTGTTGGAATTGCACTTTCGGTGCCCCACATCGTAATTGCTAAGTTGCCCAAGTTCACCTAAACAAACTCTTGGGTTTATGGTAAATGTATGTACAGTACATATATATATATAATTATGTATATATATATACATTCATATATGTTGAACAGTTCACTAGTTGATGATTATTATTTTTTGGGTTGGGTGTATGGTAAATACCAAAGTAATCGGGCTGCACCTTGGTTCAGGCTATGGTCTCACTGGGAGACCTTTGAGTACAGCACCGTGGCAGGCCGAATGGCTGGACCATGGGCGGACCGTTAGGGCGGACCGATGGGCGGACCGATGGCCAGGATTTGGTGGTAAACACCCAAAGTTGATGGCAGTCGAGCTGTTGATGACCTGTGTATCAAAGAAAGTCCTCAGCCATCTTGGTTTCAGAGTGTGTAAGTTAGAACCACTCCAAGCCTGAGAGATTTTGCCGCTTCAGATCCTTCGAAAGATTGGACCGCTCAGTGGATCTGCGTGCAACTGAGAATCCTCCGAGGAAGCCCGGGGCTCGACGGGGCTCGATTTTGATGGTCGACTCATCCATCCAAAATAGAGCCTTTCGAACGTTCAAAAGAGCGTTGAAGCAATGCCCAGTTGAACCCCCGTGTTTTGGTGTTGTTTGATAGGATACTCCTTTATTTTGAATCACCAGAAGATATATATATATGTATCTATATTTATACATATATATATACACATATGTATATAAATAATCCCATCCCCCTAATATTGAACTCCGAAAAGGGTTCCAAATATGTGTTTTTATCCCAAACCAATGGTTTCTAGGGGTGTTTAATAATATTACGGGGAAGGGATTATATCCCCATTGACTATCATTGACTGACGTAGATACATTGGTTCGGTTCATATACTCATTGATATATCCCCCCAAACACTGTATATATATAATTATATATAATAATATACAGTATGTATATTATATATAATATATTATTTGTACCCGCAGGTCCAGAAGTTAGCACAAGATAGCAATATCTCGAAAAAACCTACAGGATGGGCCCCCCAGTTATAAGTTGGTTTATAAACCATTATAACCACCATTAACTATAGTTATATCTAGCATAAACCATAGAATTCAGCTGGGGGCCTGCAGGGCCCCATCCTGTAGGACTTACCACGCCCTTTCTTTATCCCTCAGGTGTCATTGAGCGAGCCATGGAACTGCATGAGGAAGGGAACGATGATTCCATCGCGGCCTGTGGGCTTCTCAACGTGGATTTCATCATCCATTAATCGAGGATTTATCGAGGAAAAATATGGACATTTTTCATGAGATTTCATGGGTAGCACCCCCAAAATGGCCATTTTAATGAATAGAATGAGAATTCACCGATTTTGGGGTACCCTGTTCACAAACAAAATTGGTTCCTTGGGAACAACATGACAGACTTGCCTTTGAAGATCATTTTTTGACACATCCAATCTGATAGGTTGTTCCACTTGCCTCAATTTTTCTAGGTTGATATCCTCAATTTCTCAGATAGCACCCATATCCCTGTTTGTGTTCGATACATCCCGATTTTCCTGGTCACGCCCTGATCCTTGTTGGGTGATAAAACAAGTTTTTTCTTTCTCGGAATCCATATTTTCAGCGGGTTCTACCCACCAAACCTGTTCCGCTGATGCGTATTTTTTCCAAGTTTTTCTGTTGATATCCATTTTTTCTCCGGTGATATCAAGGTATGTCCAAGAATTACTCGGTCATTTCCATCTTTCTCCATCTTTCATCCATCTTTATACCGGTTTTTACTGGTTAAAAGAATCCTCTGCTTTCACCAGCGCGCCTCTAGCGCCTGAGGCAGTCGATGTTTTCAAGCCATTCGACAGCTACATGAGGCGCTGGGATGGACTGGGTAAGTCAAAACTGTTCAATACTCTAAACTTCCTTGGCCATACACACAGTAGATATAGTAGATATACTGCCTAGCCTTTTTTTTCACACATTACCATGTTTGTTGTTACTATTGAGGGAGCATCTATCGTGATGATGGTGATTGATGAAGGATGCACGATTCCAGATGATAGATTCAGATGCTGTTGGTGATGGTGATGGTGATGGTGATGATGATGATGGTGGTGGTGGTGGTCTTGAACAAAAGTCGCTGCCTCCAAGTCTTTCGTTGAACCAGCTCCTTTCCACCCAAGTGGGGATGGGTAAACAAAATGGGGGAATCCGGGTGAACATCACAGTCCACATGTTACAATTAGGTGACCTCTAGTAACTCCTAAAAGGATATGGAGTTGTGGAAAATCACAGTAAACAAGTGACAAATCCAACCTTTTCTAGCTATGTTTTGGGTTATTATCTAGTGTCCCATGTTCTTTTTTTCTTCAAGGGACATCTATGGACATTGTGCAGTCGCGCAGATCGCGATGAGTGGCGACTGGGGCAAAGCACAAGCGCCGGACAGGCTGGCGGCCCATGTACAGATAGAACTTACCCAATAAGAGTAGGGATAGAAAACTACTTAAAACGAAATAGTTGACTTATGATGGGCAAATTGGTTGAGGCTAAGGATTGGATCTGGATCAATCCAGTTGAGCCTACTAACACCGTGTTAGAACTCGGTGGGAATTGCGCTACCCCCAGTTGGGGGCTTGGGATAAGGGAAAGTGGTCGAAATGGAGGTCTGCGAAATGGAGGTCTGAAGTTGTGGCGCACTTAAGCGAAACACTTAAAAACTCGGGACAAACAAAGCTATTTCACAAAATGAGGAGATCCCTTAACATCCCTTAACCATGAAATGATACTAAACTATGATAAACTATGTAAATTTCAGGTCGGGGGCAGCCTTATTTTAGGACCCAAAAAAGGTGCCCCAGCGTCGCAGGCTGCTTCCAGCGAGTGGCCGGCGTGTGCTCACGATCCTCTGCCGAGAGTTGGACGTCGCTTAGCAGCGCTTGGAGTCATTGCACAGCTGGGTTGTAGTACGGTTGTACCATGCAAAAATCACCATTTTTCATGGGAAAATCCACTATTTCAATGGCCATTTTCAATAGCTATGTTAAATTACCAGAGAGTACATCTGGGGGTTTCTATAAATGGGCGTACCCCCAAATGGATGGTTTATAAATGGAACATCCTATCAAAGTATGGGTTGTAGAATGTTGTACATACTGTGGATGGAAGAAATCCTGCATCACCAAGAGGATGGTTGAAACCCTATAAACAATGGGATAAACCACCTATCAACTGGTGCAGGATTTCTTCCATCCACCGTATGGCACTGAACAAACGTGATACACCCGAAAAGACAACCTTAAATGACTTAAATGGGGACAATCTTTGCCAGCCCTTCCTGATAGAACCGGGATGGGTTGTTCTTTGAGTTTTGCCGCATTCGTTACAAGTTATATAATACCTTCCCCCTAATGACAATTTGCCGCCCCTCGCCTTGAGTATTGATTTGTCCATTTCAGGGTCCTATAGGCTGGGGGATGGGAGGCATGAACACCCAAGACTGGAGGAGGAGGACGACGACGATGACGACGATGGGAATGATGACTATGATAATTTCCTTTCCCACCTGTTGGTTTATCTCAAACCCTCGGAATCTCAAAGTCCATCGATCTTTTTGATGCTGTTGGGACATGTTGGGACCGTTCTGATTTACGATCTCTGAGTCTCCCGGGGCCCGCCAGCTGGCAGACGCTGTTTGAATTGTAGTGTAAGGGGTAACTATCCCATTTTATGGCCGTAATTTGGGTCAGTGAATTATCATGGAGTCCAGACTATGTTGAGTATGTCTCCTTGATTTGTTGGTAAACATCCTCATTTTTGCTGCAGATTTTTGCTCCCCTTTAGGCTCTGAAGCCTGCTGATTGCCTCCGTCTCAGAAAGCTTTGATGGTTTCTGGAGTCAAATTTCCTCCCGGATCATAGGAAAATACCACCTCCCATATGATCTGGGTCCCGTTCTGAATAGATCCAATACATTTTAACCAGGGTTGCGTGAACGGAGGTATAACATCGGGGGAACGAGGTGAGCAAAACTGTGGCGAAGGATTCGGTTTACCCTCCCGTGTCATCGAACGTGGCTGGCTGGAAAATCCCCGAACATCCTAACTAAAAAACAATCAAACTAAATGGGTGATGTTTTTCATTGCCTTTTTGGATTACAGCATATTTATGCATATTTGGTGTACCTGGTTTTTGCCCATACCCCGTCCATCAAATTGATCGGAGCATTTCTCCACCAACCACCCAGCAGTTGCATATCCACCCTGCCTCCTGGATGCGGGGATGTGGATTATCCCCTATGAATGGGAACATGCTTGAAACCACCAGTGCACGTAGAGTCTTTGGAATACTATCCTTTGCCTGTTTTGTTTCCATACAACATCTCAATTGATATTACAATATATATATAATATACAGTATTTATTTATAATCCATTATCAGAGTGATGGGACACACCACTTCCAGATGATTTTCCACCATCCTGAAATCCTGGAAGTTCACCGGGCACCCGGTTGTCAGGACTTGATCCCCGAGCCGGCAGATTCCTCCATTTTTTTTTCGATAAACTCGGAGTTTCCCATATCTCCAAAATGTCGATAATCTCCACCATTTTTCTATATTTTTGTATATTTTTCCTGGCTTTTTCTATATTTTGGTTGGTTCCCCAAAGATATTCCCCATTGAATCCCCGTGATCTCTGGAATCTTGGGGGGCCCAGAGGCTGGTCCTTCAATGTGGTCTTTGCCGCGCGGGTCTTCGGCACTCTCTGGCGGGCGGCTGCAGACGCCGAGGCAAATCCCCCTCCTACACTTGGTCACTTGGGTATATATATATGTTATACATTATAAAATAAATATTATACATTATATATATATAAATAACTATATGATGTATATACTTGTATGATATGTATAATTACATATATATATATGCTTAGATGTTTATGAATAGTATGTATATCTGTATTTTAAGTAATTCCGTCTAATGTAATTACGTAATATGTAACACTATATAGAACTAGGTCGGCATCGGACTCTGAGTCGGCAGGCTGAAGATTGTCTCAGCCTGGATGCGCCGAATGTGGCCGCCGCACTGCTGTCTGGTCTTCATCCACATGTGGCACCGCTGCAGTGCGGGAGCCCGCATTTTGAAGGAACTGGGAAGATCTCAGAAATCTTTGGGGAATACTATAAACAGTGAAACTTTCTAGATATCTTAGGGAACACTGACACTTTAAAGTGAATAGAAACCACAGATTGAAATCCGACGTTTTGGGTAGCTCGAATGGACCAAGTGTAGGGGATGAACCCAAGTGCTTGGCTTGGGTTTGTTTTTGGGTGTTTTATTGGGAACTACAAACCATTGGGGACCTCCAACATGATATATATATATATGAGCAATTTTAGATGATGGGTCCCGGAAAACCCCTCAGATCAAACATCGATGAACCATATTTTTGACGGGTTTGATCAAGAGAAAATGCTGGTGTAAGCACTGAAGAATGACAATGAGTGGTTACGAATCCGGGCCTGATGGTTGGTGTCTTCCAATGGAACCACAGCGCAGATCCCTGAGGCTGGAGACTCATGCCCTGCTTCTTGCGTCGGCCGCACCCAGATGTGTTCAAACATGAGGCATAGCAACACATGGGCAAGTCTGAAAATGGGGTGTACTACAAAACTGCAGATTTAATGGAAACACAATGATAAACTATAGTTTTTTTTTGGGCACCCTATTTTCAGACAAACCCAAATATAGATTTGATGAATACGCCGAACGGTGGAAACTAGTACATGCCCAGCATTCTGTAGAGATCTCTCGTCGCTGAAAGTTCGCAGTTGATGGGCAATGAGTTGACTACATGCCATGGGGTCCGCAATCACTTGACCCTGACCTGTACCCAATCGGCTGCCCGAAGCGACAGCCCCAAGGACACAGGTTTGGTCCGTTGCCTTCGCTTTGGGGGAGCAGCTACCGGCAAAGGCGGTGAGCCGGAGCTGAGTGTGCCCTGCTACCACATTGGGGATGGGTCAAAACTCATGATTTCCCATATGAACGGGGGATGAACATCGATAACAAAAAAAGCTATTTATAATTTAGACCTAAGAAACAGGGTGAACTGACAAATTGCAGTATGAAGGATGTACTGTAAAGGTTTTAAGATGTTTCAGCCCATTTTCGGCAGCAACACACGGATCTATATCTATGTAATTACGTATATGTACTATCGTACCATTACCATCATGGTGGCTTTTCCAGTGTGAGACTGTGAGATTTTTTTGTGCGCCCTTTTTTAAACTTCAAGGATCCAGCTAGAAATCTCAATTTATAGTTATAGAGGATTACCAGAGGCCATCTGTCTGAGATCACCGAAGATCACTGGATCTCACTGATAAAAGGCCCTGATCACAGCTGAAAGCATTTTGGGCGACTTCTCCCGCTGGCTCCAGACACTTGACGGGCGTTGATTTGGAAAAGTGGAGCTTGCGGTTTGATATGTTGAATAATCCGGGGCTTTTCATGAAATTGGTCAGTTTTGCCAGTGTTTTCTTTTTTTTGTGGGAATTATTGATATCAATCTTCAGAAGTAAGTTGAAGCTGCCCAAAATAGGACACCATGGAGATTTAAATGAAAACAATCTCGTTACGTCCAGGGTTTACGCAAGTGGCTGAAGTGGTTGAATAGGAACCAGTACTGGTTGCATGATGGGCCTGCCATCAACCAACCAGTTGGCTTATGGGGTCGCCCTCAATCACATGCCCATCAAATTCAAAACATGATAATACTTTCCGGTTTTTTTTCCCCGAACAATCATGGACACTCAGCATTATCTCTGGATTCGTTGAAGGTAATTAATTCTCATCTCTGGATTTGTTGAAGGTAATTTTCATCATCCATCATTTGAGGAAACCGCAGTTCTTTTTTCCCGAGAGCGTCTGAGCGCAGAGTTCTTCCAATAGTGGGGGTCTGTAAAACATCTTCTCATCTTCACATCTTCTCATCTTCTCATCTTCACATCTTCTCATCTTCTCATCTTCTCATCTTCACATCTTCTCCTCTTCACATCTTCTCATCTTCACATCTTCTCATCTTCACATCTTCTCATCTTCACATCTTCTCATCCTCACATCTTCTCATCTTCTCCTCTTCACATCTTCTCATCTTCACATCTTCTCATCTTCACATCTTCTCATCTTCACATCTTCTCATCCTCACATCTTCTCCTCTTACCATCTTGCCCTCTTGCCCTCTTGCCCTTTTGCCCTTTTGCCCTCTTGCCCTCTTGCCCTCTTGCCCTCTCCTTCTTTTCTATTTCTCTCTTGAAGGCGGGGGGCAGGGGCAGTGCCAACGAGACGGCACGAAACGCAACACTTTCGCACGAAATGAGGTTTGATCGCCAAAAACTGAGGTAAAATTGCGAGTTCAAGTTGTCCGGCGCAACCCTTTCGCACGAAATGAGGTTCGATCGCCAAAAGCTGGGGTAAAATTGCGATTTCCACGAAATGAGGTGAATCGTCAAAAACTGAGGTAAAATTGCGAGTTCAAGTTGTCCGGCGCAACCCTTTCGCACAAAATGAGGTTCGATCGCCAAAAACTGAGGTAAAATTGCGAGTTCAAGTAGTCCCGTGCAACCCTTTCGCACGAAATGAGGTTCGATCGCCAAAAACTGAGGTAAAATTGCGAGTCAAGTCGTCCCGCGCAACCCTTTCGCACGAAATGAGGTTCGATCGTCGCCGACTTAGGCCCTGTTGGGGTCGTTTTGGGAACTTGTTATGGAGGCATCCTAGCGACCCCAAGGGTCGGCGGCTGGGGGGGCCCGGGTTCTCCTTTGGCCGTGGAAAGGGCGGTGGTCGATTTTGAGTATATGTTTAATTTCCAATAGCGAATCTGTTGGGTTTCAATCTTTGGGGCCGGGGACTGGTGACACGAAAATGCACGCCCCGAAAATTCCGGAACAGTCCTGGAACCTTGCTGGAACTTTTCGCTGTTGGGTTGCAAGCTGGGCCACTGTAAGAACTCGGCGTACAATTCTGACCCAAACCCGAATTTTTTCTTTCCGCAGATAGGCCCGTGCCTTTCTGCTCGACTCGGTCGAATTTTTGGGGTGCAACCAGCCCGCGTGATGTAAACGAGCCTGGCCCAGAATGAATGACCTGTGCCGTTTGAATTTGGGATGGACCTCTAGGTGTGTGACCGCCTCAAACTTCTTGACCGATGGGAATGGTGATCCTCAGTTGGGGATTAAGTTCAAAAGTTGCCGACACCTTGCTAGCAGGGATGCACATCCAAGTAGAGCATCAGCTTCGCGGATCGACAACAAAGGGCCATAGAAAATCCATGAAAATCTGTCATTTATAGATCATTCCTTCTGGATCTTCATATTCATATTTATGTTAATTACTGTTAATCCGGGCCCCAAAATCCACCAACTCTTGGCTTGAAGAAAATGGACGTTGATCTTAATGGACCCAAAAGGTTGTGTCCCATTGGACGCCTGTGAGTATTTTCTCCAGCTCTGAGATCTCATTCACGGTCAGTTCCAAGCACTTGTGCCTCGGTTTGCTGTTGATCTGGTGCTGGATACGGCGATGCAGCACCCATGGGAAGACAAAATGGCCAACCCTTAAGTCGGCGTGGTTTCCGCCAGCCTTGAGAGCGTTTTGAACGGCGTGCCTTGCAATGTCGCGCTTGGAGGGAGACTTGACATTGCTGTAGGTCCTGCTGTTGAAACGCGCACGCCTTGTACTTGTAGCTGAGGAAGACCCCTGTGGACGCTGCTTCTTGTTTTGCTCGGCAAGGCGGAACCAGGGACAGGCATGAAATTCAAACGTGTTTGCTGGGCTTAACCCCTTCGGATTTCCATCCCATGTGATAAGTTGACGCAGAGTCTTGCCGTTCGTAATGCCCGCGTTAAGATGCTTTGAAACCCAATTGTGATCAAAATTTGTGCGAGCCACTAGCCTCTCAGCACGTTATCATACGGGTTTGTCCAAGAATGTCGCACCCCCGCAAATCATTTTGTTTACTGTTCGTCCTCACGAGGGCCTATGGGGCCTTAAATTCGGCATACCCAATGTACACGAAATCCAAAGCATATTAATGGGTTAAACCTACATCTTTCCGACAGTTAAACCCTTTTTTTGCAGGTCAGATCCGGAGTTTTGATGGTCCCAGTCATTGCTTAACCATCGTTTTCCTTGTTAGAATGGTCGCTTTGGTGCTTCCCCAATTTTTGAAACACACCCACATTGCCTTTGTATGTTTCCAATTGTGCTTCAGGAGCTTCCTCCACGCACCAACCGCCTTTGGAATTGGTCGTAACCACCTCAGTGCCCTTTGGCGTTTTAATGCTTTGGGATCCTGCGCATTGTCTTGGCATTTCCCTGGGCCCTGCGTGAAAACTACAATTTTTACGATCGAAGGTGATGTGCGATTGGTTGCATTTTGTTCATCTTGTGATTCGTTTGCAATTTAGCGCAAGCCCCACATACAAGGCCTCTGTTCCAGTGACGCCAGAGAATGGACACATGGCACAAAAAAGACGGCAATAAATGTGCTTGTTGCACGGCCTGAGCAACAGTGCTGCACGGAAACACATTTCCAACTTTGCTTGAAACAAAATGGACACCAATAGATTAATACATCAGCGCAACATAAAGTGTTATTTGGCATGTCCGCCTGGTACGCAGTTGTGTTATAGCAACGTTAATATAATGTTTGAATCCGGTGTGGCGGTGGCACCCTGCGCGATGGATATTTTGGTGAAGGGCAACGGCCTTTCAAAATCTTGCGAAGTGGTCTGTGATTCTGCAACTTCGATTGGTGAGGTGAAGAAGCTTTTCGAACATGAACTTGATATTCCTTCAATGGAGCTCAGGCCATAGATGCCTCAAATTCCAATTGGTTGATGAAAACGAGGGGTCCCCCAATTCAATCAATCAAAATTGTATACCAGTCACCAGCACCCAGGCCCACAACATTTTGCCCAAGGAGGGCAATATTGATGGGGTACCAGTGGACCCAGACAGTTTGTCTAGTATCTTTCAGTACTAATCCATCCAATCTTGGAGGATCTTGGAGGTTAGTTTTTTTTTCATGTAATCTCTCCAAAATTATTTCCACCGATTCTAATTTTCCCAAACATTATTTCGATAACGTATTTACCACCCAATTCTTCAATATTTCCAATTTCAGGCTCTTTTTTGGAGACAAAGAACTCCGTGACCTGCAAAAAATCGGTGACATCGTGGGCTGCGAGTTGGTGGATCTCTGCTTTCTGCGAAGGGATCCTGAACAGGCAAAATGGTTGGAGGCAGCGACTGATCTAAGTTGAGATGTGGAGCATGGGATCTGGGATCACATATTGGCGAAACAACTGATGGAAGAATTTTTGAAGGAGTCAAACCTGAGATGTGAATGTATAAAGTTTCAGATACTTCGAAACTATTCGAAACTGATGTGGAACTGGGCATAAACCCAAGAATTCGACAATGTTTCATTAGTTTGCCTCAACAAAAAATCATTCCGTAGGTTTATTCTTACATATTCTTATATATATTCATTTTATTCCCAATTACCCTCAGCATTGCATTCTTTCTGGTTGGTTAAATGAGTCCCATTCTACATCCCAGTGGGATGATCCCTGGTTGGTGAATTCGTTTGCCCTTTAGTAACCAATGTAGAAAAAACACAAACAACCCAGATCAACTATATATATATATTTATATCTCGTAGATAGCTAAGAACTCCCTGTGATATCCTCACTTATTCTCCCGCTCTTGTTGGTTTTCTACAAGCTAGTGCCCCAGTTCGGAATCGCTAAGTTGGTAAACATAGGTAAACATCACTCCAATCACTTGGGTTTATAGTAGATATATTATATATCTATACTTCATGGAACCAATTCGTCCATTTTTTCTCCAATTTTCCCAAGGGTTTGATCCTCCACGTCCAGGCGGTGTCCGAGGACCCCGATGGTCGCTTTCTCCGTGAGGCCCCCGCACACATTGCGGCGGACCGGGAGGTGATCCTGGCGGCGGTGCAGCGCAATGGACGAGCCTTGGAGTTCGCGGCGGAGACGTTGCGGGCGGACAAAGAGACGCTTTTTTTGAAACAATTTATGGGGGATGGTTATCTGGTATTTCTGAGGGATTATAGTATATCTAGAATTTATAATGAATTGAATAGTTTTATGGAGGAGTCTATCTAATATGCATGCTATTTTTCCAGTATGTGATGGTATTTTATGGTAGTTTAGGATGGATTTGTGGCCAGGCAAGATGCTGTTGTGCCATAGATTTTAACCACTTCTTTAAAGTGAAGGTGAAGCATATCGTTAAAAAAGGGTGCATTAAATTCTGGTATCCATATTTCTTTTTTTTCCTCATGTGACGTTTTGGGGAGTTGACCATGACTTTTGGTTAAGTGGGGATATGTGGTAAAAATTGACCCCGGCAGGATGGCTTATGCCCCCTATGGAGAAGGAGAAACAATAAAAGTAGATTCCAATCTTAAAACAAAACAGTGATTTTTATTGAAGCTGTTCTATCTTTTCTTGGGATTTCGATACCCATCTGGGGTCCCCAAACTTTTTCCATCAGCCAGGATCGTCTTGTCGGCTTTGGAAGAAGATGCGCAGTCCTTCCGCTTCGCATCCTCGGAGCTTCACGCCGATCGAGACGTGATGCTGGCAGCGGTGCGTCGCAATGGGCTTGCGTTGCAGTTTGCAGTGGAAGAACTTCGAGACAACCAAGAGATCCTCGGAGTCAATCGTCCGACTAATATTATCCCACTCTATAAAAAGTTAAACACATCAATAAAAAAGTAAAATAACTGACTGAATAAATAGATTACTTTACTTCGAGTTATCCCCACCATGACATTTATACGTTTTGTTACTGGCAAATCTTCTGGCATCCTATCTGACATATCTTCTGGCATTTTCTCTGGCATATCTTCTGGCATTCTATCTGGCATATCTTCTGGCATTCTACCTGGCATATCTTCTGGCATTCTACCTGGCATATCTTCTGGCATTCTATCTGGCATTCTACCTGGCATATCTTCTGGCATTCTATCTGGCATTCTATCTGGCATATCTTCTGGCATATCATCTGGCAAATCTTCTGGCATTCTATCTGGCAAACATTCTGGCACTTTATCTGGCATATCTTCTGGCATCCTATCTGACATGTTTTCTGGCATTATCTGGCATACCTTCTGGCATTCTATCTGGCATATCTTCTGGCATTCTATCTGGCATATCTTCTGGCATTCTATCTGGCATATCTTCTGGCATTCTATCTGGCATATCTTCTGGCATTCTATCATATCTGGCATATCTTCTGGCATTCTATCTGGCCGTTGAGGTCCAGCGGTGCGCACTGAGCTCGGAAGGCCCCAGGTTGAGGTCCAGCGGTGCGCACTGAGATCGGCAGGTCCCAGGTTGAGGTCCAGCGGTGCGCACTGAGTAGGAAGGTCCCAGGTTGAGGTCCAGCAGTGCGCACTGAGCTGGGAAGGTCCCAGGTTGAGGTCCAGCAGTACGCACTGAGCTGGGAAGGTCCCAGGTTGAGGTCCAGCAGTGCGCACTGAGCTGGGAAGTTGGCGAAGATCTTGGCGAAGAGTTGGCAAGGCGGAAGTGGAGGTGGAAGTTGATGCAGACATGGTCGAGGAGAAACTGGAGGAGGAGGCGGAGGAGGCGGAGGAGGAGGAGAAGGAGGAGGAGGACAAAGGCTCTGATAAAATCTAACAATCCTCACCGGGGAATGAATAAATGAATGAATCAATAAATGTATAATATATATATATAATTATATATCAAGAATATCCCCTATGGTTATGGGCCTTTTGAAAATTGACTGATCGCCATTTTTTTCCTCTCCAGTGAGGCCGCCAAAAAACACCATGCTTGGTGTTTTTTGCTTGGTGGAACCAACCATCGTTTCCAACAAAAAAACACCATAGTTGAGTTATGCTTGGTGAATTTTGGTGGGGAATTCCCAGGGTTTCCCTATGGCTCATTGGGGATCGGGGAAACCCCTGAAACCGTTGAAACGCAGCCAGGATGGTCCTGGCCGCCGTGGCTCAGAACGGCCAGGCGCTGCGCTTCGCCAGCCAAAGATGGCAAGCGGAAAAGGACGTGGTGCAGGTGGGGAAGGCGCCAGGTACATTTTGCTGGGTAAATTATAACGACCTCACTGTTCTCCCGAGCCCCGGAATCATGGTTAATACGAGGGATCATCCCAAAATGGCCTTATTTCAGGTTTGTGACGTATTATAATTTACCCAGATCTTAGTACCACAGGTTGGGGAAAACTAGATATCTTGAGAAGGTATCATAGAATTAGTAGATACTGTCTGATAATATATATATATACATAATATTATATCATTGCATATTTAAATGATTGATAGTATAGGATCCATACCCCAATTGGTACCTAGTACATGTTTTTCAGGTCCAGTAATAGGATGCAACTGGAGGAACCTAAATTGGAGGTACCTACCATATACAAGGTCTATGTAATGACTATGTAATCCCAGGTGGCAGTAGAGAATGACCCTGGAGCCTTGCACCATGCGGTCCCCGAGCTGCGTGATGATGTGGAGCTACAAAACTTGGCCTCACGCGGCGGCAGCTGAGATGCTGCTTTCCAGATTCTTCCAGGTGGGGATTTTTGGAAAATACTTGGACACAGAATCCTAACTATACATGTATCTGTATATATATATATAGTATATATATAGAGTATATATATATATAGTATATATATATATAGTATATATATATACTATATATACTGTATATATATATACTATATATATATATGTATATACACACTATATCTATATACTATTAATATACACAAGTATATGTACTTTATATACTATATATACTATATATATATACTACATACATATATATATATACACACTATATATATATATACACTATATATATATATATACGCACTATATATATATATATATACGCGCTATACTGTGAGTGGTATCACACTGGCAGCACCAAATCCCACTCTCCCAAAGTCAGCGGCTTTTCACCTGGTGATCGCCACAAGAAGTGAGAGTCCTTCGAACAAGCTGCCTAACAAGCAAGGCTTACAAAGCCCAAGATACCACGTCCAAGAAAGCTGGCCACAGCTTTGGAAGATCGACCGCGATCGAATGGCTGCAAGTGCTTTAAGTCCCTACCTCGCCCACCACGGCTTGTCCTCAAGCCTAAAACACTATGGTGCATGAAACATGGTTTCTCCCCTTCCAGCTGGCTTGGACATGTATTCCAGGTTGGAATTTATTCAACGAGGTTTTGATGAGAACACATCACATGGGAATAATGACACAACGGCCGGGTTCGTTGGGAAATTCACACTCCCAAAAGATGTTTTTCTTCACTATTTTCAAGTTTCTCATCGTTGCAGGTTTGCAACCATCTCATGCGGGATCGGCTTGTGGCACGTTCCTTCAAGACTTGCCCTTCATCGTGCAGGCTGTATTGACCTACTTTCAAGGTATGTCGGAGGAAGTGAGTCTGCATGATTTTGGTCAATGCATCTGCAAGCTGTGCGGCACTATGGACCCATCTTACCTTTACTCCTTCAGCTATCATGTCTTTGATGGCTCTCGCTTGTAACTGGGTTCTAAACTCCTGGCACTGTGGTGGAGCAGTTCGGGTGATTAAATCAAACAAAGATTTACAATCGGTTACTGCAATCGAGGGATCTTCTTTGAGAGTGGCCGTTGTGAAGGTTGATGGTAGTTCCTTGAGAGTTTTTGATGAATTCTTCCAATCAGTGCAGGGGTCACGTATCCAGCTCCAAAACAATCTTAACCATGAAAGTTGATCTAGAGTGGTACTGAGGGAAGTGGTCTCAGCTGCCAAAGTGCTTGTCACTACTCGCTGAATTTTTTTGCATCCCCAGCTTATGGGATTCACGGGGCACACATGATTCTTCCCGATATCTTCGTGGGTTGTCATAATGATAGTTCCTGTGTGAGATTCTGGCTGTTTCTTGGAAGCAAACGATGCATCGGAAAATGCCAAAAACCTGATTTTATCCATGGGTATTGGTTGTATACGGATGGTGGTGTCTTTGTGTCTTTTTGCTTCGTGAAGTATCTGATTTCCTTGAATGAGTGTTGCAATGGTCGCTTGATTGATGTCACTCTGAATGAAACTTAACCTGCTTGATAAGTCAGGTCTCGTGTTTACGGCTGCATATTGAAGTGATCCTATGAGTGCACGGAGATCTTGTCTCTCTCGTTCGGTGACTGGAAGTTCAAGTTGGGATTTTCTTTCTGGTTTGATGTGGATGGGTTCAATTTTGGAAACATATTTTTCCTGTGACATGACGATGCTGGAATCACTTTGTTGACTCATTTCAATCCCTGTGAACACAAAGCTTTGAGATTTCCGGGATCCGAAAGGAAATTTTGTCTCGAGTGCTTTCACCTGAGACTGGAAATAACTATCTCCTCCGCATAGACCATCATCTACATGAACCCCAAGGATCCCCGATGGCTCTTTTGCTCCTGGTTTGAACAGCAAATAGAGGCATGGGTCAAATGGGGATGGTATGAAGTTCAAGCTACGCAGGGTGGTGTCAAGTTCTGTGAACCATAGAAATGGAGCATCAATTAAACCATATGCTGATTTAATGAGTTTACACACCTCCGTGGATTTCAAATCCATGGCTTTCACCATTTCTGGGACAGGTTCAATGGCAATTTCCCTTCCTTCCTGAGTGCGACCCTGGAGGAACGCTGCTTTGATGTCGAAAGACATGAGTGTCCATCTCATGGAGGCAATCACTTGGGCTATCAGCATTTTTGAAGTTCTCCCCAGTGTAGGACTGTCTCTAGGAATTGTTTCCAGTTGGGGATCCATATATCCTAGAACCACCAGGCGGGCTTTTGCTTTGCGACTCCGCCCCCCATTTTCTTTTTGTTCTTTAGGACACTCTATGGGCTTCCAAACATACAGCCATCTGCATCTCAGGATTTGTTCAGGTGACAAGGCATTTCGGAACATTCTTTCCACAGTCCCGGTCTGAAGCCAGTTGTTCACCTCCTTGGCCTTTGCAGCCTCGAATTCCTGGCGCTCATGAGGATCTAGAGTGCTTAACTTGACCTCAGTCCGTTGTTTCTTGGATGCTGTTGCTAACATGATGAAATCTTCTTCACATGGATTTTCCTGGGAAAAACACATCGCATCCAATTGAGCTTTGGTGAATTCGAGCTCGGCTTTCCAGACATGGTCTTTGCCATCTGGTGCGAAGAGATCTGACTTGTCGTCGTCAGTGCAAGTCAGGAGATCACACAAAAGTTCATCATCGGTGGCATCAGGGAGTGGTATTTCATGAGGTTCTAAGGTGGGTTGACTTTCGGCTTCGGGGTCATTTAAATGTAGGTTATGTGGACTATTGTCGGGTGATGAATTATCATTTTTAATGGTGAGGTTACCTTGGGAATTTTCATCAGGCTCTTGGTCAGGCTGTTCGGATGCTCTTGAGCTGGTTGGTCTGGCGTTTTCGGATGGCACAAACACTTCAGTGGTTGTTGGAAGTCTGGCAATCTCATTGGTTGGGCTTTCGGTGGGAATTTGATCTGAAGGATTATTGGAAATCTGCGCATGTGGTGGGACTTGTGAGGTTCTCAACAGGGATATGGGATTTTCTGTCATGGGAATTAGTCTGGCTTCTACCGCACTGACTGGACGTACATGTTCTGGAGCAGCCCGCAGTACAGACCCTGCATTGTTGCAAAACACTGATGTTGGACCGTCTTGGATTATTACATTTGCAGGACCAATCCAGGAACCCTTACCTATGTGGAATTTCCAGACCATTACCCATTCCCCAGGTTCATAGGCCCCTCTATGTGGACGATCTCTTCTCAGTGCTGCACGACGAAGTGCCATGTCGTTGTCGGCTGCATGAAAGGCTCTTCGTGCTGTCTCTCGCATCGCGAGCACTTTCCTAAAGCGAATGCCCTGGCTGTCATCATTGGTAGCGATGGCATGAGCTGGCAAGGTGTCATCTCCAACAATGGAACCTGGAACCCGTAGGCCACGACCGAAAACAAGAGTCTCGGGTGAGTATCCATGTCTTAGACTGCAGGCATTCTTTGCCATGGTACAATGGGTTAGGGCTTGTTGGAATTGGAAATAATCAGTCACATCATGTTCCAATTCATATTTGTTTAACATTGATTGGAGTACACCGCCGTGTCGCTCAATGCGACCCATCTGCCAGTGAGCATCTGGTGGGACCACTGTACATTGGACATTCATGCTTTGAAGAAACTCTTCAAATGCTTGCGACACAAATTCGGATGCTGAATCCATGATAACTGTGTTGGGAGGACCAGCCCAGTTGAGCCATCCAGAGGTGAATCTTTCCTGAACTTCTGCTCGATTCGGGGCCACTACTGCAGTGTGGTAGTTGGTACCGTGACAAATGAAATGGTAAAAATGGAAATCTTGACCCTGTTTGTTACTCCATTTTACCCCATCCATTGATATCTTATCACCGAAATTCAGTTCCTCCTTCAGTGTCGCAGGACGTTGGAGTCTTGGTTGCTGTTGCATTTGGCATACGGAACATTTGAGGTCTAACACTCCTCGCACCAGTTCATCAGAATAACCCCTTTGCTGAAGTACCTTACTCAACTTGGTGGGATCTGGGTGGCCTAAGTTTTTGTGAAGTCGAATAGCAAGTTTCTTGTTCTCCGGTGACATCGTCATGAACTTCGAACCATGGTCCTTGCTTTCGAAGTCTATTTGACTTGGATCCTTGGTGCTTTCGGGTGTTGCGACACTCGGTGGTTGCAGCTGACTCTCAAAGGCGGGTGTGTTCGAGAGTTCATTGGTTGGCACATCCGGTACCGAAGATTGGGCTGCAACACTTGGTTCAGTGGCCTCATGGCTGATTGGTCTCTGGCTTTCACTGGCAGGTGATGAAATCTCGGTTGGATTTCGAGCGAACACTGTTATATTCAAAAAGGAGGGATGTGACCGTCGCCACAGCTGTCGGGCTGACAAATGGCGCCATTCCTCCCATTGACCTTCAACTTTGATGGCTTTGGTTTGTCTTTGGATGATGATGGCTCTGCGAAAGGGAGCTTCTGCTGGCATCATATTCTTCGGGGGAGTGATGGTTCTCTCCGTCCCTTTGCAAATCACAACCCGAACTATTTGTTTGTCATGAAACACTTCTTGAAGTCCTGCAAGAATGGAGGGATCATTGATCTCTTTCCTGCCTACCCTAGGAGCTAAGCTGGATATTTTCTCACAGAGTTGGATGCAAAGGGTTCCTACATTATCGGTGGTCTTCTCATGGAGGCGACGCTTCTTTGCCGGCATTTCACTGGGCTCAATCAGTGGACTGACGGGTGTCAGCTTCGCTCGCTTGGATGCAGGTGCCAGGGATGCACTGGTATTTCTTTTGGCGTCGGATGCAAAAGCCTCGGACAAACCCATAGGTTTGCTACGTTGACATCTGACTTTTGTCAAAACCTGTGCAACTTTCCTGGCAAATCTTCGACTATAGTTTTCGGAAAACTCAGTCCTTTTGATTCTCATCCCCTTTACCACAGTTTCCCCTTCAAGTGGCTGATGTTGATGTTGTTTATTGCAAGTGAGTCCGTTGAAATGATAATAGAATTCTTGTGAGGTGGTGTGAATTTCCATGCCATTCTTATATAGTAATTGGTTCATGGGGTCTCGGATGGCACCTACTCTGCACATGTCGAATCGGGCAACCTGAGTGTTTTGTATGATCTCCCACAACATTGGGGTTCGCATCATGATGGACCTGGCCGGTTGTTCCCAGTGCATATGTCGACCGGCATTCCGCTGGACACGGAAAAGGACTAGTCCTAGGGCCAACTGGAAAAGATTTTCTTCTCTCTTCCGCTGCACTTCGGCAAAGCCTTCGGTGCTCCTCATCTCATTGAACTGACTCCATGAACTCCAAGGCCCGCAGGTCGGGCTATACCATAGGTGGTTGGGCTTCTGTTGAACGACAATTTCAAACAAACCTTCTCTGCCTTCTTTGGTGGAAAGGTCGCCTTGCTCAAAACCATACCTGCACGCTCGATATCCCAAGTTATTTGTTTGTTTGGTCAGTTCACTTGCTGAGCTACAGAAGACCTCGAGCATCTGAATTGGCTTTGCTGATCGGCTGCCTACGCGTTTGGAGACTTCTTGAAATTCCTGTGAAAATTGGGCTACAAGTTGATGAAAAATTTGATGGCGATTATTGTTGACCGTGGTGTTGAAAGTTGGATCTTCAAAATCCTTGTCAATGTCTCCAGCAAAGCATGCATGATCAGTGCTATCTCTCAGTTGTTGGCCGGGCGAACGTGCTGCAAGATCTCCATCAGCGCACTCTCCACATGCAACATCCTGGCCTGCAGGGCTTCGATGCTCTCCAGGTGTGGATCTTCGTCGAGCCCCCTGGCATTGTGGGCCAACATCTCTTCTGGGTCCATCACATCCCACTGCTCGGTCCCGATGTTGGAGCTGGCTTCCATGAACATGAAAGGGTCCACGGCTGTGGATGCCTTGGCTTTCGGTTGCCCTTTGCAGCGTGGCATGACAACTCCCTGTGTCATGGACTCCATCGGAGGCAGTTTGTGCTCCAGCTCGTGAGCTGATATCATCTTCTCGACATAAATCAGGAGCTTTCGATGTTCCACCTTTTGGCTGTCTGAGTAAGTCCTGATGAACCATTTGATCCAGTTTTGCTCCTCCAACCACATTTCCAGATAGGTTCGCCCCATGTGGGCTTTGCCAAACGTAACCTTGGCATCTCCCATTTCCTGAACTGTCAGCTGCTGAAACTGGTCCACGCTGTCGTCGACTGCCTTGGTCATGACTCGGTCGAATCGGCTGCTCAGGCTCATTGCAGCTTTGTGGATTGGTTGACTTCACGAGATCTAAAAAGGTTGGATGCGGACTTTTGGGCCAGGAGGTCTCTGTGCATTCATTGGTCTGTGAACGTCTGGACTCACGGTGGCTCTGGAAAATCTCATCCTGTTGATTTGATTGGCCTGGTGCTTGGCAAAACTTCTGTGGGAGATTGCACGTGTGAAGTGAAACGTCCTCATGTGATTGGAGATTTGGTCTTGTGTCATGACATGTGGGATGATTACTGTGGCTTTCAAAGGATTTGACTGGTGCTTGGACAGGTTGATGGCGTTCAGCAATTTTGCACTCGGAAAAATCATGGCTGGTGAATGTCTCGGCAATGGTCAGGTTTGACCTGTCACTGGGCCCTTTCTGTGCTTTCAACAATTCATTCACATCCAACAAATACAAACCGCGTGCACTCAATCTCAACTGGACATCATGTTTGAACATTGGGCTGGACAGAACCTGATACTCGCTGTTGATGCTTGCCTTGAGGGTTCTCAACAAGGTGTTAGATAACAACAATGGTGTTTCCCCAGGCACTACAGCTATCTTTAATCCCAAACCAATTGATTTGAGGGGGATCACCAACGCCTGACTGCTGTCAAGAGTTCCCTGATTGCCAAACCTGAAAGTGATGTCACATGATGTTCGGAACAGTTGACTTCGAACTTCCTTGGGCAGACCCTCAAGAAACGAAGGTAGCAGCTTGCTACCAATCACAGACTTCGTGGCACCTGTGTCTAAGATGCCTGATGTGCCATGCGATGCAAAAAGTGCTAAAGCTGGCTCACTCATCGTTGGCGAATCACTGGCTTTCATCGGCAAATGGCAGGAGGCTTCATTCCTGGGAGGATGGCTTTTCAGGCTCTTTCCCCTATCATTATCCCAAGACCCCTTGTACTTGAGACGTTCCCGAAGCTCATGCGGAATGGCCATACTGACATTAATTAAATGCAAACTAGAATCATCTATGGTGACGTCTTGAACCATGGGCAACTGCATGAACTCCATTGGCAAGGCATTGGGCTCACCCTCGAGGGAAACTGCTTCGGCTGTCATGGTGGCTGCCGTGCTGGTTACACTGTTGGCTGAGGCATTTTGGCGCTCTGGGCACTCTGCGCGCCAATGACCTCTCTTTCCACAGTGTCTACATGTGCTTTCCATGATTCTTTGCTGCAAACTTTTTCGGGGTCCACGGCCGTAACTCTTTCCCTTGCCCTTGAATCCATGAGTTTTGGACTTGCCCTTCCCAGAGCTCACAGGCCAAAATCCACGATTTTTGAAGCGATCGGACAAGCGCTTGCGCGCCTCACTGTACGCATTGTATGCGCTGGCCAGATCTTCGTCTGACTGCAGTGTGTCTGCCGCTGCAGACTCATAGTCTGCGATCAGCAGAGCGTCCTCGTCCTCGTTCAAGAGCAATTGTTCATAGTAATCTTCTTCCCCGATTTCATCAGCAACATACACATGAGATTCTTGACCCTCATCTTGTATATCTTCAGTCAAAAACGTCTGTTGATCATAGATCTTCCCTTTGGATTTCTTTTGACCGATCATCTCATTGAAAAAGGCTGTTCCAAGCATCCGGACAGACTGGCTCACTTTGTCAATCGTCAAAGCTCCCTGAGTAGAAGATTCACTTTCCAGGATGACACGTTTCTTGTCTTCCGATGTCAAAAGAGACCCTCGGAGCACTATGTATGCATGTACCTGATCCAGATCTATCTTCTTGGCCTTGAGTTCCGACCACACCACATCACACCTAGCCAGAAAGGAATCGTTTGATTCGTCCTGTCGTTGGACGCACTTGAACAACGCCTTTTCCACAATCTCATATGTTTTCTCCAGACTTACTTTACCCCATTGTCCACCAAGCAATGATATCAGCAATTGAATTCCTGCCTTGTCACCTGTGGTTAACTTAGCACGATTCAGTTGAAGCTTCTGGAAAGCAGAACCTGTTGTATTGAGAATTAACCTGGTGATCAACTCGTTGACCTTGTTCTCGGGCCAGATTTCACTCAGCAATTCTACCTTCTGCGTGTACTGTTCCAGGTCGTCTTTCGACGGATCAAAGCTCGGCACAAGTTGGGCCATCTGGTTTGAGATGGTTGCAGTTCCCTCTGATGGGTCACCATTTGTCTGCGCCATGGTGACCTCCAAAGATGATGTATCCCCTGGAGCAACAAAACTGAGGTAGCTCCGCTACCAGTGTGAGTGGTATCACACTGGCAGCACCAAATCCCACTCTCCCAAAGTCAGCGGCTTTTCACCTGGTGATCGCCACAAGAAGTGAGAGTCCTTCGAACAAGCTGCCTAACAAGCAAGGCTTACAAAGCCCAAGATACCACGTCCAAGAAAGCTGGCCACAGCTTTGGAAGATCGACCGCGATCGAATGGCTGCAAGTGCTTTAAGTCCCTACCTCGCCCACCACGGCTTGTCCTCAAGCCTAAAACACTATGGTGCATGAAACATGGTTTCTCCCCTTCCAGCTGGCTTGGACATGTATTCCAGGTTGGAATTTATTCAACGAGGTTTTGATGAGAACACATCACATGGGAATAATGACACAACGGCTGGGTTCGTTGGGAAATTCACAATACATATATATATATATACAGTATATATACTGTATATATACTGTATATATACACTATATATACTATATATATATATATACACATATATATATATATATGTTTTCCAGAAACCCACTGAAAGCAACGGGGAACCGATGTTTTTTTTACCTTCTCTTGGGGGGCCCAAGATCAGTCAATCGGAAGACAAGATCGGCAGTGAAAGGCACCCAGCTCAACGTGTGACGTGTTGACGGAGGATGGCTTTGCAGCCGCAAAGACTGCGGCAGCTTGTGCCAAGTTCTGGATTTGAAACGAACCAGCTGCGATGGAAAAAGGTGATTGTGATCAATGATTGTTCCATTTAGAATTGATGACATTGGATCAAAAGGTCATCAGAAACCATTTGATCACTTTTGATCAAAGGTGACTACCCCCTCCAAATGGTTTTGGGATCAAAAGTGACAGTCGTAATTTGAGTTTTTTTTTTTTAAACGTTTGTTTAGCAACAACATCACCCAAACGGCAGCGAGGCAAGACGTTTGCTCACCGTTGATTTGCGAGATCAACTGATCCAGAGTCTCAGGGTGCCGCTTGGATGTTGCAACTAGCAGCAGGTGTGATGAATTTTGAGGTGAAGTGACTAACTTTGAAGGCTGAAAGGTCCCACACTTGATGGATTATGATCAAATATTAAGGATATTATTGTCACTTATTATCTTGTCAATGTCCCATTTATCAAATTAAAACCAGATGATCATATTAGTGGATAATCCTACTCAATACGAATCCCATTATTATCTTGTGAGATATCATCAATACTCAATGGATCTTTAAATGGAAACCAGACCTTTAAATGGGTCGCAAGGACTGCTTTCCAGCCAGGATTATCGGAGACATTTCGAGCCAGGCACCCAGCTGGGATCCCGTAGTTTTTTCATCTCCCATCCCCATGAAAATATGACCCTCTGGTAATGACTAACATAGCTATTGAACATGGTGATTTATAGTGGATATTTACCTGTTCAAAATGGTGATTTTGCATAGTTTTGTGAGTTTACCAGAGGGTATGTTATGAATTATATATAAATGGGATTAATATGTTATTAATCAGCAATGAAAAATAACTTACAACATGAAAACCATATGGCCCATATGAATATGTTATTAATCAGCATTCTGAAAGGATTAGTGAAATTCCGGATATCCCATGCAATAATGCTATTATATTATAGTTATCAAATCTGATGAATCATCATTGCTGCAACCATGTTAGTAACACTCAAACATTACTTTCAATACCATTACTTTTTGGGGGTTATTCTCCCATTGATACCCCATCAATATCCCATCATCCTGATTTATCAGTTATCGATTGTTAAACAATGTTAGTAATATCATGACTCAACATCAATATCACTAGATTATCTATTTTAACATACTATGTTAGTAATATCCGATTGTTAGTCACCCTAAGTATGCTGTTTTCGGCAATCTCCCCCATGACTTGCGGTCGTCATGACATCTCGAAACATCTCGAGGCCCGAAGCCTTTCGGCCCGCTCTGCAGCTCTGGGCGCAGTGTTACAGGGAAACCCGAACCTCGGAGCCGGTGGGGGATCCTGGGGCTGACCATGGGAAATCCCTGAGGTTTCTAGGGGAAAATCCATCAGCTCCAAAAAATGGTATGATTTTCCAGCCAGACAGAATGGTTTCATGGTAGTTTGATAGGGTTTTAGATGATTTAATAGGGATAGTCATGGGAGAATAATAGGAAATTATATAGTGGATTTACCTTCTGGTAATCAAACATGGCTGGCTGGAAAATCCCCGTGGCCTAAATGGAGGTTTCAATGGAAAAATCATCTGTCAATTGGGGATTTTCCAGCCATCTTTGATTACCAGAGGGTATTTCCAACAAACATAAAGAAAGGTGTTGATATAAGCCGGACGAACTGGTTTACAACTTTATGACCTGCAAACATTGGGATTCAATTAGCAAACATGCGGGTTAGCGGTCGCAGAAAAGCGTTGATCTGCAAAAAAAAGGATGTATCATGTTCACCTCCAAGAGTGAGGATGAAAAACATGATACTGCAGTGACTGTTCTGTTTCAATCTCAGGGTCTGGGAGTGGTGGGCCGTTTTTTGCGGAGTCCAATTTCGGAACAGCAACCGATCTGGAACCCTGGAGCCCTGGAACCCTGCAACCTCCTGTTGGGTTGCAAAGCTGGGTTAATGGCCGACTATTGGTTGATGGTGATTTCACTATAAAAGCAACATCAAGCCATGGTGATTTAACGGTTTCCTGAATCTCAGGGTCAATTGTTTTTTCAACAGTGTTATCTTTTAGCAAGTCAAACATCACTTGAAATTCTTGTTTCAACAATATTTGTATCACATTGACATATGTTTTTTATGTTGAAAAGACTGGAGCATGGGTCAAAATTTTGGATCCCTCAGCCCAGATGAACTGGTTCTGAATGTCATCCGAGGTGGCACGGGGTCGCAGCCAGGTTCGGCACGCCTTGACTCCATGGATGTAGGGACAATGCTGGGACCTTCCCAAAATCTTCCACTACGGAATAGAGCTTTCGAACATGGGAGTAGTTGCCAGGGAGGTCCCATCAGCGAGGTCCCTAGAAATTTCACCAATTGAAGCTGGCCATTTTGTGATTTTCTGCAGGACCCGAGTCTCTCTGGAGGGCAGGATGAGCCGGTGACGGAGAAGGCAGAAGAACTTCTGAGCCCGGAAACTGAGCTGGGTGTGCACTTGTCAAATTTAAGCGGGAAAATTATGATTAACCAGTGGGGTAGCCCATTTTAAGACAGACGCATTTTACAATTGTGCTTCAACCATCAACAATGCTGTGTTAACCAACAACCGAAAATAAAATCTAGAGGTATTTACATATGACATTTTCCATCATTTTCCCCTTTTTCTTGAACTTGAAATTTTTGGTGGTCGTTTGAAATCCAACTTGCAACTCCCAAAGTTTATTGCACTGTTGCACGCGGCAATTTAGTTTGCCGGTGATTTGAAATACTTGATATCTTCCATCTCTACTCAGGATGATGACCCTTCAAAAAAGTGGTAGAAATGGGTTTTTAGTAGCATGGAGGATACCTTAAAAGTGAATGAAGGGTAATGATACCACTTTAATTACTGTGTTCATAGTCCCAACATAGTTATTAAGTGTTGGTGTGCAATGAGGTATCCTCCCCCCTTTGATTTTTCTTCCCATGTCCTTGGGGCTGATGCTAACTTTCCCAGTTCCTGCGCGCTAAGGACGCTTCGGACAGTGGTTCGTTGGTTTCCCCAGGTTTTTTCGAGGGTGGAAATTGGGGAATGGCTGTGAAATACCCCATTAAAATAGCCACCTGAATGGGACATCAACCATGATAAACCGTTTACCCATGATAATATAACCATCAATTTTTGGGCCACCGGGAGGCTTATGAGCAACATAATGAAGTTCGCCATGGGAACTCCGAAAAAAATCCGTCCGAAACCGCAGCTCGCTCAGAGGTCTGGGAGTCCAGCAGCAAAGCAGCTGAGTTTCTGGCCTCAGAATTTGAAGATGTGCTTTTGTAGAAGCGTATACCAACCCAAAGTCAGGGTTGCTGTACGCAAACAAATTGATTTATAGATATGTCTTCACACCGAAATCGTAGGGGGGTTCAAGAAAAGACATGACTGTAAATGGAAAGCCATTGTATATGATTATCTGAAAGTAGATGGATTGCCAATTTCAGCATCCTTATGACTTCCTGCCTTTTCGACGTTTCAAATTGCATTCTATCTACTCCAAGATGGGTATGCTTGAAAAATCAAGATAGTTTCAGTTTTCTTTCCATTCCGGCTTTCTCTCTGGATTCCTGATTGCTGTCTGAATTCAACTTATCCACTGGATACGTATCTCAATATGTATATATATATATACATATGTACATACGCTGCTTGTTATGAGGCTGGAGCCATGAGCCCTCCCAAAAATGCAGGAGGAGCAATCATCAGAGGTATGGATGTGATCCATCAAGGGCACCCCGCAAATCCTTTGGGGGATTCAAGTCCAGCTACTATGTGCATCCATTTCCCAAGTGGCGTAGGTCCATAGAATCACCGGCAATCAGATAGGGCAGGATGAAAAAGATAAACATAAATAAACATGTAGAACAAAATATATACAGATAGATTAAAGTCAACCAAATATATCCAAATGTACTATTTCCAGAGACAACTTAGCGAACACACACAAACAAACCATTTGCTCGTCCCTAGGCTCGCGTTACATCCCTTCGACGATCCTCCTCCAGCCGGGATCCCCCAGGGCAATCTGAGACCGTGGGCTGCAGGTGATATTAGGATTCACAGGGGATTTCCCATAGCTGATTCAGATCATTCACAAAGCAGTTTTTGTGGCAGGTTTTAATGCTCACTGGAAGATCTGGAAGCTACGAGAAATTTCACAGCGCAAGAAATCCGAAATCCCGGATTTTCTGCTGGCTTCGTGGGTTGATTCTTTCCAGATGCGGCACTAGGTTCCTCCTGGGGAAGAGGCGTGGAAGCGCCTTGGGACCAAGATCAAGACGTACCTGCAAGGCGGCGACATGGACGTTCCAGGTTTGGTGAAGTCCCATTGTGAGGTTCCAGAGTCTTTTATTCGGAGACCTTTAAGGGGCCGATGGCCTTCCAGATTTTCGTGGTCAGTTGACAGGATGATATGACGATGATCTCCAACGACTTTCCAACACCCCCTGCCTTGGACACGACACCTTTTCCAGGCCTCACCGGTGCCGTCCAGGGCCCAGTTGGGGGGTCGAGGCGCTGGTGAAACGATCTTTTCATGAAATATAAGGGTTCCCCAAAACGATAGAACTCAGTGTTTCCAAGACACTATGGATTGATACTATGGATTACTATGGATTGATACTATTTTCATCTATCTTCCCCATTTCCATGCAACCATTTCGATCTATTTTGGGGCTACCAGGTCCAGTCTCTACTGGAAGAATTGGAATGCGAGAAGTCCTTCTACAATGAGGCCTGGTCAACAGTGCATCCAGACTTGATGTGATTAGGTTGGCAAGGTTGCATCACGGCATAGACTTGTATCGAACTAGTAACAAACTGTTTTTAACCCATACATTCTACATATATATATTATATATATGTATAATATATATATATAAACAGCTTTTTGGGTTCAAAGATGCTCTTGTTTTCCGTCCTGACGAAAAGGTGATGATAAAGCAGTGGACTTTCATACTTGTGGGATGGGTGGATCACTTACGGCAAGCCCAAAAACGTCAGTGTTTGAATCCTACAATTTGTGCATACCACTTTTCAGGGCTATCCAACTCCAGACTTCCCCCCAGCAAGCGTGATTCCTACCTTCCTAGTAGCCTACCCTGGCAACAGAAACATCACCAATGTGGATCCATTGCCCGAGGGTATCTCTACCACCACACATCCAATCGTTAGCCGTTAGCCTACAAGATAATATACCCGTCGTTTGGGCTCCCCATGGATCCCCTCATAGTGGGTATATGTTGCCGCAGTTGCATGGGATGGATGTATCCCAATTTATGGTGTTTTTTTTAGCATGTACTCATCAAGAGAATCCCAAGTGCACCCGGAAATTCCAACCATGGTTCCTATTTAGCTGGGTCAGGGAGTTAGTGAAGTGGTTCGTGAGTGGGTCATAACATCTTACGCTCCATTCAATAGATATATTCATTATATATATATATAGATACACAGTTATACACCATATTCATAATTTATAATATATTCATAATATATTCATAATATATTCATAATATATTCATAACATATTCATAATATATTCATAATATATTCATAATTTATAATATAT